ATTCAAGGATTTGGAATGATAACCGAAAATCAGTGATAAAACGGAGCAAACTTGCTTTTTAGGCCTCTTGAATGAAACTAAGGTTATCTAAAAAAGATGTGATCTAGTAGAAAGAAAGATATTAGTTAAATGATTTTTTATAACATAAGAAAATACTACCTCTTGAAGAAATTGTCTAATATTAGATTTATTTTAATTACAACATCCAATCTCTTTTAAATGCTTGATCATTGCTGTAATGCCATTTCCATGCTGTTGTAGATAATCAAGCATTTTCTTGCATTGTTTACACATAACCTTTGGCGCTCCATTGTTGGCTTTAGTCACTTAATCAAAGTGCTTTCAAATGTCAGATTGTTGCCGAATATCTTAATGTATTTGTTTCTTTTATCCGAAATCAGTCTGAAACTACCAACTCACAAAATTGTTCTTTGTCATGTCGGAATAAACAAGATATGTTGAAATTTGGTTAGAACAGACACGCTCGAGAGAGAAAGATATAGAAGCGGGAATAGATAAACGAATGAAATCCAAATTAGCGATTGATTGTGACACTTGCTAATTAAACGAAAGATTAGAAATGAGATCGTTTGGTTGAATAATCTGAAGACTATCTAAATTATCAGTATCATATAAAGATGATGTGTACGCATCAAAAAACTGGAAAAGTTGAGACATTATAATAAAGAAAATGAGTCCAGGCCAGTGATATAAAGTCACATAATAAAACAAATACTTATCGCAATAAATTTTGCGACTGATAGCTTTAGACTTGAAAACTCTAGATACCCTAAGCTATAATAACATACAAATAAATGACCCACTATATCAGTGATAAACTATTCTAATTGATAAGTTTTACAGATTATTCACGAATATCCTATGGACTACCCGCGGGTAGATAAGTATCCCGCGGGTAGTCCACAAAATACCCGTTTCACTTTAACAATTTTTTTATGCTTCAGTCTCATCAATTCCCGACAAGATCTAATAGTTTAATCTCTTCCATGTATATTATAGGCATATAAGATCAATAAAAGGATAATTTAAAAATAGAAATAGAATATACAATTCAATTTATCAATGTTCTGATATAATTAACTAATATAAGTCTACATAAGGAGATAAAGATAGTCTTTATAAAAAAATACATTTACTTCTCTCAAATATCAAAATATATTTTAAACACTCAACAAAACATTTCACATAATATCATCTAGAATCATCCCTGCTTTAATATATAATCGATTGAAAATAAACACATTTCACTATTACTGGAGTTTCTGATAATGTTTTCGAACTTCGATACTTAATTTACATAGATATTGTGGTTATATCGCGTCATGCACTGAAGGGTGACCAGAACAGGTATTGAAACCAGTATTTTAACCAGGAGAGTAAGCAGTTTTATGCGGCTTGGCACGTCCAAAAAGGGTTAGTTATGCATTTTTGGGTAGTTCACGGGTACTCCGCGGGGTACCCATGGTGGGTAATGGGTAGGGGGGTCATGGGTAATGGGTAGGACTCGTCTACCTGTTCCACGGGTCTGGAACCAAAATGCCTACCCGTGGAAGTTCCATGCCGAGGTCTATATGGGAGTGCATTGGGACCAAAGGTTAGTCCCATCAGTGGGACTAAGACCTCTATGGGACTCCCATGAGACTAATGGGAATTCCCATGAGACTGATTTATAAGCAAAATTGTTTTGCTTGAGACTTGCATAATTTATGTAATTTTTGGCTGTATTTTTCTATATTTGAGTTATAGTTACATTGTTTACAAAAAATATTTTATAATTAAAAAAAATAACAGAATTAATATATTCATTAAAAGTATTTACAAATTCAGTATTTAGATATAATAAGTAAAGACATCATTTTTTCGTTTTAAATATTTTGTTTTATCAAATATCTGTATTTGAATATTATTTTTAGATAAAGATCAATTATTATTATCAAATTCTGTTTTATGTGTATCTTTCTCATTTTTATCAACGATAAACTGTTGTTTTTTTTCAAATACGCGTTAGTTTAACGATTGTATATATATTTCAATAAATGGTTTATATTAATTTAAGAATGATTTATTTTCTTCATCATTATTGATTGGATTAGATGTATATTAAAGAAGATTAGTTTTTTTTCATTTATTTGTTTTTTGTTTTTTTTCAAATGTGAAAGCTGGATTTTTTAAAGTATTCTTTTTATTATTAATATCGAATGTTGAAATATAATGAAATATCATAATATTCTAAATTATGGCAGCATTTAGTGACTTTCAATAATAATGATAAATATTTTGAATTAAATTGAATAAACGTTCAACGCTCGCATTTGTTGCAAAAATAGAGAAAATATCTCGTGCAATTTTTGCAAATATTGAAAACTCGCGTTCATGTTTTTTTCAAAAGATTAGAAATATAATTTTTTTGGATTTAAATATAGATATTAACAATAATAAAAATAAAAAGATATCTTATCATTTATTAATTTTGAGATATTTCGTTAATTCATTATTAAAATATATTTTTTTTGATTAAAAATTTTAACTATATTTTTGTCAAAAAGATCTTCAAGATCATTTGTGTTTGATTGTTGTAAAGGCTGTGTTGAATATTGTGTTTTAAAATAGTGTTGTTGATAAGATTTTATGAATGTTTGAAAATATTTTTTATATTTTTGATGTAATTTAGAATCATTATTATACTTTTTATTTGAAAAGAATTTCAATTTATGTTGAGACGCAAGGATTGTATTAATTGTATAAAAATTATTATGAATTTTTTTGGTTTTGTTGTAATAGAGTTTTAATTTTTTCTGATTTGCATTAAAAATATAAAGTATTGCTTGTTTTTAAGATTTTTTTTTTTTTTTAGTTGTTATATTGATCTCTCGAGATGATCAAAAAATTGATTATAAATTTAAAAAATATTGTGAATAGTAATTTTTTTTGTTTGTGAAAAATTAATTGTAAATTTGTAAAAAGATTGTATAATATAAAAAAATATTCAATTTGTTGTTATTTTTCTATATTGAGTTTGAATTGAAACTATATATATAGCTTGCAGTATTGATTGAAAGTTGATAAAAGATGTTTTGCACGACGAAGCATAAAAAATGTAGAGTTTTATCAAATTTTAATATTTTGAAAAGGAATAAGTTTTGATTTATTTATTTGAAAATTTAAGAAAGTCTTTTTTCATTGTGAATTAGCATTAACAAATGTTGCGAATTCACGGATTTAGGCAATTTATTAATAAGTTATTAAAGAATATATTGAAAAGAATTTATTTTTGCAAAAATATAAATAATTTTTTGATCGCGTTAACTAATATAAAAAGACTGTGCTTGTAAATTTAATCATATTTTATTTGAATTATCATTTTTTGGATTAGCTTTGATCTGGCCAAGAAATTTATGTAGATTTAATTGAATCATATAAATTAAACATGAAATTTGAACAATAATAGTTTAATTAAAAAGTTCAAGAGACTAAATTGATTTTTGGATATTTTTAATCAAGATATTATTGTTTAATGCATTATCTGTTGTAATTGCTAACATTTGATTGATGATATTATATTTTTGAAGCATTTTTAAAAGAATATTGCTCAAATTGATTTCAAAATGTGTTTTGTGAAGCGATTCAAAATCAAATAAAATTTCATGATATTTCTAATTTTTATCAATAAAATAATCAGTGATTGTTATAAAGATTTGTTGAAATGAGAAAATCCAACAGTTAAGAGCAATTGAGAATTTTGTTTTTAGTGAAAGATTTTGAAGAATTTTTTGTTAATAATTTTTAATTATTGATTAGAGGTGACGATGAGCAGTTAATGAAGTGAAAAACATAGATTTTAATGAAGTTAATTGAGCTATTTCAATAAGTTTCGCAAAGTTTTTATGAGCTAGGAATTGAAATGGAAGTGATGATTAAACAATTAAATTAATTTGTTTATGTGTTCATTGATTTTGAATAAAAATCTTTTTAAATTGTTATGAACTAAGATATGTTTATTTTTCAGAAGAATTTAGTATATAAGTTTTAACACATTAAATAGAATAAAAATATTATAAACTTAAATGATTGTTGAATACTTTGTTGTTTTAATCGATTATTAGCAATCTTTTAACATGAATTTGATTCAAGATAGCATTTCATAAAATTTGTTTCATTTTCTTTATCATGTGGATGGGAAAGGACTTTTTTATATCTTTGACATATAATTTTTGTTTCATTAATAAATTAATGGACTACTTGATCAAAATAATTTTATATATTTGGAATATGTTTCGCATTTCAATAAACTTTTTTATTTTTTTCTTTTATAATTACATATTGTGTCTGCAACCATCAAGAAATAAATTGTTCTTTTGACATAGCTTTATAAAATATATAAATCTTTGTTCAATTGAGATTTACGTGTCAAAAGATATCAGAGTTTAATATTGGCTAAAGAAATTTAAATAGCGAAATTGAAGTATTTATTGTTATTGTTTAATTATAATTGAGATCAGATGTAAAGGGCTGTAAAAAATTTAATAAAATATATGAAAGATTGTCAAGATGATCTCTATAATAATTTGAGAGATTAGCGTTAGAGAATTGATTAAATTGATTTATAATATCAAGTTATGCGATAAAAAGAAAATGTAAAAAATTTATATTCAATTTTTATAATGCGTGATAATTTTTTCAAACCATGAATTAGATCCATTTAATAAATAATAAATAAAAGTTGATATATTATAAAAGAAAAGAAAAATCTTTACAAGTTCAACGTTAATTAAATAATTTTCTTTAATTTCATAAAAAATCTTCATTAGTTTTAATACAATCCCCATCAATTTCGATACAATTTTTATGGAATTAATGATCAATTTTCAATCCATGATTTTTAGGGATCTTCGCCGTCTCCCGCTGATTTTATATGGAAATTTTTCATTCACTATAATTTTTATATAGAGATTTATCTCTCTCACATTGAATAAAAACGTCTAAAAGAAGATTATTTCAAAAATTGATATTTCGCGTTGGACGTATGGGAATTCATGTGCGAATCGCGCGATCTTTAGGATCAAGGACTCGCCATCGCCATAATTCAAATTCACTCGGGATAAACGATCGCTGATCCGTGATGTAACGGTCAAATCGGTGAAGTCGTAGAACGGGACACTAGTAGACGTAACGTCAAGGCTTTTGAGATCTAGACCGTGAGGATGAAATTCGTCCGGAGTACTTTCGATAACGCCATGAGGGTTTCTTCGGACTGTGAGTGTAGTCCAGGCCTCGTTCCATTCTGGGATGTTTTGCAGCTTTGACAGGATTTGGTAGCTGTCTGTCCTGCCATAAGAGTCAGGGGGGAGGATGTCACCGTCCAAGACGGAGACGTAGACAATTCGTTGGTTTTTCCGCATTCGATAGAGGAAGTCGTTCTCTTCGAGGTCGAGGGATAGTACTTTCTCCTTTGTTGGTTAGTGGGTTTGAAGAGATGCCTAGTCGGGGGCTAGACACTTACATTAGGGGTCTCAGCGGTAGCAGGCTGATCGAGAGGGAGGATTGGGTTGACATCCTGAGCAGATGACATGGCGAGCTAAACAGCAGGGCAGGTCTATTCTATTGTTGATAGCTCCCCTTTACCATACAACAGGGTGAATGCATGGTATCCTCTTGACGACCGAGGCCCTGATAAAGACAAAGCGCAGCTAGCCCGAGTACCGAACTAGGGCTGATCATATGACCAACGCATCCCTACCCAAAACCCTACCTCATCCTAACCTCTTCTCATCATCAAATATCCTCAACCAAACAATCCCAGTTAATCCCAACCCCATCCCCAAAATGTCCACCCCAGACGAAACCCCAACCGATCCCTCCCCCTTCGCAAACAGCCACGTAACCATCCACTTCTCCGCCCCAGATTTCACAGTCCCCTCCCCAACCGACGTCAATGAAAAGGTAACCCCCGAAACCACGATCTTCAACTGGGGCGGCGTGAAAATCGCACGAATAGCACCCACCATCGCCGTGAAATTCGGCTCGCATGTCACCCCCAGCGAAGCAAAAAGTATGATATTTGTGGACCAAAACACGGAAACTGTACCGAGCCAAAGGTCTTCGCTTATTACACCTACGGCCCGATAGATCGCGATATCGGCGACTACGGGAGTCTGTTCGATACGTATATCTTCATGGACTTTGTAGAGGGTCAGACTCTTGATAAGGTCTGGGATGGGTATGATGAGGGCGCAAAGGCTCGTATCGCCAACCAGCTCAAAGCGTATTTCCACGAGCTTCGCCGGATACATGCGCCTGGGTATATAGGTTCCGTTGATTCTGGACCTGTGATGGATCCGATGTTGGAGTATTATCATACGCGAGGTAAGCTAGCTATCTAGCTGTTCCCAGTCCCTAATAGCTATAGTTGTGTAGTACAGGTGCTAAAACAGGGGAAGGACCATTCCCCTCCCTAGAAACCTTCAACAACACACTAATCGACGCCTACCAACTCAAAGTCCCAAAGCGCCACATCAAAAGCTTCCTATCCGGCATGCTCTCCGAAACCAACCACCAGATCGTATTCACGCATGGAGACCTCCGACACGCAAACATCATGGTCCACGAGGGGTCCGTCACCGGGATCCTGGATTGGGAGTTCAGCGGCTGGTATCCCGAGTACTGGGAATTCGCGAAAGCGTTGTACGTGTGGAGGTGGCAAAATGATTGGACGGATTATCTGTTGCGGGTTTTGAGGCCGTATTATGGGGGGGTATGCGGTTCATTCGTTCTTGGCTGAGATGTTGTGGTGATGGGTTTCTCGCCTAAGGTCTATTGTATACGGGTACCGCAGCATGAGATAGCTATTAGTGAAAGATACTACTCAGAAGAAGCCAAACTAGAACATGATAATATACCATAATATTACTCTAAATGTGTAAATCTTTAGGCTAGGTCATTCTCAAAAAGCACATCTTGCCAACAACAAAAACTCAATTCCAAATCTACATATACACACATCAACAACAACAATCTGCCATCTTTTCTTTTTAACTCTCATACAAATCGATATCAAAGATATATTAATGAAAGAAAGAAAAGGAAGACAATGACAGATGAATTACATCTTCCAACAACATCCCCCCAATCAGGTCAAAATCTAATCTAGTAGACAATGCCCATCATGGCGGCGATACCAACACCCCACCAGAAGCTGACGGCCTTGGCCGAGGCAGCGTCGTTGGACAGAGGGATGGTGGACGAGGGAGTAGGCGCGGCGGTGGAGCTACCGGCGTGCGTCTTCACCCAGGTCGAGGAGGGTCCCCAGGGGTTGGGGATGGTGGTCACGGCACCGCCGTTGTTACCGCCGGGGGACACGCCGGTGGGGGCAGGTCCGGGGATTAGACCGACGGTGGTCTGGTGGCCGGAGGTGGCGGTGCTGAAGGCAACCTGAGGCACGGTCACGGTGTAGGTGGAGTAGGTGATCGTGGTGGCGGAGACGGGCACGGGAGGAGCAGGGGCAGCAGGGGCGGTGGTCTCAGGGGAGGTCACGCCGCCGGTGGGCTTAGGAGCCTGGGTGACGGGGGAGACACCGGTGGTGCTGGGGACGCCGGCCGAAGGCACCAGGGTGATGGTGGACGGGATGGCGGTGACGATACCGGGGTTCTGGGGAACGTAGGCGGCACAGATACCGGTGAAGTAGGACAGAGCGGCCTGGACCTCCTCGTCGGAGGCACCCCACGCCTGCACACAGGAGATGACCTTGTCGGTGAACTCGGCCGAAGGGCAGAAGCAGCCAGCCTCGCTGTTGGAGTCACACTTGGGCATCTTGGTGAGCCAGGTGTTGATACACTTGGGCACGACGTTGGGGCAAGGGGTGGAGGGCTGCTCGGGGGTCTCGGGGGTCTCGGGCACCGATCCAGTGACGACGGGGGGCTTGCCGGTGGGAGCAACGCCGGTGGGAACCACAACGCTGGCGGAGGTGGTCGTCAGGGTAGAGACGGTGGTGCGAACGTGGGTGGTGGTCTTGTCACCCTCCGTCACAGTCTCGGTGACGGGGCAGGTGGTCACGGTCTCGTAGGTGACGATGGTGGTGACGGCAGGGCCAGCGGGGGTGGTGACAGGGGCAACCGGGGTAGTGACGGGGGCAACGCCAGTAGGGGTGATGACGCTGGCGGAGGTGGTCGTCAGGGTCGAGACGGTGGTGCGGACATGGGTGCTAGTCTTGTCACCATCGGTGACGGTCTCAGTCACGGGGCAGGTGGTCACGGTCTCGTAGGTCACGATGGTGGTGACAGCAGGGCCGGCGGGAGTAGTGACGGGAGCAACGTCGGTGGGGATAGCCTCAGTGGGAGGAGCCACGGGGGTGCTCTCAGCACACTTGGGGCAGTAGGTGGCGGTCGAGGTCTGGGTGACGGTCGACACGGTCTCGTAGACAGAGGTAGTGGTCTTGCCGCCCTCAGTGGCAGTCTCGGTGACGGGGCAGGTGGTGACGGTCTCGTAGGTCATGACGGTGGTGGTATAGTCCGAGGGAGCCGGGGTGAAGGCCGACGAGGAACCGATGGGGCCAACCGAGGTGGGCACCGTCGGGGGAGCGGTGGCGCTGGCAGTGCACTTGGTGCAGATGGTCGAGGTCGAGGTCAGCGTGACGGTGGAGACGGTCTCGTAGACAGAGGTGGTGGTCTTGCCGCCCTCGGTGGCAGTCTCGGTGACGGGGCAGGTGGTGACGGTCTCGTAGGTGACAACGGTGGTGGTGACATCCTCGTCATCGGTGGGGGAAGGACCGGTCACGGCAGGAGAGGTGATAGCAGGGCCCGAAGGACCAGTCGAGCCACCACCAGGGGAGACGCCAGTGGGGGTGGGGACACCGCCGTTCTCACCACCCTCAGTCTCGGTGACGGGGCAGACGGTGGTAGACACGGGGATGGTGGAGGTGACGACGGTGGTAGAGTCGGCCGGGCAGTTGGTGACGGTAGGAGCACAGCTGGTGATGGTGATCTCACTGGTAGCATACACAGTAGAGGTGGTCATTCTCACGGGGGTGCTGGGAGCCGGGCTGGTGACGGCGCCTCCATGGGTGGTGGAGTGGCCGGGGATGACGGGCACGGAAGAGCTGTGGCCGTGGGCACCGGTCTGGTGGGAGGGAGGGGTGGCAGTGTGGCTGGGGAGCTCGATGGAGTGGGAGGGGTTCTTGGTACCGGGGGTACAGTCGAAGTCGATGGTGTGAATACCCAGGTCGCACTCATCGTCCTCGTGGTCCTCGGGCAGCTGGAAGTGAACGGAGGTGGCACCACCGCACTGCTCGTTGCGGACATCGGTACCCTCGGGCGAGCAGGAGGCGACCTGCTTGCAAGAGGAGCCGTCGGGCATGCCGTAGACGACGTGGATGTCGGCCTTCTTGGAGGTAGCCAGACGGAAAGAACCGACGGAGAAGGCCTTGCCGGCGTTGAAGCGGAGGCCGGAGTTGGAGCCCTTGCCAACCTTACCCTCAATGCATTTGCCCTAACCGAGTCGTTAGTTGATGTCGGTGGTAGATCAAGCCAAAGAGGTTACTCACGCCGAAGCCGCCAGACACGGCACCACTGAACTTGTGCTTCATGGAGAAACCAGAGAAGTCGAAGCCACCGTAGTGGCTGAAGTCACCCTCGCCGATGCCACCCCAGTTGAAACCGGTGCGCTGCTCCTCGGAACAGTCATTGTCACTGTTCTCGGGGCTGGGATAGCAGGTATCAGTACCCCACCACTACTCACGTCAGCAAGATATACGAGATAACCTGGGGCCAAAATGATGGGACAAGAGGACATACCAACCCACGGGGGTGGGCAGTGGCCATAGCGGCCAGGGAAAAGAGAGTAACCGAAGTCGAGAACTTCATGATGACAGGAATAGATCAAAAAGATCTGAAAGAATGATATAGAGAAAGAATAGATCCGACGGGAGTAGTAATAGTTAGGACGAAGAAACAAATTAAGATATTATTATCGGAGACCAGCGACAACAATACAGATGGGCGATGAAAGAGTGATCCCCAAATAGAACGAATGGTCTTTGCCTTTCCCGGTCAAAGAAAGACAAGAAACGCAACTCAACGACAGGAATTATAGAGAAAGAAAGAAACACACAACACTGAAGAAAGAAAGAGAAAGGAAGATGGCCCCATGGACGGAGGCAGCAGGACCCTTCTTATGGACACAGACACACCGACCAAGCCGCAGGGTTCCTGACGGGAAAGACGGGCGTCAACAGAGCCGGACCCCAAAGGGCACGGAAACCGTCCTGACAAGCATTAGTTGGAACTTGAATTCCAATCGAGCTAGTCAGGCATGAAAATAAAATAAAAATAAAAATAATAAAAATGTAAGACAATCTGAGAAAGGCCGGCGAGGCATCCAGCGGGGATTGGTACGACGGACGACGAAAAAGGCCATGGCTTTCTCCAATGGAGGGCAGCCGGCTGTTCCGCTAGTGCAGGAACACCCTGACAAGAGATATGGGGCGCGAAAGGACCACCAATCACACAAAGATACAATACTGGATGCTCTCGAGCTGCCCTGGACTGGTGGCTGATGAGGTGGAGGAAACGAACTCCAGCGACGCCACCCAATGAGACGGTGGAAATTGAGCAGGATCACGGTCTGGAAGGGATAGGAACAGGGAAGTGGATTCCTGACGATTCGATGGATGACGGAGGGATTCAATCAGGGTGGGGGAGAAATCAGGAATAATCAGTTAGTGGTGAAGAGAAAGAAAGAACGAACAGAAAAAGAAAAGAAAGATTAGTACAAAGCCGGAGTCACGGGTTGACAGAGCGCTTGCAGAAAGTTTACCGGGGTTTGTTTGACACTGACAATTGACACCTCACATCAAGCCCTAACTCTCTACCATAACTAGCAAAGGACAACCTCCGAGTCAGAATAATCGGACTGATAACATCCAATTCCTACTAGTAGTAACTACTCCAAGTCAAGTCTTCTCCGTGCCCTCTAGTCTCTACTGTCCGTCTAGTTAGTAGTGTCCACCGACTAACTACGGAGTAGTAACAACAGACACTCAATCTAACGAGATCCCAAGAACACCCCCATCCCACTAACCCTCCCCACTAGACCCCACCAGGCTAAGCCCGGACAACAGGACGAGGGAAAAGCATCCTGCAGGCGAAAAAGAAGGGGGGGCCAACTTTGCACCCCAGCAGCCAATAACCGGTATCGTCCCGGTGGGCGTCTCGCTGAAACCTCGTCGGTGTCAGCCCATTGCTATTAATATCATGGGTCGGGGAGTTCTGGACTTACCCGCCAGGTCCTAGGCTAGGCAGGCACTAGCCACTAGGAAGTACTGGAGTAGGCACTAGGCACTAGGCGCTACCTACTCTAGGCAGTTCTGCGTCTGCGTATAATCTCCCAGGGTTCGGATCCAATGGCGGCCCCCCCCCCCCCCCTTCTCGCTAAGAGCCTAAGCCCAAGCAAACCCGGTCTCTTGGGCTGACGATGATTGTCGCTGCTTATTGTTGTTCTGGTCTTTTCTGTTATTGTTCAGTGATTTGTTAACAGCAGGGTTACCTACATACATGCAGAGCACACATACTGTGCACGCACGCCAACCAAGAGAAAACAGAGGACAAGAAAAAACATGGCTGCCTCCCTCGTACCACCTACCTACCTATCCATTTATTTATTCCCTAGACAAATTAATTACCGACCGAGACATGGCAAGACGCCGTCAAACGACCGATCAGACGACAAGGGCGGAGGAGACTCGCTGAGTCGCTCGGCCTCGCCTCTTGGCGGTGTCGCACGATATTCTCATTCCCCTTAAAACGGTTGCATCGGTGGCATCTGTGGCGGTGGTCCCCAGGCCCATTCGCTAGTTATCTATCGAGTTGTCTTTGTCTTCGGAGTATTGACTTTCAGAGAGTCAAAAATCTCGGAGGTTTCCTGAGGGGTCTTCTCCCCTCCGAGGAGATCCACTTTGTCGGGCTGTCAATGTCACCGTGCCTTTTAGTTCCTGGTCCTGGTCCTACTTCCTACTCCTAGACCTAGTACTACACAAGTGTCCGTGGTATCCGCAGTCCCTGACAGATGGTCAGTGGTCACTTCTCCGCCGGTCTGACGGGAGCAAAAAATCCCCCTCTCCCCTCTCATCCCTCCCCGTCTTACATTTTGAGTTACTGATCATCCCTAACTTTTGAACTGTTTTTGCATTGGTTGGAAAGTGTTTGGGTTCTGGATCTAGTTCGGTCTTTTGAGATGGGGGATCGTCACCACCTCGAAAGGGGGAATGGGAAAACAACATGACACCAAAAGGAAAAAGAAAAAAAAAAAACAAAGGATAAGAATAGATCATCCAATCAAAATCCCATTTCTCTCCAGTGGGAAAAGGAAAACAAAAAAAAAACATCAGAGGTATATCCCTTTCTGCCAATAAAGAAAACACGTGACAAAATCAAGTAAACAAAATATGCACACATCCAAACTCCGATATCGTCAGACTTTTTGCTCGTGGGGAGGGGGTCGGTCCCGGCCTTCGTGGCGGTCTTTGTTTGGTTTTCGGTAGAAAAGTGCCAGGTGGTAAAGGTTCTTTTGTGAGATGGAGATGGTTTCCCCCTCAACCTGTTCAGATCGCTCTCTTCCTTGCGTCGTCATCGGATCGAAGTCTAGATCGATCCGTCTATATGAGACAGTCTCTCTCGTTCGGCTACCCGATCATGCAGATGTCATCCACCCTCTAAGAACGTCTATCTCGTCACTCCAGACCCCCAGCGTCTTCAAGGGGGTGTATTGGGTGGGAGAGACTGTGTAACGAGGAAAGTGTGGGACAAGGAAAGTGGAGACAAGAATCAATAAAAGAAGCAAGGGAGAGGCTTAGGTTTAGAACGTGCCAGTAAGGATCCAAGACATCGTCATCATAAACACGGAGGGGGGAAGAAAGAGGGGGGAGGATTGCATCAACAAGCAACGGGTGGTTGCATGTCTCCGCATTATTCGGCTGCCTGCTACGAATTTCGTTTCTTTAGATCCTCTCTTCAGAATGGGAGTTGACTGCGTCGATGCGCATCCATCAACTTGCGTCGTACCGCCTCGCCGCCGGTGTAGGCGTTGGCCTTGCGCTTCCGCGTTGGAGTGCGTTGGTCTGCATGTCTTGCATGCCGGAACACGCTGGCAGGTCGTGACGGCGAGTTGGCCGGCATGAACTCTCGATGTTGCGGTAACCGCAGAAGTGCCTGGTAGCGGTTGTGGTTGCGACGGAACGCCGTGACAATCCCGCGGTCTAGATGGTTCAAGAACCGCTCGGCGCTGCTGGCTTGTTGGCTTTCGCCACGGTTGGGGGTCGGGGGTCCGCTGGGGGCCACGGCCGAGGGCGCAGCTGTCGTCGTCGGCGAGGCCAAGGCATCCTCGTCGAAGAGCTTATCCATCTCCTCGTCCGACGACCCGTCGCCGAAGTCAATAAAGTCATTCACGTTCAGGCCGGCCTCAGGGTCCTCCTCGTCGTCGTCCTCGAACGAGCTGTCAATAGCAAAGTCTCGAGACGGGTAGAATGCTTCGGGAGGACCCATCACTTGGCCGCCAGGTGCCAATTCATTGCCCAGTGCGGTCATCATCAGGTTCGCACTGGAAGCCAACATCGGGCTAAGGTCGGTGCGGTTCGGAGATACCAACGCGTCCGTGTCGCTCTCGTCGACCAAGTGCATCGTGGTGGCCCGCGGGCTGTTGTTGGCCGTGCCACAGATGCTGTTGGAGGTCGACTCCAGCCAGTCGTGACGGGAGGAGGCATACGCCGGGATGATCACGAGATGCTTGCCGGTGCAGTCCACCAAAGCGACGGGCTTGTTGGGGTCCGCGACGAACGTCCCCATGATGGGACCGCGGCGCCGCGAAGTAGACTCCGTCTTTTCGTCCGCGGTCGGGGCCAGGGAAGCAGAAGAGTCCCTGCGGAGAATGGATCGCGGATGCGTGATCGTGGCCGGAGGAGGGAGGTCTTCATCTGTAGTTTCACCGTCATCGGCTGGAAAAGTGTGTCAGCATATAAACACCAGAGACTGGCAAGGCAATCATCCTGCATACTCTCGTAGCCGCTCGACTCGGACGCTTCCGAGCGGGCGTCGGATTCCACGTGATAGATGTTAGAATGACCGTAGTCAGACTCGGCGAACATTTCATCCGACTGCCGGCGATGCCGCCGGTAGGGCTCGGTGTCGTTTTCAATCATACGACGCAGCTGGGGATCCAAGCTGTCCTGTTGCAAGAAATCACCCGGGATTTCATCGTCCGTGTGGGAGTCACTGTCAGACGAAGAGTCGGAGTCCTCTTCGAAATGCACCCGACGGGGCACCGGCGTCTCCACAGCGGTTTCGCTGGCCATGTCGGTTTCACCGAAGGTCTCCATGGCACCATACAGCTGTTCGTCGTCAAAGAACGACGCACCGGCCAGCAGCATGTGATCGTCAAAGACGTTGGGGCCGGTCCAGGTGTGAACATCAGCCGCACCGCCGGAGACGGCAGCGTTGGGGTTGGACAGGATGCCACCCAGATCATGCTCATCCTCGGACTCGACGATCAGGAGCTCTTCTAGCTTCTCCACGTCCTGGTCTTCATCGTCATCGCCGTCACTGATGTAGTCCACGGCCGCGTAGATGTCATCGGAGCTGTCATACGCATCATCGTCGTCGCTGTATCCGGCCATCCTTCTCTTCTTATTTCCTTTCGTGGTTTTGACCCCCGCCTTATGGGGTCTGTTATCGCGACGACCATAAGACGGGGCCCGGGCAGCCGGTCGTTCGTCCTCGTCGTCAGCATCTTCCTCCGACCCGTTCGCATCGTCATCACTCAGCTCTTCAATCGACGAGACGGACGACACGCTGGACACCGACGCCGCCCTTCGCTTTCTATCGGCATTGAGCGGGCCCAGGGAGACGGCCTTGTTTGATCGTCGCGTGGAGTTCTGCACGAGGCTCGACAGGGGACTCGAATTGTGGTTGTGGTCCTTGACGGCACCCATGGGGGACCTCTTCGGGGAGTGATTCGTTTGCGTCATTGTCCAAGTATGATGACAACAACAATGGGATTGAGAGGGGTTAATCAAAAAAAAAAATTGTTGGTGGAGGTTCTTCTTTCTTTTGCGGGACTTGACCAGTATTAACTGGTACTGTCTAATGGTTTGGGTGGGACAAGGTTTGCTACCCGCCGGTATGCCGCAAGTATCTGCGTCAGAGATTCGGAAGTCGGGAGGTTTCTTTCAGGTAAGTTTATTCTTCGACCGTCAATTCGTAAATGGCGTAAACTGATGATACAGATGTCGTGATCGTAGGACGTAATGGTATGGGTTTTAAGAAGTCGTAGTTGAAAGAGAAGGATGTTTTTTTTCTTCGGATCAGAGAGGGAGCGGAGGGAGGGAGAGAAGGAAGCCGAAGGTAAACTTTTTTCTTGCTCGTTGAAAACGAAAGCACCTCACCGTCCAAGAAGGGGACGTCAAAGTGCTTCTCCTAAGATTGTAGTAAGGGGCAATTCCGACGCTTCAAAGGGTGCGTCAGAAGAGAGGAACAGATATCGTCAAGTTGAATTCGAAATACTCGGAGCTGCTGGACTGGGGAGCAGGAGAAGGCAGCCGTACTCCCCAGCGAGGGATTTACAGCTCAGCGAAGGCCATTTTGGCAATGAACTCTTGACAAATATCTGATATAGAGGGAAAAAGTAGACTTGGAGGGGAAGACAGTAAAAGCCAGCGATGAGGGACGGTAGAAGAATGAGGGGAGGAGGGGGGGAGGATTGTTTAGAAGAAAGGGAAAAAGCAGAAGGGGAGACGAGCGGATCAGCGCAGTCTAGCGGCGTCACTCCGTCCAGCAGCCGCCCGTTACAGAACGAAACGCCTGCCCATTTGGGGCGGCTCGATTTTTCCGGTCCGTGTGGGGCTACAGTTCCCTGTTGTAGACTAGCGTGCATGGTGATTGGTCATGAACTATAAACAGGTGCATTCCCATTAGTCGGACAGAGTGTTCACCGCCTCTTCTTTTTTTTTCTCATTTTTCTTTTTTTCTTTTTGGCCTGCAAGCATCGGAACCAATGAAAAGACACGAGTCTGCAAAGTCTTTGAATTGAGGCGATCGCAAGTCTCCCGCTCCAGTCAGGAGTGGCCTTATGGACTCACCATGATGGTCATCCAGAACTCTACTGGATTTTGACTCATTGATTGATTCATAGTTCATACTTCACCTCAGTGTACAATCCAGAGGGGGTGTACATACATACCACGGGGGACTACCTACCTTACTCCTACATACATCGCTGTACCCTTCCTTACAGTAGTCCCGCTGTACGCATGGTTGGGTACCTTATTCTGCAGCTGCTGGCCCATCCGAGTCAAGCGCCTTTCTCTCCCCAAGAATTTGCCAGCGCAGAGATACAGAGAAAGTGGATTCCCTCGAGACCGTGATCCGCTTTTTCTTTCTCTTTTCTCGTCTCTCCTTTCTAGAAGTAGAAACGAAGAGGAAGTGGAACCACGATGGAACATTCAAGGAGGGGCAGAAGGGAAGAGAAGGAGAGAGAGAAGGTCAACGTGGCCAACATTCTCGCGTGTTTCAAGCAGTATCAAGACAAAATTGAGTTCTTCGGGGCCGAGCCATCCCTACGAGATCGGGAGATGGGGAGGAGGGAGGAGGGACGGAATCCTCTCCTCCCCCTGGATACTCTGACTTCCGAACAAATGTAGATCAACCCGAACCGACCCTCTGGTGAAGAATGAGGGGATCAGGGTGGAATGCGCCATGGGAGGCTGCGTGTAGACCGTCGTACATACACTGCATCCGAGCACGGCATGAATAATGTCTGTACAGATATCCAAGCTACAGGGCGGCTAAAGTCTAAACAGAAGAAAAAAAAAAGATAGAAAAAATGAACTCCTCTACTCAGGGCTACTGAAATTTACATCAGAAGAAGCAAGTAAACTCAAGAGGTCATAGTGTCGTTAGTTCCTCCGTAGTTGAATCCATCATCGATCAGCGTCCATCAAGTCATACATACATATTCCCCATCGAGTCGGGGACATAGACTGAACCGTGCATTTCTGCACGATCCTGTACTCCGACATCATCGAGGGCCCAGATCGCAGGGGAAAACCCGGGTTGAGATGTGATTCATCGAGATGAGTCGATGAGATGAGATGAGTCAGAAAAATCTGATACGATGGTGATAACATGTCAAAGCATATCACAGTTGAGCAGTTTTCATCTTGCTCTACGTAGTACTACCACGGAGTCGATGCTTACGGAGCTAAGACTTTTTTCTGCCGGTTTCGTATTACCTGCGAATACATAATGAAAAGGAATAGATGGGATACTCTGATAGGGCGTTGAGGTGGAAATGGTGGGTTCCGCCACTGGCGCCAATTAATTTAATACCCTTTAGGACAATAATAATCATGATCAAAGCTCTGTTCATTTGCAAAAATTTCTGGTTTAATTTGAGTGCTCTGTACGGACTGAATAGTTTTGCCTCGGGTCATTGTCTGCTATGGAGACGGAAGACAGTCCTCCCGATTCTTAGGCTCCTAGCTTCTTTAGGGGCATCTCCACCGCAGTGGCGAGACGTTACCATCAGTTGACGAAAGGGTAGAATCAGACGATTGTCGAGGACGGAAGAGAGAAAGCAGTGCGTACGAGTAAATGGGAAGGATACAATGTAGCGACAAATGCAGAGAACAAAAGACCACCCGTCCAAACAGCTCTGTACGGTGTATGAACCTACTCCGTGTACTCAGTAGGATTTGGCATGCAGGCTGCAGGTGTTCGTAATTGGAGCGAAAGAGCGGTAAAGGGACAGCTGGCTGCAGGGCAGGTGGTTAGAGAGCCTGAGGTATCTACGGTAAAACTGGAATGAACGGCTGAGTCACGATCGGCATGACCCGTCCCACGTGATTGGCCAATGGCTGGCTGCACCCCGCAGTCTCCGTCGAGGTACCGCCTGGGTATTCCCTGCCGACTGCAGGCGTGTCCAGTACCTGCGACTACATGCCCTTTCTTACTAGCATGGAAGCCTCTATCCCGTCCGTCTCGATCAACATCAACCCGTTGTTGGTTATGACATTCTGATCTCATGGCCTCCGGGATTATGGCCGGTCATATTCCCTGACTTCCTCCGCGATCCCCGAATCCTGCGACTCTTAACAATCATCATTTGCTGTCCTTGCCACTGCGAATCCACTCTCCCGCGATCTCCGTCCGTCCAGACTACAACCATGGCTCGCGTGATGACGAGGAAGTCGCGGCCGATTATTAGATAGCTGACGAACCGGGTGGCCAATTTCAGTGTGGGGTGCGGAACTCGTGAGGTAGCTTGACGCTATAATTATTATTATTCTTCTTCTTCTTCTTCTTCTTCTTCTTCTCCTCCCAGGGACGATCACCATTTCTCCATGGTAAACATGAACGTAAGTGGTATCAAAAAATCTGCAGCAGATCAACCCGACCAGATCAAATCACGCAAGATCGTGGAGAATTATTCTTCAACCAAAATAGGCCAGAAATAGTGAAAGAGAAAAAGAAAACCAAAAGCAGAAGAGAGAAAAAATCATGTCCCCGGGTATGGCTCGATCTTGGGTGCCGGCGCTGTAGATGCCCGCTGGTTGGACCGGCCCCAAATGGACAATATCGATTTGGAGCGTGCTGGTTTCGGCGCGGGGGGATTATGCGTTTCGTTTGCTCCTCCACTTTCACTTGGCCCATTTATGGGTGTAGCTGCGGCCGATTCTCGGGTTTGCTCAGCTTCTCGCATTCCTTGACGTATCTCCGCCGCTGAAGCCCCCTGAGGTGCGGTGGTTGTAGGTGTCTCCGTAGCGCGGATTCGCTCGTCCAAAGCAGCTTGCTCATTAAGCTGTTCGATCTCGGCCTCGGTGACAAGACGCTCGTTCTCTAGACGAACCTCCCGACCCCGTTTATGGCAATACCACAAGACGAAAAGTAGAACTAGGAGATGCCTTGTCAGCAGACTAAACTTTATAGGCAACGTGATCGATTCTTCGGCACTTACTGGTCAAGGCCAAAGACCAGAGAACATTCATGCCCAAGACGGCAGGGAACCGAGCCCGCAAAAAGGCCACGATGGACCGGAGCATTCCCACTATCGCAGCCGGTTTCCCAACCAGTTCTTTCAGGCTGGGCACCTCGATCCCCATCTTGTTGGCGGCAGCCGCAGCCTTGCCGACATTTTCCACGTTAATTCCGCTCTTTCCTGCTCTATCACTTGCTGCCGCGATGATCTCCGGAGCCAGGCTCTCGGTCCATCGCTCCGGTAGCTTCTCGATGAGTTTCTGGAGGAAACTAGGGAGCTTGGAGTATGTACTCTGGAGTGTTTTGTTGCCGTTGGTAAGGAGCATCTCAAGGTCCTGGTAGGCAGTCGGCACGCCGTTGATGAGATCCTTGAAAATCAACTTGAACTTGCGCAAGAGCTCCTGGGTCTCGTCGCTGATGGAAATGACCTTGTTGTTGTCCGCCGCCAGATTCAGCCGCTCCAAGATCTCAGTCATGTCCTCCGCGTCTTGTTTCGCTTCGTCATCGTTACCGTTGGTAGGCTGGCTCGGGGGTTGGCTTGGAGTCTCCGGTCGCACGTTTTCTGTATTCTAACCAGTGACGATGTGTTATCTCATGCTTCTTTTCCATCACAATTTGAACGTGCAGTCTGCAAGGATGCAAGGAACCTACCTTCTGCGTGCTCTTCCGTCGCAGCCAAGTCCATCGCTTTTTCTTCTCTTTCTCAATCGGTGTTGCTGTCTCGGTTTTGGAGGTCTGCGAACCGCCGCTCTGTTGTTTCTGCGCCAGCTCTCGGGCCTTGCGCCCTTCCTCGCCGAGTTCCCTGCCAAATTCCTCTACGGGCGACACGGGCGACTGGAGCGTCGGCGCGTCGGTTCCCAGAGGACTCACAGGAGAACGTGAACCCGACTCTTCCGCGGGTGGCGACACGACAGGGTCACCACCGGTCTCGGTCACGATATTCTGTAGGAACCGTTCGTCTTCGGCGGTTAAAACGGGGTCCTGGGCCGGGGGTCTAAACACCGACGAGCGCCTCCAGTTTTTCAACTGATTAAACTGTTGCATGTTAAGCGTATGGTTCGACCCTATCTTTCTTCAAATAACCATGGGTAGACAAGAAAACAGATGCAGACAGAAACGGTGCGTGCTGGTTCTTTGCTTTGTTTGCCAGTCTAGGGGCTGGAATGTGGGACGGCGGAAGGGCCGAGGGAACAAAGAGCAGATCGAGGGGTGTATTTAAGATCTACTGTTAGCAGTAAGGGGACATCAAAGGAAAGGTTCAAGAGGCTAGAAAATGTAAATTAAATCATTAGATTATTAAGATGGACATGCATGCAGAATCATGAAACAGAGCTTTGGCGGAGGGAGAGGCTGGGAAATGGGTCATTCAGGAACTTGGGGTGATCGACGCATGGCTCAGGCTGTGATGTCACTGCCCGAGATGCGCCACGGGTGCACCGCCACAGACGGCGTACATCATCTATGATCTTTACCAGATCTATACTCCAAACATATTGCATGGTTCCCAGGTTGGTTGCATACGTATCTGTTCGTGACACTCTTGGTGTGGGTTCAAGTCTGTTGGGCCTGTATTGATCCTGATCTCGTGGTTCTTGGTGGTAGCATGGATTTAACACCAAGATATATAGTGCCGCATGGGTTTCCAGGAACAAGCATGTGAACTTCAATTCAGGTGAGCCTTCCAGGAGTACTCGAAACATGACCGATACTCAGCAAGACTAGAGGCAGACAGTCTGGGCAAAGAGCGGGGATCCCCGGTCAGCTGCTAGTCATCACATGATCTCCCTATCCTAGTACATCATCTTCACTGTGTCTTTTTCTTTTTCTTTCTTCTCTTCACGCTCCTCAGAGTCGACCACCCCCCCGCCTACGCGTCTCTCCTCACGGCTGTAGATCAGCGTACGCGAAAGCCTCTTCTCCAGGACTTCGTTCCTTCTCGAACATATCGATAGGTCTTCATCTCCCATGAAGACTTGCGATTCCGAGAGGAAATTTGTTCTGGGAACGCTTCCAGGACTCCCCTCATGCGACTTGCATGACTCGGCAGCGTCGCTCTTTTTTCTCGACGAGTTCGTTCGTTCGTTCCCTCTCTTCTGGTTTTTCCTGTCGCTCCTTTGCCTCTATACCTGGTTGTCGCTGGTCTCTTTTCTGACTCAGTCCTTGGACGAGGACGGCCTCGACGTCAACGCCATGACGGTCAAGCGCTCCTTCATCTCCAAGGATAGGGTTGAGAAGTCGATCAGATCGGCCAAGAAGGCTTTCGGTGGGCACGGACACGTGAGAGCGAAGAAGATGCAGGAGAGGATGGATAGTCCGCCCACGGACAGGTAAGTGTGATCTTTCAGATAACCTCAGGGCTATTCCGTTCTTGTTCATCAAAATGTTGCTGTTAAAATATCTATCATATACTAAATCATGTAAAGTAATAAACACTGATTGTGACCTCTCTGCTCTAGTCCCCTCTTGAGCCCTATAGTCAGTTTGATTGTAGGACCGGACCAGCGTCTCTTCGTGGCCCACGAAGATGTCTTGTGTCGTTCACCTTTCTTCGCGGCCATGCTCCGGGACCATTATGTAGAGAACGCCATGAACATGGCAATCGCCTTACCAGAAGAGTATGTTCCCCTCTCAACACAACGATCCCAACCGCTCACCTCCCTCAGAGAGCCTGAAATCTTGTCCTGCGTTCTCGAATTCCTCTACAAGGGTGACTACTTACCCCGTCTGTTCCGCAGCAAAGACACCAACACCTGGGACCTCAAGAACGCCCACCCAGATTCTGGATCCAGCGAAGCCACCATCTTCCTGTCCGGCCTCCCCGGCCTTGTGCTCCGCGACACGGCAGTATACTGCGCCGCGGAGAAGTACGGTCTGGAGGGCCTAAAGCGACTCGCTCTGCGCAAGCAGGGCCTCCAGAGCGGGATCCCGATCGACGTGATCCTGCGGTCTGCGCGGTACGCCTACGACAACACAACGGACGAGGAGTATCGGCTTCGCGCGCACTATCTGGCCATGATCATTCGCACGAGACATATTTTCAAGAGTAGCGGTACTATGCAGGTGGAGATGGAATTAGGGCATCCGTTCTTTTTTGATCTGTTTGTGGCTATGTGTAATCATATGGATGATCTTGAGATGAAGTCAGTTCGATTCAGTTATCGTGACCTGATTCTTGAAACATCTGGCTAACTCTGGACTTGATACAGCAACTCGTCTCCCAAGATGACCTAGACATGATCTACACAGCTCCAGACACAGACACCAAAGAATCGTATCGAAAATATCCCAGACTCAGATTGCACCTACCGTCTGGTTTTGTTTGCCTAACCCAGAACACCCAACCACCAAAAAAAACCAAGAAAAGAAAATCCAAACCCAAACGTCCAAGCCAAACCACGCCATTCCTTTCTCGAGGCCGGCCGACCCTTTAATTCAAGCGATTGGAACGATCGCATCTTAACACCAACTTGTTTCGTTTTGTTCACTGTTTTTTGTGATGCGTTGATTCGATTCTGTCTCTACTCACGTATACACTCCTTGAGAGACGAAACAATGTTTGAACTGAGTTGAGATAGTTGATTCGATGACTTCAGGGCTCTGATTGTTTTCTTGTATCGGTTTTTTGGGGTTCCGTTTCTTTGCTTCTCTACTCTTCTGAGAATAATTGTCTATTCGGTTTTGATTATATGTGTTCACTTGATTGATTTAATTCTCTACCCTGTCTGTCTTCTACCATTCTTGCCTGCCTGTCTATCGAGTCCAATCCTATCCGGATAGGATAAGATATCCAGAACAGAACGGAACCAGACACGGCACGACCGGATAGTTTGACATAAACCAGGAAATCATAGTCAGAAAGAAATAACAAGAAACGAAGATTCGGCCGCCTCATTCTCATACTGGGGTTTTTTTTTTTTTTTCTTTCTAGTCTGGCCGTTTTATTGCCCTCCCTTCACTGCCTTTTGCCACTGAGTACCTACCTAGACCTGAGACCTGAGATCTGAGCAGCCTGAGGCGATCACCGAGAATACGAAGTTGTGAGCAGAAAGACTGAGTCCCCCCCTGAGCGAGTAATCTCACTATTCGCATCCGTAGATAGCCTATTCTATTCTCACCTCACTTGAATCCATCTATAAAGATGAATCAGATATCTACCAATTCAACACCTCTAGTGACGTGGGTAGGTAGATACTATGGGAATCCAAACTCCGCCATCACAAGGACCGCCTATCCCTCTAAGTTGCTTATCGAAACAAAGTTTCTCCTCATGAGCTTAGCAAAGCAAAGTGGGATACAAATAAGAATGAGAAAAATCGCGCTCTGCCCTCGGCCCACACACCTCTCTTCTTTCGTGCTCCTATTAACTGAAATGATAGGGTCTGAAACATAACGTGCCTGCCTGCCTGCTGTACCTAACTAGTTGGCACCCGGTCCTGCGAAGTCAGTCAATTATAAGAGTCTATCTACAGAGAAACCAAAAAAAAAAAAAATAGCAAAACATGAGAAGTAGAGACCAGGCCCCAACGTGCTCTCAATCTATATACAGCCTATACGACTTCCAACGCCTTTTTCGCAGCTTGCAGTATCGAGAGCATTCGGGAAAAGACACCTTTGTTATCCTCTCTCCGGATCTTCCCATTAGGGAAAATCACCCTTCGCAACTCATCAACCCACCGTTTCAACAGTTGGTGGTATTCCGTAAATTTGTCCATAGTGTTCTTGAAAATCTCGTCGTCCGAGACCGTTCCCAGCTTTAGTTTAGCTAGATCCTCCGTGCTAACATAGTTCCATTCGTCGAACTCTTTAACTACCCGTCCGGTGTCATTCGGACCATTGAAATGGATACAAACCCAGAAGAGCACCCAGAAGAATGACTCTAAGCCGTGAAGAAAGGTGAGCTCATCACCCAGCAATTGTGCTATGGGCATGAAGGCTCTCGTTCCAGTCTTTCCATGTGCACCGGACGGCTGGTCTCGTTTCTCCCGAATCGCGAGGTCCAGATCTATGAGGAAAGAAGGCCAAGGAGTCTCGTTCTCTTCGTTCATGAGAAGATTGCCAATAGATATGTCGCCTTGTAGAAGACCTGTTTTCGTATATAGTGAGTTATATCCCTCCAAACAACCTTCCAGGGCAGCTAGCATTGCAGAAAGGGACGTAGCCTTGTGGAGCGGCTTTCCGTAGTCTTGGACAATCACACGCCGGTGCACTCGGTTCTGGACGACAGGGTTACATCCAGATTTGCTTCGAGAATTCGAGCAACTGTGCTTGCTAGCGGGCAGCGCTGCACCGGAAGCGATATGGGTTGATGATCTCTTCCGTCCCGCATACTTGCGATCCTGGCAGGCTTGCGGGCCGCATGATTCTCCACTTTCTAATATAGATGGGTCGCTGCGATCTTGATTGTGGAATTTCGCCTGCGACAGATCAATGCCACGCCGAATGCCAGTCAGTGTGTCATCGGGCCCACCGGCGATGCGGACCGTCTCGTGGAAGTAATGTCTTGCAATGTTCGTGACCTTGCAGTCTAGAGCTTCCTTCGCGATGGGCCTTCCAACAAGTTGTAGCCCTGCCAGCAATACAGGAGCTCCTTTTCATCAGCTCATCGAGAATAAGGCGTTCTAAGGTTCCGTTGCGAGTAATCTCGATGAATTGTGTACCGTCGGGAGAGGACCGGATGCTTGGGTCGTGTCCCAACTGTTGATCGTTCATCAAAAGATATCCAACAAACGTTGATATGAATCTAAGAGCATCCTGAGGATATCAAAAGCCTCCGATGCAATCGCCCCCGCCCTATCGAACTTCCATAGCCTCATTATAGACCCACAGAGGGTGAAACCGAACACATACCGACGCGTTTCCTGGGCAGTGAACACTTCTCTCACGTATCTACCCAGATCGCGCCAAGTCCTTGAAACAGTATCAAGAGCTGGGTTGCTTTTCAACTCGCCTGCGACCAAGACTTGTGACCAATGCATTCTCTGCGGTCGCTGGGCCTGCTGGTGGCGAACGATTGCAGCGTCCAGCTTCCGACTCGCTATCGATCCCTGTAGCGGCTGAGACGGCCGTGCCAAGATACTTCTGTCTTCAAAGCTCCCGTGGTCGATATCAGTTTCCTTGAGGTATTTGCGAAACGAATCGACCGTCCTAGTCAGCCACTGTAGAACGTCCTTTTCTTGTGCGTCTGATGGCCAGCCTCGCCGACCAGTTGAATCATTGTATAGAGGTTCATCGCCATCCGTACAACGACGCATTATTATAGCGCTCGCTGCCTCTAATCCATCTATATTTCCGAAGAAAACGTCCGCAAAATTCCGAACGTCGATGCATATAGATCCTAGTTCCTCCTTCAACACGGTATCTACGTATTTGTGATGCTCCCACGAGTTGACAAAGTTGCTTGTCGTATGAAAATACGGTGTCTGGCCTAGAGAAGGAAGCGGCCTCCGGGGCGGGGTCGGTTCAACGACTACTCCGTAAGCTCTACGCCAGATAACCTCGTCTGCTTCGGCATCCAGGACAGCATTGAGTAGTGAAATGATCCGCCGTATCTCGAACTCCTCCGAATCGACGACTGATATGAACCGCCGAAGGTCGTTCCGAAATGTCCCTTGGCCAATCGTTGAAGGTAAATGAGAACTAGCAGGGAGGTGCTGCAGAGCGAAAACGAAGTTGACCAATAGGTCTTTGAAATCTGCTCTTGTGTTAGAAGAATCGGATTCCGGATAACATGTCAAGCTCACCTTTTTGCTGTTCTAGAGCTGCAGGATCGAATGGTCTTGCAATGCCTAGGCTATCGCAGCTTGTTTGGAAGCTACGCGCGAAGGCGTCCAGGCCGCCCTTGATAGACGGTGCCGTAGATAGCTGCGCGTCTGAGGGATTTATTGAACCAGCCGCATCCACACATTCTATTAACACTTTAAGAAGATTGGATTAGTGGACTTCTGTTCCGATGATGGAGCGAAGAGCCGATCCCGTTAGCCAGGTGGATCAAGATGTGCCAAGGCTGGGTTTATGATTTATCACCCGTCTTGGATCACCTGACGACCAGCCCCACCTGACGAACAATCAATATGGCTCTAATCGATAAAGCGATTATAGAATTAGAACCCTTAATACTCTTCGAATCTGCCGTTCATTCAGGTTGTCAGTCCTTAGGAAACGGTGGAATTTGATAGCACCCATGGAAATCTCTAGGTAGGTATACTGTAGAATCAATCCTCCGAGAATCTTATGAGATTAGATAGCTAGCTAGCCAAGCCACAGTAGACTAAAGACAGAAGAGCGACAGATGAAATCTACCCACTTCAAAACCATACATAAAATCATATTTGTACCGATCTATCGGCTTTATACTGTAGGAACCGTAAAGAGTCAGGTCGGGTCAAGTCAAGTCACGTCGAACAAGCAAACGAACCAAATAAAACAAGTCAAAGTAAGCAACCATATACGCCAATTAAGTACAATCCCATGATAGAAGATAAGATAGAGATGAAGAAGCACAGAAAAGAAACACAAAGAGAAAGGAAAAGGAATTCACCGTCTCAAACAAGCCAGCCAGCCAGCTAGCCAACAACTAGTTGATCTGTTAGTCAATCAATCCCGTATATCGTGATGCCTTGATATGATATAACTTCTGGAGTCTCAGGTTTCCAATTGCTTTCCAATCAACCGACCAAACAGACAAACAACAAACAAACGCCTCTGGTATTTGAACCTATTCCATCCTTTGCCTGTACTTGGTAACTCGTACTTGCACGGGTTGTGCTGTACATCCACACGCCTTGTCCTTGCACGCCAATAAAAAGAAAAGTAAAACGCCCCAATCGATCAATTATATCCAGGTTCGATATAAAAAGCAGTAATTCTGAGTCGAGCAATTTAGCCCGCTCGGGCCTTTTTCGTACGCTCTTGTCCGTAACTGTCGTCGCTGCCTTTGAGCGGATACAGATGCATGCCCATATCGATGGGAAAGTCGGGATGCAACAGGCTGAATCGGTTCGGGTTGGTCGGGACCCCGTCCGTCTCGGTCGGAACGGGCTCCACCAGTAAATGCACCAGGTTCTTGTCGAAATAGCCCGACGGCTTGGCGTTCAACCGCTGCAGACGAGCCCAGTCGTCGTCGACTTCTTCATTCATCAGCGGAGGCAATGGGGGCGCGCCGTTGTTGCTGGGTCGCGCGTGGTAATTGGCCAGGATGTTGTACGGCAAGTTGGGCCGGACCGCCGGCTTGTCCGACAGTTCCGCAAGCGCATTGAGCGCATGGTTCCCATGTCCGCGCGTGGATCGCGTCGCATGGTAATTCTGACTGGCCGTGCGAGCCATGTCGGTCGCCGGGGTACCGTTGTCCTCGGCGCCCGTACCATCCACGCCGGAAGCCTCCTCCGTGTCGGTATTGTTGCCGTTCGTCGCCGTGCCGGACGGCTGATCGCCGCCACGCTTGGAGGTCGAGAAGAAATGTACGGTGGCAACGTGGGCTTGGTTGGCGTGGGCGCTGAGCTCCTTTTCGGTGAACAGGGAGTTGATCGAATACAACGGCGCCTGTTGCTGCTGGGCCAGTTGCGCCTTGGCGCGCTCGGCCGGGGCAGACGACGATGTCGCCGCCGCCGTGCCTGCTGCCGCGCCGCTCTCTCGCACCGGCGACCCGACATCCTCCTCCGGCGCCTTGCGCTTCCTCTTATTGATCTCAGATATAATGCCATTGCCCAACTCATCCAAGTCGACTCGGTGGCGAGTATGACGGGTCTTCCGGTTCCCGTGGATCCCGCCGGGACTGGCAGGGTTGGTGATACTGAATTGATTGGGGTGCAGCAGAAGAGCGTTGGTATCGGCGATATCCAACTGCTCCTTCTCACGCATCAGACGAGCGCGTTTGCTCGAGATGGTCTGCACGAGTCGTTCGCGGAGAGTAGAGGAGAGGTTTTTGTATTCTTCTTCGGCAAAATGGATCCGGAAAGAATATTCACGAGTAAATCGATCCAGGTTACTATCATGTCGATGCTTTAATTCACGTCAGCTTGTCATCCCATACCCTCTTAACCCAAGACCCAAGAAAGGAAAAATAAAACTTACCGCCAACATCGCCAAATCCGCATCCTTATCAGCCTTCACCTGATTAACCTCCTGCACAAACCGCGAGTACCACATGCCCGCCAGACTCGCCATCTCCTTGGCGAACTTGCCCCCACCCACGGTATTCTCAATCAACTTCGCGATGTCGTCCGCGGAGTCGGGGAGCGGGCCGGGGGAGTAGAGATCGGCATTGTTGATCAGAGTCATATCACACTGCAGGGCGTGCAGTTGCTGGCGGAACTGGGTGTCTCTATTCTGGCTGAACGAGGCCGTCAGGTCCTGGAGACGCTCTTGGAGCGCACTGCGCCGTTTGTCTCGCTTGGATAGAGGGACGCTGGTCGGGGGACTCGTCGAGCGGCCTCTCGAGTGTAGACTGTTGAGGAGCGCTGGGCCACCATTATTGGGGCCAGGGGAGGCAGGGGCAGGCGAGTACGCCATGGCTAGTCGGTGTATACTAGCTGGCTGACAATGGAGAAAGAGGTCCTGCTACCTCGAGAGGGGAGAGGGGGAGAGAAGGAATTGCTTAGTGGGTAGATGGGATGGAATCTGCAGATATAATCATGGACAGATACGCAAATGGAAACAGGCAAGAAGAAAACGCATAAGCAGCAAACTAGCGAGACGGCACAAAAAGACCAAGAAAAAAGCAGAGGAAGTGAGGACGCAGAGAAACACAACTGGTGATGGAGCAGAAAGCGGGAATCCGGCCGCGGGCCCAAAACAGTCTAGCGTCGGGGACATTTTTGACCGCCTTCGTGATGTCGTTTTTCATGAGTAGAGAAATGCTCTACGTAGTATGAGGGCTAATAAGATATATCACATTACGCAGTCTCGAGTCAACAAGTCTCACACAATTCACTTCCATTCATATCATCTGTCAGTCCTCATTCGGATCGTATATGTCCATGTTCTAAATAAACCATGCTAGTTCGTCTCGCTTCAATAACCATAAATCACAAACATCCTGGGTATTTATCCGATCAAAGAAATCAAAAAATGTAATAGAAAACCGCAAAAAAAGCCGGTCCGACTTGTGGACTCCCCAATGTGAACCAAGTTATATATGCCACAATCAAAAGACGCCGCCAGTTCCGTCCGAGCCACCCTTTTTTGTAATCACCATAGTATATCCAATGAAGAGATGAAGGTAAAAGGAAAACCAGACAATAGAAAAAAATAATATGAAAAATGTAAAAAGGGAAAACGCGGTGGCGGGCTTGAGTTGTAATCAAACGACCTCCGGATGATTCTCGGAATACTGTAGACCCGACCGATCATCCCTCTTTAAGGCACTCTCCTTTAGTGGGACCGACGGATCACAAATACTCCGAGTTCAATCCCATCACGAGGCTCCATCTCTTCGCCGTAGGGTCGTTTCCGGATCCCATCAAGGATCTCGCCCAACAACATAGCGGACGTCACTTCTTTGTCTTGCAACATATAGTTTGTCGTTTGGTTCGACACCGACTTGCTGGCGGGAAGCCGTCGGCCGTTCTGCCAGTACAGGCTGAGCACATCCTTTATCCGGCTCTTTTCCTGGTGGATATACCATTCGGTCCAGACATTACGATCCGGTCGGGCGCTGCCTTTCCGAGCATCGGCAATGCTAAACCGCGAGGTTGACGAACTCAAGTTATCACAGAGCTGGGCCAGATTATCTCGCATCGTGTCGAAATCTTCCATATAAGAAACTGAGGCCAGCTTGCCCAGATACCGTCCAATGTCGGCAGACAGTTCGTTGACCACCACAAGCTGCCGCAGAAGAGGGTCGAGGATCGGTCCTAGAAATTGGGACTTGAAAGTTGAGCCACCGCGTCGGGTGGGGTAAATAAACAGGAGTGAGCCACCATCAGGGGACAGCTCACACAACCGATCCACCAAAAAGGACGGTCGGTGGGGTTGGAAAAGATCTTTGTACTCCTGTGCCGATGATGGCGGGATATACCGTTCCAGAACCGAGATATGTACACTGAACGGCGGAACGATGGGCATGGGAAAGTGAGAGGCTTTCGGTTTGATGGGGCCTCGGAAATCGTGATAAGCGGATACTACGGCCGCACTGGAGAAGACGGTCGAGTTGAAGTAGTCGTCCGCCGGGAACATGGATCGGGGTGTGGTAGGAGGAGAGCAAGGAAGGTTGGAGAGGTTGAACTGTTCGGGAACGGCATGGGTGATGTTGATGTATGGCGACTGTCCATGTTGCAGTCGATGCTGAACGGCTTGGATCAAGCCAGCGAAAACGTCCTCGCTCGTGGGGACGTGCTTATCGGCCGGGCGTGGATAGGGAAGCATCTGAGACACAACCTTGACTGCTTCACCGCGGGCGTTCGAGAATGGCAGAGACGATACTATGGAAATCAAGTCAGCCATCATGAGCAACGCCTTTTCCACTCTGCGGTCTAATCTTACCTGCTGCGTCGATTCCAGTCTCTAACCATGTGTTATGGTCACAATCCATTTCACCAGATGGCCCCGGACTGCCTCCTGAACTGGAAGGCGACACATTCGACAGCTGGTCGGACGGACTGCCTAGGCTGTCTGACGAGGCGCCTGCGGGTGTGCTGTCCATGTTGGGACCCTCGTCCATGGGCATCGGCCCAGGTTCCCGGGTCATATGAGGTTCGAACAATAACATGTTGGATTTGGGATCCCACGCTACGTGCTCTTCGTCTTCTGGAGGAGTGGGAGGGAGAGTGGACGGGTAATCGCCTTGGGCCGAGAGATCCCACACAGCGGAGGAAGACTGAGATGCTCGAGCCGCCAGCGAACTCGATGCCGTCGAAGAAGAAGGCGAGAAGCGAGAAATAGGCTCCTCCGATTGCGTCCGCGATTCGATTCGACCGGCGGATTTGGCGGAAAGGCCGAGGTGTTCAAAAGAGGAGAGATGTAACGAAGCGTTGCTCTTGGAGAGAAACCGGGAGACGGGAGACGGTTTTGTGAGAAGGGACCCTTGCGAAGCTCGCCGTTTCAATCGACTCGAGCCCGTGTCTCGGGACGTTGGTGGTTGTGGTTGCAGTGACTGCGGATTTTGTTGTTGATCAGGTGAGATGGGGCTTAATTGGTTGGGATCCTGCTGCTCCAGGTTGGTCACGACTCCTTGATGCGGCGAACCGACGCCCCTGGGCATATATGAACTCCGGTTGAAAGAAAATTGTGAGTTTGACGAGTATGACGAACGCATAGCCGGGAAATCTTGCACCAGAGAGTCAGGCCGATATGGTCCATGACACTGTGACTGATTCATCCAGGCTATGTTGATGTCCGGGCGAAGAGCCACGAGAGAGAAAGAGACGGAGGGAGGAGGAGGGGGGAGAAGGTGGTGATCTGCAGGACGCCAAACAATCTCTCCAAGTCAAAAAGAATCAGGCCACGATGATAATCTGGCAATAAAGACAAATCCTCCAAAACCGGTTTTGACGGATTAGATGGAGGGAGGTAACGGCGATTATGGTCGTTTAGTGAAAGGAAGAAAAGAAGATCGTGACAGTCGAGAGAGGACGGAAGAGGTGTATGGGTTAATGGCGGGATGTCGGGCGACGGATGGAGCAGGGTCGAAGAATCAGAGGGACGGTCGGGGAAAAGCGAGTTGAAGAGTGGAAGTGGCTTGAGTAAAAAAGAGAGGAGGAGAGAAGCGGCGGCGCGGCAGGAAGAGAGAGGAACGAGAGGGAAAAAAGAAGTGGAGGTTTTGGATGATAATGATGATACACAGTGGGGAAAGACAAGGGAGATTGGGAAGAGAAAGAGGGAAGGGAAAAAGCTTCGAGGTCGGATAAGAGACGGGCAAGTAAGTATTAACCAGAGGAGTAGGAGAAGCAAGAGAAAAGACAACGGGCGCCAGGAAGGCCGAAAGAATGACGCCCAGGAAAAGGCGTTGACCCAAAGGGCAGAACCTGAACCCTCTAAAGCGCTCCTCGGGCTGCGACTTTCCACCGGCGTTCTAGACCGGGCGGCCTTGGCCTGATTTGGCCTGATTGGGGAATCCATGACACGAGGACCGCTCGTCTTGTGCTCCTGTCGGTGTAATCCCGTTACCGTCTTTTTTATTTTCTTTTATTGATTATTCGGAGTATCATATTAGATCCTCTAATATTTTATGTCAAGGAATTCCTTCAATCTCATGTCTATCTCATTTTGACAGATGCTCTATACAATGCTGTCTGGCACCTCCCAAATATTGTATGTACTAAAGGTCTCGGTCGGTCGCGGGCAATCCTTCCAGCCTGGCATCTCCCAATACGATGATCCAACGGGGACCCAATGCTAGTCATAGGCCCCCTCCGACTCGTCTAGGCCCTTCATAGTGGCTGATCGGGGCTAGGTCGTGTCCAAAAGACCCAGCCGTACCGTAACAACCATTACACAGTCATCATTATTTTTTCCCTTCCCTTCATTTTTGTCTTTCGTCGGCGGTCTGGGTTGAGGGAGGGGGGCAAAAAGACAGCCAGGAAAAAAAAAAAAAAAAAAAAAGAATGATAGCAACAGACCCACCATTTCCTCGACCTGACTGGAATGGGAGATCGATGGACCCTTGGAAAGAGAAAAGCGGTTTGACAGGTTAGGGAAATTGGGGGGAAAGGCGGTTTGGAATAGATGAGGATGATTCCGATGATGATGAATTCGGCGGGGTGGATATTAAATAACTTATTTAATCATGAGTTTAATGGCATGATTGACCCTTTTTTTTTCCTCTGCCATGATCCTCACTGCCAGTCAAGATGCGATCATCCGGTTGACAGATAGGATGCCATTTTGTCAAAGTGGCCAAAGCAGGTACCGAAGAGGGGGGAAAGGAAGAAAAAAAAAATAAAAATGAAAAAACGGCAGGTGTAAATCCTTCGACTTGCTCCGGCATGGGGATCGGTGGTATTATTAGTTACATTTACATACCTGCTTTACGCCGATCAGCGCCATCAACGCCTCCTTGGGAACGCCATCGCCGCCAGATGACTGATCGATATCATCCAGACAAAGAAACCTACTGCGTGTGTTGGTTGTACAACCAGATTATCATCCTCGTCGTTAACATTATTATTATCGACTAGTTTCTTTGACAGGGTCGGTAGAAAAGAATGTGACGCACTGAGGAGTCCCGGAAAATAGTCCCTGGTCCAATAATCGCTAGTTTTTTTTTTTTTTTTCTTGCAGCAGACTGATGGGAGGTGGGAAGGACCCAGATAAAATCAAACTGGACAGGAGGACAGAAAATTATTCAACTAAAATAAATAAGAATGGCGGTCGAGCAATAGCGTATAAACTAGCCAGACGCTCAGCTCAACGTAAATTGATCCCTCCAAGGGTCAGACCGATCCCTACGTCAGTCTATCTGGACCTCTCTGCTTCCACCCTAGCTTCTTTTGCTTCTTCTACGGAGTACCCCCGTCATACCTGTCTCAGGATTCAGGGTTCATGTCTGACTCAGATTATGTACACGGTGTATACATACGGTGTAAGTACGGTGTAGGTGTATAAAATAATATTAATGTCCTGTGCCATGTAGGATGACGATGTCTCCAGACAGAGTCTAGAATCTTCGCTTCAAGGCTGTCCAGATGAAAACGAAACATTGGCAAATCAGCCGGCTCTCGGCTGCTTTGACAGGGACCAAGACGATAACCATAATCCTTAGGTGTCAGGGTTCAATTTACTTTGTATGTACATGTAGTATGTACAATTGTAACCAGGTTTAGTGACTGCATTAAGCATTGTGTTGTATGTACCTTTACAAGATCATTCATTCTCTTGCCTCGGTATACTTCTCCTCACTAAGAAAAATCCCCCCTCAGCGCCGCCTAAATTCAAGAAAAAGAAGGGAGAACCTCCAAAAATCGACAGACGTCGACCACCTCCATCCCTTCACAGTCCTGGGTCGAGCGAAATGAAAACCAAAAAAGAGAGGGAAATCTACCAGCGTGATTGGCCCCATATCCACCCAATAAGTTGCATCGCCCGATCCGAAACCCACAGCCCATTTCCGGTCCGGATTGACGTCTAGACTTCTAGACCCTGCTCCGTGCTGCCGAAGGGGATCCGCCTTTTTGGATCTGTCTCGGGCCTTTGCACAACTATTTTTTTTCTTTTCTTTTTTTTTTCTGCCGACTTGGTCTGTTTCTCCAATTTTCTGCCTTCTTCGGTCTGGACTGTTTGGACTTTATTGCGGTGAGGTAACCTCTGCTATTAAGATCTAGGCGAGCAGAGCAGAGTAGAATCTCTCGCTCTCTGACTCTCTACTATTGTCTATGGTTAACTTATTGATCCCATTCGTCTGTAGGGACAGAAACTAGACAAGTAAGGTAATGTAACCACACCAAATAATCGAGAATAAATCCCAAGCGGTGACCCACGGCAGATCCGGAGGTTTCCTTCTTTGTCTTTGAGCCTCGATTCGACCTTAGTTTCATGCATGTCTAGTGGGCTTCGGTAAGGAAGATATTTCGGAGTACGGGTGGTCCTGTCGGTAGAATAGAGCGTGGAGTATAATAGAGTACCTCAATTAGTAGTTACTGTACTCCGTACTCCGTACTTACCCATCAGTTTGGTAGACAGGATCTAGGATGGGAGTGTGCTGTGATCTCTCACTTTTCGCTGCGTGTACGCTCATTCTCCCTTAGGTAGGAAGATTTCTCCTGTCGACTAGGGCAAGACCTCATTATCCCCTTCCATCCTGTGTAGGAAGGACCGAGAAGTAGAAATAGCTAGAAATAGGCCTAGGAGCAAGAGTAAAATGTAGTCCACCACCATCACCACATCCACCCCATTCTTCCCGTTTCCTCCCCCTCTCCCCTCTCCCCTTAAGACAGAGGCAGAGAGCCAGCCAGATCCGACCGTTGCCCTCTTTAGGCAACATGCATGCAGCGAACGAGTTAGCCGGCTGGCTTTACGTGGTTCGGTAGAATTTTTCTTACACATAAAATTCATAAACCACGTTACTTTGCCAGTGAGCTCAATTTGTTTTAATTTGCGTCCCCTTAACTGCTCGACCTATTATGTTTTCGAATGGGGGGATCCTGGGGGGGAGGGGGGGGGCATGAGGTGGGGGAAGATGGTTGTCGGCGTACGTAGTCGTAGTATGGTTTTAATTGCTTTTTGCTCCACGCCCAGGGCTACTACACACGGAGGGAGGCTGGTGTGGAAGTAAGCTGGAAGTAAGTAAGTAATACGAAGATACCTACGTTAGAGGTCATGTATGTTTTGCCCTCTGATTCAAGCATGATTTATTCATTCCAGTAGATACTGTGGTTATCATCGACTACTGAGTACTGACACAGGGAGGCGCGCCCCAACAAGCTCATTTAAAGTCAATCGATAGAAACCTTCGGCTGACTTTTCTTCCTACCGCGAGGGATCTCACTTCAGATATTTCCTATAGGGTACCTCTGTTGGGGTGGAATGTTATATTGCCGGTGTACCATGGGTATGTAGAGTCTCTTCTTTTGCAGGTATGCCGATGTCGCCTTGAATGATCCCGGTCGGTTTGATGATTTGGGCGAGAAAAATTAAAATAAATGGAATGAAAAACGTGCGAGAGAGTTGTCAAACACTAAACTCCATTTTCAAACACCATAACTCGAGGAGAAAGGAGGAGAAAGAAACGATGAGGAAACACTTTCACCCTCACCATCACCCTGTCTGTAACCAATGGAGGAGGGTATCATGGGTTTCATCAGAGCCGACCCGGCGACCCCTCTTTCTACCGACACTGTTGTCGATACAGTACGAGTTAAGTAACATACTATTCAATATTCTATTCCATTCCATTCCATCCATCAAACCATAAGAACCCCAACTATCGACGAAAAGAAAGAAAACGACACACCCAGACAAATAACAAGGAAGAAGAAGAAAGAAGAGGGGTGTGCACGAAACCTGTTCATGGTCAAACGGTCAAACCTGAACCACCACCACTATCATCATCGATCATCGGCATTCTCCAGATGACCCTAACCTACCTTGAAAAAACCTTGATCTTACCTTGGTCCTGGCGCCGGGTTGTTTTTCTTCCGTTGGATCACAGGGTTTTATTTATTTCTTTGTTTCTGGTCTGGTCTGGTCTGGGCTTTTGGGGGTCTTGTTTACTTATTTACTTATTTTACTACCTACTTATTCACTTACCGTCTAATAACTATACTTTTACCTACCAACCAAGTTAACTGTGCTAAATCTGTATGTGTAATCAACTCATGAAATAATTACAAAGTACATACAGTCAGGTCAGTATAACTATTCCTAACTATCCATGGCTTATGCAGGCGTTCCCGTGTCTCCACTTTTGCCTTGTCTCGAATAGACAAGGGTCGGTTGTCGGTCGGTCGGTAGGTAGAGTAGGTAGCCCTGTCTACGGTGTAAGGTAGTCTACTTAGGTACTGTATGTAGGTGGTAGAGTGGTAGGTAGGGGTGGTTTCAATTTCATCTTCTTTTACTTCAAGAGTTAAGAAAGTTGGAGAATTGACCTAGGCAACTAACGACCCAGGAGACTAGCCCTTGTCTTGTGCTTAGTGGGTTAGTGTTAGTGGGTTAGGGCTGGATATTATTTTCTTTCTTGCGTTTTTGTTTGTTTGTTTGTTTGTTTGTGGGGGTTGGTTTTGTTTTAGTTACTCTAGTTGGGTTGGGTCGGGTCGGGTCTGGCTGTCTGGACTCTGGTCTGGTCTGGTCTGGGACCGAGATCACCGTAGGGTAGGAGATTTTCTTGAAAAGAAAAGAATCAGAAAAGAATCAGGGCTACATACGTAGTGGTCTAACAGAGTATGTAGCCGCTATAGAACTGGGGTTCTTGGTTGTTTTTGTTTACTTTGTTTGATCTGGACTTGGCTTACTCCAGACAAGAGTATGTATAGTTGCAACTACACCATACAGGAAGTATATATTAAGGTAAGGTAGGTGGAAGAAAGCAAGCATCTACATCTTGAAGATAAACCAAAAAAAACACAATAATGTGTTTCTTTCTTTCCATCTCCCAATTGTACTGTGTACAGTACTCCAAACCCAGCACAAACAGTGATACCCAGAGGTAAATACACAAGAAGATTTACCTTTTCCCACCGACGATCTTCAAAGTCTCGACTCGGATGTTGTGGTGCGGAAGTGCCGATTAGAGTAGGTGATAGGCAAATTGTTGGCTGTTCTCCCCTCCTCTGTTCGGAGGACGGAGATCCTTGTTCTCCACTGTGTCCTGTGACGGTCTGACAGGGACAGTGACTCTGACAGTAACTGACACTGACGGGTAGATTTATTATTGAGATTGGAATACTATGTACATATTATTCGATATTTAATTTGGTTTGATTGCAATGTGGTGTCGATGATCGATCGATCTTGCTGCGGAATTCAATTGAATTATTCTAGATGGAATCGTAACAGTCAACAATTCTTACGGACGGATGATGAATCCAGAAAATTCTTTGAGATGATTATTATTCAAGATAAAAAATGTCTACTCTATTGTTAATCAGTCCATCTGTACCATCGCATCCATCTCGATCTCTACCAACATCCTTGCATCCACAAACCCATCCCGCACCACCACCATGGTCGCGGCCGCTCCCACCCCTGGATGACCGCCCCGTCCCAGAACCTCCGAAAACCCCTCCCCGACCGCCACGCAGTCTTCCGGTCGACTGACAAACATCCTGACTCGCACGACGCTCTCTGACCCCTTGCCGCCTAAGGCCTGGATGGCTTGGATGCATTCGCCGAGCGCCACGCGCGTCTGCTGGCGTGCGTCGCCCGGAAAGAGGATCTGCGGGGCATCGCTGGGAGACGCGGGGTCGATGGCCGTGGTGCCGGAGACGAAGATATGCTGCCCGTGTCGAACCGCTCGGTAGTAGCCGATTTTCTCCTCGAAGGGCGACGACGTGGCGAAACATTGCTTGGAGGGGTGAGGGGTGGTGAGGGTGTGGGTGACACCTTGCTCGGTGGGGGAGGTCATCTTGCTGGTGTTTCGGTCTTTGGACGGTGTGACGTGGAATTGGGAAGAACCTCGGCGTGTACCACCTCAAGTTCGTAGTCGTGAAGGTCCAGGTCCGGCGACTGTGCAGCCGTTATAAGAATCCGAATTGGCTGTGAGTCATGCCAAGCTTGACTCGATCGCTTAGCTCGTATTTCGGGCTCGGGAAGCGCCGGCCGTTATGCAGCTTCAGGGATCTTCCCCAGTTCAATCCTGGTCGACGTGTCGAGAAGCCGAGAGACCCTGGACAATCCAGGTAATGGAGTACTGCTAGCATCGCTGACTTGCAATGCCCAATGTACTCATGCATGTTTTGTCACCGAGACGGCTTGGATATCATCGATCCAAGTCACGTCCGCAGGTGTGGTTTAAGAAGTGACGGATCTTCTTCGGGGATCGCCGTGTCGGCGAGCATGGAACCGCTGGGGCCGATCGCTCCAGTACGATTGCATGCAGCGGTTGGCCGAGATTTTAGAAAATCGGCGCTGCTCTTCGGTGGTCAACACCGAGTGCTTCTGCGCACAGCTGGAGGTCTTCACCGCAATGGGGTGCATGTGCTGCTGGCGCGACGAGTAATGCACGCCGGTGTTGTACAAGGTCTGCGACTGAAGGGACTTGCGGTCGAGAGCGGTGCGGAGCTCCAAGCACTGCAGCACTAGCTGCTTCACGCCGTCGGTCAACGCGCAGGCGCGGTACTCGATATCCGGCCAGAAGTCGTCGCCCCAGAAGGGATCCTCGCGGACGGCGGCTTCCAATGCCTCAAACCAGAAGTCGAAGCTAGGCAAGCGTCGCTTGGCGTTGAGAAGGTCTAGACCTTGCAGGTGGTCGGACAAGAGGCAAGCCACCGCAACGAACCGGATCGTCGGCTCAGAGTGCAAGACGTGCAAGGCGATGCAGGCGGGGCATCGTTCGGTCATGTACCAGTCATGCTCCTCGCGCAGGATACAGTGCAACCAGGCGTAGGCGCTCCGAGCTTCTCCGCGGAAGGCGCGCTCGGGCTCTGTGCCTCGGTGAGTGGGGAGCACGTCGGCGGCGACGCGCGAAGCTTGGTTGTGGAGTAGAAACAAGGGGAGAAGGATGGTATGGATGATATCGCGGTGAAGACTGAAAGTTTCCTGCTCATCCTCGGAGCAAGAGTGGCGGTGGAAGGCACAAAAGCTACCGACCGACAAAAGTTAGCGATTGAATGCGCCGACCGAGTTGTCACGAGGACGGGTGGAATCCACCTACCTGGGAGCGTCCATTCCCATTTCCTGGCGTTTCAAGTGCTCTCGAACGGCCTTGAAAGCCTCGTTGCGGTCCAGTCTCTCGCCGTCCGCGCGAGAGATCCGAAACGGCGAAAACGTGTTACCCGTGGACATGGCGACGACCAATTGGAATTTCGGGTGGCGGAGGAGAGAAAGATTGGGGGAGGGGGACCCCTGAAGCTTAAGAGAAGACGAGAAGTATAATATCAAGGGGATCGGCGTGGAGATTGAACGATCTAGGAAACCGCCTTCAGAGTTCGGCAGGTGACGTCGAGGACGAGAAAAGGCGAGGGATGCCACCCAATCAATTGGAATAGTGGAGTTGCAGAGTGGTCGAGATGCGGGCAAGGACGAGAACCACGGATGGCATGGTCCAGAAGAGGCGATTGGGGGCGAAGAAGGGGGATGTATGAAGAAACGAAGCAGCAAGGCAAGAGAAGCGAGAACTGGGGGGAAGGGGGAGGGGGTGGGAACGTAGCAGTATTAAAATATTAAGTTAATTGGGAAGGTCATAATAATAATAATAATAAAAGGAGACGATCCCCGAATCCAGACTCTGGGCTGGAAGCGTACGTGTGCCAAATGGTTTAATTAGCAATTTTAGCTCGGGGGACTTACGTTAGTTCCTCCAGTCCTTCCAGACCCGCGAAATGAGAAACCGGGCAGCGTCGAATCCCGTTTGCACGCATGCGGTGGGAGGCCCCGTCATCCACGCAAGCCCCGTCGATCCTTTTTGGCTTTTCTTTCTTTTCTTTCTTTTTCCTCCCGGGCGAAAAGGAGCACCGTTACATCTCCTAATCTCCCCCTTTCTAGGGTTTCATTTTATCTCGAATTGACTTGAGACGAGGGATTCGAATAGATTGATTTTTTTTAATATCATTTTATTTTTATCCTGCTGTCAAAGCCCTACGGCGTCCCCGTAGAACACAGCATCTTTCCTCCGTTCACCGGAGTACAACTCTAACTACTGAAGTACTGAGCACAGCTTCCCCTCTTTTCCCAATTAATTAAAAGTCTCCCCCCTTTTTCTCCCGCCCTAACGTGACCACAACGTGACAAGTGACAACGACCTCCTCCCCCTAAGAGCCAATAATGGCGGGTCGCAATTATCGTGCGGTGGAGCTCCCCAGGGTCTCGATCGTTGCCAAGGTTGTCGCCCATTGCGTTATTGCGTCCCCGATAACCGCTCGCTCCTCCTTAGCGCCCACGGCTACACAGTGTAGATAGCCCGTTTGGGTACTTTTGGGACCGTGTGACGAAACTGCCCGCGGAGTGCCTGCAGATCGTCGTCTCTCCCCAGCACCCTGATACCCTGATCAGCGTCAATTAAATCGGATTGAGTCCGTGTCGGGTTACGATGGAATCTCGTCTGGACGATCTGTCGGAGGCCGACCTGTTTCGAGTAATCGTGATATATATGTAACCGAGAACTGACTGGCCACTCGGCCAGTAGTGAGTAAACAATATATACACCGTATAGCATTGCCTTTTCGGGAATCACAACCTGTACACCGGTGTACATATCATATCCACTTCGATATCATGGAGTTCCTTTAGATATTTTCTGCTACACGATCAAATAGTGGACCTTTGCAACAACTCGTCTCGGTGACGCCATTGCTTCGCGTAGACCGTTAAATGTGAGGGCTACGCCATAGTTAGGGGATCTCTGCGCTCTTCCCCGGAGAATCATCCGCGGAGTAACGCTGTTCCAGCATCAAATAGATCTCTATATTCATGTACTAGGTAGATTTGGATTTTGTGGAAGATTCCGGTAACAGCATGAGAAATTGGAGATTCCCATCTTCCTGACCGCGAGATCCTGCATTCGAGCCGGGAAGCTCCGCACGATTGAAGCGGAGGATTCCATTAATTTCGCCACTGTACTCCAGTATTTCAACAGATTGCTTTCCATACTAGTTTCCTGATACTGCAGGGCATTTCCATCCAAGGTACCGGAAACAGGAAAAATGAAAACGACGACAAGGACGAGATTTGAACTCGCGACCCCGAAGGGATAAGATTTCTGTTTCTAGAGCGCACCGGCCCTATGGCATCATTCAATTAATAGCTTCAAAATTACATTTCAAATTTGGAATCTATGTCCCTAATTTAAGGTAAATAATATCACAGGCAAGGTGGTCGAGTGGTTAAGACGTAAGACTTGAATCCTTTTGTGGGAGTGGTCCCTTCGGGGTTCTGTGCTCTCAAGGAACAGGAATCTTATCCCTTCGGGGTCGCGAGTTCAAATCTCGTCCTTGTCGTCGTTTTCATTTTTCCTGTTCCCGGTACCTCGGGGGGAAATGCCCTGCAGTATCAGGAAACTAGTATGGAAAGTACTTTTTTTTTTTTTTTTTTTTTTTTTTTTTTGGTTTAAAAAGGATTTTCTTATGTAAATTATTGCATTTTTTTTTTCTTTTTATTTCCTGGGCACAATTTCCCTATGGTAACAACTAGCTAACGGGTCAAGATAGATCCTTTCATCTTCAATATGACGTGGTCTTAGTCGATTTCATAGAGAATTCCGCTCGTTTTCATGGAACCTACCGCTTCATATAGGTAAAGACCTTCGGAACTTGCCTTCATCGGAGGTTTGGCGTATTGCTCAGAGCACCCAAAAGGCTTACAGATATCAACGGGATGCTCAGGAAGCCATGAAATAAGCGAGAAATCAACACAATGATCATTTCAGGATGTGAAACACTTCTAGCTCCTATGTGTGGCCCTTGGAGAGCTGATGTGACTCCTAATCCGATGAAACTCCAGGTGTAGGATGCTTGAATTGCATGAAGATCCCGCGGTCTGCAGCGAGGCTATCACTGTGGTTCAGCTGGCAGGCAGGCAGGTGTAAGTGAATATGAGTCGTCCAACAACAGGCAGTGCTCTACCAATTCACTCATTCCTCTATCACCCCATGAGCTCCTCAGGAGGAAGCCTCTCTTCTGAGATCCCCTGTTTTGTCTCCTGGCTTTCAACTTAGCCTTGAGCCTGTCCTCAGCCAAGCGAAGAGCAGTCATATCACTCGGGTAAATGCTAGATACCCATCTCCAGCTGAATACTTATCTAACTTATATTTCTACCAGGAAACATACCGTTGCGATATGGACCTGAAAACGCGAGGAAAAAAACACCTCCCCGGCAACCGAACCCCATCTCCTTCCTCCTCCCGAGCTTCAAGAACCTGGCCATGTCCTACCCTGAGCCACCTGCCTGTCCATCGAACTCTAAGATGTTCCTATTGCCCGTGCTCATATTGTCATGAATAAGATCACATTATTGATGATTAGCCAGACTGTCCCGTATGTGTATCATACCATCGCAAAGGACACGAGCCTACTTGTCGCTATAGAAAAGGGTATTATCAGGAAATACCAAAACCCGGACCACAAAAATGAAGGGTCTCGCAAACTACCTTTGTTGATTCTGGGAGGTAGCCCCGCAAGGAACAGATGCCTTCTTTCTCTGGCCAATATAGGCCATCAGTCCCCCACACACAAATTACTGAGGCCAATAAAGTAATTTGGTAGAAATGTCGGCACCTTCAGCTTCACTGTCCTATCTTATCATCCCAGACATCAAGTTCTTGTGCCTCCGCGATACACTGAATACGGTGATAAACTATCTAGAGAGACAAGCTGATGTGAACCTAAGACACTTTCCATATGGGCAATTCCATATGGGCAAGTTATTCACACAGTAGGTAAAGAGGTACTTATTGAGATACTTGTTAATGGCGTCTGTCCTGAAATCAGGGCGTCAGAAGGACAGATGATTACCACTCAAAGGTATCTATTATCACACATTCGTTCAGAAAATACACATTGAGAATGAATCTGACAAACCTAATTAGACTAATTGCCGTTCGTCAAAAGCAGCTCAGAAATGGAATGAAGCTCTAGCGTCGAGAAAGCGGATATTTGGACTTTGTCCTAGATAACCGGAACCAAGCCTACTGGCGGGCTTATATTAGCCAAACCCATGATCCCCTTCAGTGATTTCTCAGCATATCAGAGGAATACGAGATCATAACCATGGAAGCCTGCACTACTACACCCTGCGGCCTGCACATCCCAAAGAATCCAAGTGCCAAGATAACTGAATACCGCCATTGATGCAATATCCGAATTACCGAGCACTCAAAGTCGATCATTATCTCTATGATGTTTCTACGATTCTTACGGTATGGGAACTAATTCCAACCTAATCTATGTCTGCGGGGTTTGGAATATGCATGCCTCAGGGTGTATATCATATGGGTGGGCAGCCCGTTCAGATCGGCTAATTTTATCCGACTGTGGTCAATACCATATATCACTATGGACTCACCTGAGATGCAGCTCATCTGCGAGAAAATTCTCGAGAATGTCATATACCGTGTTTTTCAATCACTTCCCCCATCCACCTCGAAACAAGCCTTTGAAGAAGATACGGAAACGCCTTACGCATGTATCGGACTTAACATTGTCTCACCTTTGTTCCAAGGATTGACTCTTCGGAAGAATGCACGTCATCATTTCTCTAGCCGATAGGAAAACCCTCGGACCCCGAAATCCGTGGATGGCTGAATTATCGAGCAAGAGAGAAAGAACAAGAGGGGAAAGAGGGAAAAGTAGAGAATAAGCCTACAAGGAATCCTAAGTTGATGAAGAAAGTAGAAGGGTTCAGAAATGTGCTTGCTATAGCTATTATAGCTAAGCCCAAACTTGCGGACCTTCGATTACCCGACTTTCTCAGAGATGATCACCAAAGCACTACTCTCGCAGGCGATATCAATCTACTTCAGAAAAAATCACATACAGCTGTCATTATCTGTAAAGATAATGGCACAAACAATGTTCCTAGATTGATAGCGCCGGCGGAAAATGCCAATACACATATTGGTATAGTATTGGACACGTTGCATACATCACAGGGGTCGAATTCAATGGGAAAACGCTCTTTGAGGCCTACCAGGAATGGACAACCGAAAGATCGATTAACATTCCCGGTCTGTTTTCCTGGCTCCACGATCAATTCCATACACCAATAAATGGATGCCGCAACCTGTTGGAATTATTTTACCGTGAAATGGATTGTTACATTCATCATTAGAGACGGATCGGAGAACGGCCAAACTACGATTGGCTGCGGACGATATATCATTCCATATGCCAACAAGTTATCAGGATAGATCTGGCATATTACGTGTGGTATGTCACATGCAGGCCAGACCATGCCTAGCGTTTAATCAGTTACCCTTACTACGCGAAACACGCAGAATTCGAAAACCGTACCGCATTCAAATATATCGACATCAACATCAAAAAGGCGATTAAAACAAACAGAGGGCTTAACGCCATTCCAAAAAAAAATATCTCGTTAAATAACGAAGACATCTATGACTGTACACTGATAGTGCCGAAAATACATCAACATCTGGCCAAATAGCGCGCTCGTGTGGTAGCTAGGTCCAAGAACTCTGAACGAGAACTCAATTTTATGGCGAGCACGATTGGGACAGACCAGCTGAACGACGACAATCTCAAACACTTTGGAACGAAGTGGACACCCGTTCCATATCAAACAAGTGATACACGCATTATTCATCCGGGCCTACCGCACGGTTCTACGGGGAATTGCGTACGAACTAGAAGAACCATCCTTCCATAATATGTAGTTGTCCAGGAGGATCATTCAACTCTCGAGATTCCAGAAGGCGGAACGTCAGTTGGCAGCAGCACATCATGTTTTTCCCGGAAAAGGAAACGAGGAATCACTCATTGACCTACTTCCTTATAGTATTCAGTGATGTCGGCAATAAAAACCCTTGGGGCTCTGATCGAGGTCAAGCCCGTCATCAGAGCGGCTACCAATCAAGTTCGGGTTCAGATACAGGAGGGCTCCCAGATGTCAGGCTGCAATAAGACAGATCTTGATGCTCCATCGGATAAATTGTCAGTATCCTTATCATCTCCTTTATTCTTTCTTATGCTTATAGGACTTAGGCGGGTGCGTGCGTCCCAAAATCGGCACGAGAATTTCATTACTATCGCAAAGTACGACAGCGGGTACGTGTCCTATTTGAAAAGCCTGCGGATGGTGAACCTCCATCGTTCATGACTGCATCAGTACGGACCTTTGAATACCGATAGGTTCCTTGATTTGGGTTTATAATTTGCGCTATCATAAGGTCGCGAACGTCTTCCAGGAAAGAATTACGCCTATTAGTGCATCGGAATTCGACACTATTCGTGACTTTGATCACAGCCTATTGGGCCGAAGCCATTTGAAAGTGATTTCATATCGTATGGATTCTCTGGTCAAGATATTTTGGTACCGAAAAATGCTCCAAAAATCATGGTTGATTTTGAAGGGTTTCTCTTCGAGATGTTCTTGAGGTTAGTGCGCTATCAGCCGGATTTACGTCCGCTCACCTACCTGGAGAACAATGGCGAGATTCCAGGAAGATTGGCCTGCTTTTCAAATTTGAAGCACCAATCACAAAGACGCCAGGATCTGGGCAGGGGCTCAGAGCGCAGCAATCACAGCTTCTAAGATAATTAGACTGTATGCTGACGACAGACTTGCAAGGGCCGAAGGAAGATCAGTCACTATAATAGACACTCTGAGCCCTAGCCTCCGGTTTTGGCTTTACGCAAAGTAGTTCAAGAATACTAAAGATATTATTCGTCTTCAAGAAACAGCGTCAAGTTTATCCGAGGCTCTCCTGATGCTAATAACGCTGCTTCCCTATCGACCGGCACATATAGCGGGAACGTCCAAGAAAGGAACAGTAGCCCAAAGTTTGACTAAAACGAGAAACGTTTTGCGAGAGTCGAACATACACCGGAGTATGAAGAGTCTACTCATCGAGCTAAGCCCCCATTGGTTCCCCAGCAATGTATACTCGAAGGTTTACAGCGTTCTATACTCGAAAAAGAAGAAGAGGCAGGTGCAGACGTCTCGGGTTCTTCCGAGCAATTTCTAGTTCAGGGCCCATCTGATGACACTGCAAGACAGTGCCATCGAGGCTAAAAAAAAAATACAATCGAGAGCTCATAATGTACCGGCCAGAGGGAGTGATACTCTTATACTTCGTGGGTAGAGAAATGCCAAGCAATATCCTTCTGTATGTTTTGATTACTCAGCTAGGTCTGTCCTCTTCTCACTGTTGACGCGCCACGAAAGCTTTTATAACCTTTCTATCATAATCATGATGATGACATCACAGTGCGCGGTAGATTAAGATCAATGCGCGAATCCATTCCTGATGGCCATCTATCCATCCCTTGATACCTCTACAACATTCCTTTGTTCATCCCCACCAAGCGTTGCAGTTCCTCCCGATGGCTTGGACCCCAGATTTTATCCCTTCATCAGCCCTGATGCTGCGGATAACATTCCTCTCAAGCAATGCGCTTGACGTCATTTCCCTTGAGGAACTCTAACATGCATGCCTTCGCCGTCACAGAAGAAACGGTATCTGGTATGGCTGGGACAGGGACAACGTCCTGGATACCACGACGACGAGATGTGATCTTGCGGTGGTGCACTCGACTATTAAAGTGTGCTCTGCATCGACTCGATTGCCGTGGTTCCACGAGAAATCCCATAGCTGCTGTGCAGTTGGTCGATCTGTTTTTGATACCCTTGTTGAACACATTTATTTCCTTTGAACTTTGAACCCCATAGCCTGTTAGATACTGCCTTTGCCGATTTTTCTCCATCAAAATGCTTCCAGTACGGTCTTGGTCTGCAGCTCCCCTGCTCCTGAGCAGCTTGCATGTCTTGGGGGTGGATGCCATTGAACCTGTCACCGCGGTGGGATCCAAGTTCTTTCACGAAGACGGGACCCAATACTTTCTGAAAGGTGCATACACCCACAGCTTCACTTGGCAGTTTTATGGGCCCACTGACAAATGTTCAATCATCTCTAGGCATCGCCTACCAACTCATCCCCGACGATCCTCTCATCGACACGGATCAATGCACGCGAGACATCGCGCGCATGGCCGAATTGGGCACCAACGCTATCCGAGTCTATCATGTGGATCCCGACGCCGACCACGACGGCTGCATGACCGCGCTTGCAGATGCAGGTATCTACCTGTTCGTTGACCTGGACACATTCGATACTGCTATCCGAACTGTTCGTCTCTTCTGGTCTTGTGGCCACCCACCCATTTGTTACGAAAGCAATAACTCTGACCATTCTGCAGGACGACCCACAATGGACCCGGGAGCAGTTCGACCGCTACACGGCCGTGCTGGATGAATTCCAGCAGTACAATAACACTGCCGGCGTCTTTGTTGGCAACGAAGTCATCACCGCACCGGACAACTCGGCTGCCGCGCCCTACGTGCTAGCCGCGGCGCGCGATATCAAATCCTACCGCAATGAAAAGGACTACCGCCAGATTCCCGTGGGCTATGCCGCGGCCGATATCGCTGAGCTACGTCCCATGGTGCAGAACTACATGGCCTGTCGTCCCGACGCCGCCGAGCGCCTGGACTTCTTCTCCCTGAACGCCTACGAGTGGTGCGGCGACACCACCTACGAGGAATCCGGCTACGAAAACCTGCAGAACCAGGCGGCCGACTACCCCATCCCCATCTTCTTCTCCGAGACCGGCTGCAACGTCGCCCGCCCGCGCACCTTTGGCGACCAGCACGCCATCTTCAACGAACCCATGTCCAACACCTGGTCCGGCTCGATCGTCTACGAATGGATCCAGGAGACAAACGACTACGGCCTCATCGACTACGGCGAGCCCGTCGATCCCGCCGCCACTGCCGGTCCTGAGAACCGCATCGCCCAGGACGGCTTCATCCGCGAAGGCTCTCCCAACCCCATCGCGCCGGATTTCGACAACCTCAAATCTCAATGGGCCACGCTGCACCCTACCGGCGTCGCCCTCCGCGACTACATCCAATCCACCGCCACCATCGCCCCCGCCGAATGTCCCGCCTCCACGGCCGGGGGCTGGGCCGTCGACCCTAACGCCCCGCTCCCTACCCTCCAGGAGACCTTCCACACCGCGGTGCCGACCATCCCGTCCGGTACGAGATCGGCCCCGTCGCGATCCGGCTCCGTCACCATCTCTTCCGGTGTAGGCTCTTCTCCGACAGCTGCGCGGTCGTCGTCCGCCTCCCCCCTCTCTGCTACCTCATACAACTACACGCTTAGTAACGCTGGCAGCGCCATCCCTGTGCCTGGGGCTCAGGGCTTCAGGTTAAGTCGGCTTGCGGATGGCTTCGCCTTGCTGAGTGCGTTGATCGGGGGTCTGGCAGTTTGGTTGTGATTGAATTCCCTCTTCTTGTTCTTTTCCAGCTGGGCTGGGGAAAACTTAAGCAGTTATTGCAACTCCTTCGTTTTGGAAATCTGTCTCTGATATTGCATTGGGCCGTGGTCTCTCTGCTTTGGTCATCTTCATCTTCGTCAGGGCTTGCGTGGTATTTGTGCAACGAAGAGAAAGGAAGGAAAGGCGGTGCTGGTTCACCCATGGATGGAACGTAGACAGACAAAACAGTTCGTCTAAGTAGATAGATAGAATGAATAAACTTTCAAGTTGACAAAAGTCACCCATAATCACCAGATCTACGCGCTAACCAACCACGCCACGGAGGCCAAATAACAGATGTTTTCCGTTAGTTTGGCTTTGGGAGTCCATGTCCATCTTTGTTGGCATTCTCTGTATCAGGAGGAGTGATACGCGGCGTAGGCTCATGGTTCGCTCTTGACGAATGTCACAGAATTAAGATCTCGGGTTGTGTCTGGATAGAGGTATGTATATACTTTTGTCCTTCTGACAAAATCAAAAGGGAATGTACATGTGAAGGGGAAAGGGGAGAGTAGTAAGTACTGCAGGTATAGGTTTAGGTAGGTAGCTTTTGTGAAACATCCTCAATAGTATTCTGTTCTTCAAGGGAAAAGCCACCAACGATATATTTAATGACGAGTGAGACACGGGCAGTCAGGCATCAGTGATAAATGCCGAATGGGCGAATGGGTATTCAACAGGAGAGGTAGAAAATAAAGTAACAGTGTACAATATACAAGGACACAAACATAAAACAGAATCTTATAAGTCCCATAGCAGCCCAAAAAACAACCAAAACTGAACAACGCATCGGGTGGATCAACAGAAGCTAATGTGTCAATAAGAAGTTGCTATCTATCTCTCATCGTAAAACTATAATCCCAAGCTGGATCATTGACAGCAGCCGGGCTCAATGCCAGGTCGGGATCAAGCCAGGTAGGCTGGTCAGACCCGGTCGTATACCCACCGCTCTCTTGATCAGTATCATCACTGTCATGGTAATTGTCGAAACGGAAATTGAAGTTGGTCATGGATGCAGCTGGAGATGGGGTGAGACTGTCGGTTCCTCCCGGGGCGATACCGGAGTGATCATAGACTGTTAGATGTTTGCTCGGTGAGACTGGCGTGGGTGTCGCTGATTTCGAGGGAACCTCGAGTATTTGAGGGTTCTGTGCCTCTTTTGTGTGTTTTATTCTAGGTAGTGGGCTCTTGGACCCGTGCACGGCAAGGTGTACAATGGACGAGCAGTGTAAGTTGGCCACGCCGCCTAGCTGCTGGATTGCAGATGAGAAGCATTGGTCCACCTGCGAGGCCGACGGACGACCAGCTGGGTCTTTGCTCAGCATGCCTCGGGACATGGAAAGCATGGCTCGGATGGCCTGGAACACGGGGCTTTTCTGCTTCTTTGCATCTTGGTCCAATAAGGTGATCCAGGAGGTGACTTGGGCCATGTTTCGATCTAGATGGAACGAGCAATCCGCAACGCCCCCTCCGCGGCCGGCAGTCCGGTTCTTGGCTCCACGGTGATGAGTAAATGAGGATATCTTGCGTTTACATAAATGGGTGAAAATGTCCACGGTGATGGCGCCGAGGGAGAAAATGTCCGATGCTTTCGGATCAGTTTGGCAGGATTGCCAAGTGTGGACCACTGCGGCGTGGGAGTGCGTAAGCGGCGAGCCGACCGAATCTAGAGACACGTGGTGCGAAGAAGATCCCGAAGAGTTGGACGATGTGATCGAGGGTGTGTAGAAGATAGGTCGTCTCACGGAGGATATGACACGTTTTCGAGCGCTTCCGTTGCTTGACCCAGATGATGATGAAGGCCCAAAGGAGAATCGAGACGGAGAACCAGGAGATACAACTCGAATGGCAGTTCCTTGAGAGAGCATGGATTCTGGACGCGAGTCCACAGCTTCATGGTCCGTTGAATGCGATCCTTTGCGCATGCCGAAGCCCAGTCTGGATGGTCGAGATGACGATCTGCGGGCCGTGCGTCCACCCGAGGGCAGGGCTGTCCGTGAGGGACCAGTATCTTGAACTGTAGCAGAGCGAACCCAGCGTTCCGGAGCTCCGTACTGATATGATTCGACATCATCGACCTTGACCGGAGGCAGCAAAGTATCCAGGGCCTCGAATTGTCCTAGGAAGATTCTCAAGTCCGCATCAATGAAGATATTAGACGGTCGAATGCCGCCGTGCACTTGGTTCTGTGCATGTAACCACGATAGTCCATTTGCCAGGCAATGCGGCCAATTGACCAGAGTTTCTCGGCGTTGTTCCTTTGACAGGTGCTTGAATTGTGGAGGCACGTCCGTAAGGAAAGACATCAGAGTGCGTTCGTATACGCCAGTAAACAGAATGCACACTGTGTTGTCGACAAAGTATGACCCGTATATCGAGTAAACGTGCTCATGGGAAAGACTTCTCAGCGAGCGGACCTCTTCTAGGACCTCATCTTCCTCAAAAAAATGTGGTGGCCCACCAACCGTGACTTGAGTTCGCAGATACACCCGACACACAGATCCAGCGAGGACCACCCTTTCCACGCCATCTCTCGCCAGGGCTGTCCCGGTCCGTAGTAATTCTACCGGCACGCCCTCGTTCTCCGTATACTTCACATGTCCTCCTTCGCTGATGCCTCGCACGACAAACCGCCACTGCGCCAGAAAGAATTTGGAGTCCAACGCGGGATCTTCCGTGTCTGGGGATAGATGAAGACGATCGACACTGCGGGCCGCAATGGGCAGATCTGAATCGTCAAGGGACTCATCTACCAAGGCAAAGATCCGCTCGGGAATCCCGATATCAACGAGGATTAGGAAGAGTCTTCCCGCTTTGGCGAGAATCCATTCGAGGTAGGTCTCGCTCGTTAGACCCTCACCCCACGGTAAAGGAGTCACGAGACGGTGTAGAATGTTGGAGGGTAGATGGTTGAAGATATACTCTGAGCACAGAGTGGCTTGGATCCTATCTTCGGGCCACCAGAGTGACGTTATGACCGACATGGCGTACACATGGCGAACCGGGCCGACTAGAGGAGGATTCGGCCGAAGGGAACTAAGGTTAATATACTGCTGGATAGAATAAGGCTGGAGGTATTTTTATTTTCTTCGACAAGACCGGTGTCAAATAAACTAAGCAATTCTCCTTGCGGCTGTCAAGAAGAATGGGTTAGCACTAGGTTGACATCAAGGACAATCAAATTAAAACCAAAAAGTTTAACATAGTGACAAGACGGGAAGAACATGAATATCGAGGGCCAGGACCGGAAAGACGGAGGGGACTGAACCTACTAGTGGGAACGAGGCTTATCAGACGTCCAGCAAGGGATACTGGGAAAGTTACTGACTATCCAATCAATAGTAATGAGGCATTGCAGAAAGCCTCGTAGTATCCCGAGCAAGAGGAGATGAAGAGGGGTGGGAGGGAACTAGGTTCTTTCATAGCGTGTTCCACTGTTCGCCCACTCCGTTGGACCCGGATAACTGACAGGACTTGGACTGGCCATGCGAAAGACTCAAGAATGAGCGGTGCTGGATTAGTTCCATGGCATCAAAAAGACCCCAAAGTCGACGGGCCAGTCCGAGCATATTATGAGACAGACAGGGTGATAAGCGGCAGGGATCTCCATCAGCTTGACAACGGTCCTTGCAGGGAAGCTTCGGGCGAAACCAAACGAAAAGGGATAGGCGCGCCGTTAGGTCAGAAGTTTGAGACCCAGGTGGATAGATCACATCTCCAAAGTGATGGAGAAGGACGCATCATCGAAAGAGGAGAAGGAAGCAGGACGGAGAAGCAGGAAGTCCCGATGGAGATAAGCCGGTAACGTGATCAATCACGGGGATCCCCACCCAATCTTTAGAGGAAACCCGGAAGACTGTAGAAGATTGAAGTCTTCTCGGTGAATTGTGAATTGTGAGCTATCATTGTTTCAAACGCCCGAGTCAGGGCCTGTTCATTAATGAACGCTCCATGCAATTCAATTTGCTACAGGGAGTACTTCCCAATTTCTTCCCCTGTCAATAATCAGCATTGTACGCATTGTACTTCTGTCCAAATGCAAATCACCAGGACAATAATCGATAGCTCCTGCAAGCTTATCAGTGACAGGTAACAAGACGCTATTAGTCACGGCCGAGGGAGATAAGGATTCAGGACGCTCCAATAACCAGTCGTCATCACATTTTCCATGAACTACTTACCCAAATCTCTGGGACCGAGGAGAACCATCCAACTGCAGAGCCCGACCCAAGAATGCTCTACAGTAAAGAAAATCCCAAGCATATGATCGTTCTCTTATCTTGTCCTCTTCTTGATGCTCTCCGTTCCGCCGGGTTATCTTAGAACCGGGAGGGTGTTCGCCGGTGACATTCGACGAGGTATCAAGTAGGGGGAAGTCAATGTGGTCATCTCCTGATATGACCGTGGGGTCATGTTCTTGTCTTCTTGGCCAGTCATCTATTGCACTAGACCGGACCTACTCGGGGCTTCCCAATTCCGTGCATTCCCATCTCTTTGCACCTCAAGCAAGACACCACACCAAGTGGGCTGGAAGATCTTGATCCACGGTTCATTGGAAGTGGAACGACCGATCTGCCGTGTTTCTGACCGATCCTTTGCCTACAGACTCCTGAAGAGCTCAAACCATTCAGTCGACCCAGGATCTATTGAAGCATTGCGGAAATATTGATCAAACCATGGTCTTTCATACATGTGGCTTGCATCTAATTACGCCGCCCGTCTCTCTTTATCGGTTCTTGTTAGCTGGACCCGATAAGTAGATTGGGATAAATGACTCGCGCTGACGAGACTAGACAACGCTATAGTCGATAAGACATGACTTTGTCTTTTCCTTTTTAAGAGATTATTGACATTGCATATGGACATTATGATAGTATAAGCTCATACTTCCCATGTTTCCTGAACATACATACTTCATAAATCAAACAGATGCGACCCTCGCATCAGTGACTTTTGTTCATTCCTTCCAGACCCTTTTCACCTATCACGCATATCCTCCCATTCTCTTCTTTTCACCAAGTCAACCAAACAAAGGAAAGGGGAATAAATTGTTCAAACAAAAGAACGTAAACCCACCAACCCAAAAGAAGGACCAGCCCTCAAAGCAACCTCTCTCAATCCCCTAACCTTACTAGGTATGTACCTAGTAACCCCAAGAAGAACAAAACTATGTAGTCCCCTGCCTCCTCAACCTCCATCTCAACCTCCCCTCTCTATCTCCACCTCCGTACCCAGAAGGACTCGAAAAAGACTGCCGTCTTTGGTACTCGCCGGAATACGACCGTCGTCGATCCCACGACTTACGAAAATGTTGCTGCTCGTCGTCTTGTTGCTTCGCGCGCTGGTGAAGGAATTCTTCATGCGCTTCTTTTTCTTCCGTGAGTGCTTTTATCTGGATCGGAGAGAGTTGGAGGGGTTAGTTGTCAGGCTCGATAATTTGAGTTGTTCGTTTTCATTTCCTCCTCTTGCCGTTTGATTCTGTTTTATTTCCTTAAATGGAGAGAAAGGGGGATGAAAAGGGGGTATACACTGAAAGACCCTTTTAACAGGAAAAAAGAACCAAAGATAACATGAAACCAGACATGTGATGATGGGGAAGGAACAAGAAAAAGTAAGAAGCAAACTCACATAAACCAACCAAACCTCCTGCTCCGAACTCCACGCCTTCTGACACCTCGCCAGCTCGCTCTCCGCAATAGCAAGATCTCGTTCCTGACGCCTCGTCCACCGACACCGATGGCCCAAAATACTGGCCCAACTGACGACACGCACCAGACCCGCTCGCCTACTGCTGCTTCCACTGCTACTGGCGCCGACACCGATGTCATGCAGGTCCTGGTCGTTCACCGCCATGTCGGATTCCGAGTCCGAGTCTTCCCCCGAGAAGCAGAGGGAGGGGTCATCGTCACCGATTTTCACATCGACTACAGTGACGTTGTGGACGGGGAGAGGTGCTGGTGCTGGAAGGTCGCAGGATAGATGGTATTCGTCGTGGCAGTGCACGCTGCAGGGGTCGATCGAGACGGATTTACCTTTCCATGGGGAAGGGCGGATGAGTGTTCGTGGGAGGAAGGATAGGCGGAGGAGGCTTTTGAGGGGGTGCATTTTTCTTTTCTTTTTTTTTGGGGCCCGAGGAAGTACGTGGGTAGGGTACCTATGGACTGGACGGAGGTATGTATGTCTGTGACTTATGTTTCAAAAGGAAGAAAGTAAGGTTGGGTTCGCGATATCCCGAGGATTTTTATCTCCTTATATACTATACTAGGTGACATCTACAGAATTCTTGTTTCTCTTATAGATCATTTATTCAACAATCAACTAACCAACTAACTGACTACTTAACCACCTACTCAGTCCACTAACAACCGCCATACGCATACGCCATCCGCCATCCCATCCACTAAACCACAAAATGAGGCATCAAGACCAGCTACATCCAAGTTAGGCGTCACCAACTAACAAAAACTCTACCCAGCATCGATCCAGAACACCACCTACCCATCAACCAGACCCTCCCACCCCCTCTGGAACAGGAAAAGCGCCACCCTACCATGCGGACCTACTGAACCCTGTTTGGCCAGTCCCAAAGACCTGCAGCTCAGTCGAAACTCCAATGTGACAGTTCCCTTTTGTGTAGCCGGAACGGAAGCCGAGCGTCGGAGCGGCGGTGGGTGGATTCGTGGGTTCGAAGAGGGCCTGGGCGAATAACATAGGCACGCTATCGGCATCACGTTGTTGTTTTTCTTTTGCCCATGCCAGCTCAAAGGTGGCATCCCTGGTGGGCGAAAACGTGGCGGTAAACCCGGTCTCTCGTGGGACTGCAGTGTCGGGATGTTCGTTGTTTGGGATGTCTGGTGGAGTTTGGGATTTCGGGTGCGTCTGTTGTCTGGGTTGATGGTGCTCGCTAAGGGAGGTTGACGAAGAGGGAGTTCATACGTAGGAGCAGTCCTTGTTAGATACGTTATGGCCTCACTACGTAGTCAGCGTAGCAAAGCACGAGATACTACGCTGGATTAATTCCAGTGAAAACCTGCTTGAAAGTACCCCTTGGCAAGATTGAAAATCGGGCCGAAAAGGAAAGAAAACCCAATGAATAGGTCACATCTGCATGAACCAGTGATGCAGTGGCGGTCCAGTCAAGAATACTTTGGTATAAACATGAACAATTCCTCGACGCTGACTCATGAACACCCAATCATCTCCCCAAGAACACCCTGACACCAAAAAAGTAAAAATAAAGAACCAAAGGGGAATCATACATCAGATAATAAAGCCAAATTCTATACAGTACAACCAAAAGAAGAATGGGCCAGACACCGAGAGTCGGCAACCCAACCAGCAGGATCCCATCGATTGGATTCATCAGCCCGTGATGACCGAGTACATGGAACACCCCAAAAACAAATCATGGAAGCAAGCCGTTCTAGGTCTGTGCCAAAACAGGACCAGTAGACTCGAGTCTCCCTTGACTAAAAGGAAGCGGGGTTCAGCGAACCAAGAAGATTCAAAGGTGGTCAGTCCGATTCATCAGCGCCACGATCTGGCCGCTGTAGCTCTGGTTCTCGAAGACTCTGCGCTCCACTGTCCTTGCATCCCGGCCTTCCTCTCTTTGCGAATCTCTTCACCAATGATAATGCTGATCAGTCTTCGGTGCACATCGGCTTCCGTCCAACCGACTTGGCCCGTACCACCAGCCTGTAAGTCGGCCTTGGCTAGCTCTTGCACGAATCTGTCGATAATCGCAAATTGGCGTTCAGTGATAGGAACCCCGTGGACCCCGTCCGATGTCCAGATCCAGTCACCTATAATGCCAGCCCGGCCAGCAGAGGGGTGGAAGGGAAACCGTTCGGGATGTCTTTTCGCCAGACGATAGAGGCGACGTAGAAACGTGTAGTGATCGTCGGAAAAATACCCAGAAACAGCCAATGGAAACTGACGTCCGTATGTCTCACCCGTCGTTCCCAAATCCGGAGATGCACGTTCGTGGTCAAGCATCTGGCCAGGGAGAGGCGTGGCAGAACTGTGCCGGTCAAGGCCTTTCCCAGTAACTTGATGCAGCGGTCTTGGCGTTTCTTCCATTTCTTGGTTGTCTTCGGTTTCCTCGTAAGCTTCGTCATCAAATCGCGCTGGTTCAACAGGAAGCTGCTCGTCCTCTTCCCGTTCTTCGGCCTCCTTTTCCTTGTCTTCGGTCGCTGCTACTGCTGCTGCTGCCGCATCTACCTCATCGTCCTCTTGCTGCTCCAACTCTGGTTCCTCGTCTTCGGAACTCTCTTCGCGTATCGGGGGACTAGGGCGCTTTGGCGATCCCCTAATCGGTGCTTTCAGCCATCGAGGCGTGAGACTAGCGATTCTTCGGAACAGGGATGATGGCGGTACTTCAGCGCTAGTGTTTTGGGCGCGCTCCGGAGTGATGCCATGTGTCTCGTGAGCTGACTGCTGCTCGGTTACGGCGGCACCGGGAATATCTTCGTTTCTCTGTTGGTCTCGTTGCGCGAGCGCGAGATGCCAAGCATTCTCATGTCTTGTGGTTGGGTCAACCTGAAAGGCCTCATCATCAGAAAGCCGGGGGCTCGACTCCAGGAAGCCATCCGACTGTAGATTGGTTTCGGGCACGTATCCATGGACATCGTCTTGCTGGGACGCTTTGGTCGATGGAGAGCTTTGTGGAGGTCTGGATTTGGCAGCGCTCATGGGACTGCTGGCTCCGTGGTAATAGCGCGAGCGTCTTGGGGTGTCCTCTGCGCGTAAAAGGCCTGAAAGATCGACGTTCTGTTCACGAAGTTGCTTCACTCGCGACTGGCCCAAAAAGGGTACCTTTTCCCGTTTGGTGATCCAATAGTCTGGCGAGGACTCGACTTGCTCCCCAGGAGTATTGCTGAGACCATTTTTCCACGGACTGGAACCCTGGCCGGCAGCCATGTCATTGTGTTGGTCGTATGTGACAGGTGAACGGTGAGAATGGGCGCTCTGGTTATGCGCTTCTTGCTGCCAGATGTCTTCGTCCTCATCCTCTTCAGAACCGTCATGATGATACTGGTCTTCATTTTCATCCGGGGGAGCCAAATCTGGGTATTGAACGTCATCTACCTCCTGATCGTCGGTCGGGCTTTCATGTTGATACCTGTCTTGGTACAGGTCCTGGTCCGGTTCTTGATATTCATCCTCATTATGTTCCGGGCCTAGATCTAGGTCCCGATGATATCCATCATCACCTTCGCCGTCATTCGAATCCGGACCCAGGTCTAGTTCTCGATAACGCTCATAGTCATCCTTGTCCTCTCCCAGATCAAGGTCCCGATAATATTGATCGTCCATTATATCCAGGCCTTGGGCGGGGCTCTGATTGTGATGCCCCTGTTGATGTTGCTCCTCGTGCAGATCCTGATACTGATCCGGTTCTTCATGGTACTGACCGTGGTACTGGTACTGATCCTGATCCCCATTTTGATACTCTTCGGGTTTCTGATCTTGCTGATACTCATCGTACTGGCCATCATCGTCAGAATAGTCATCCGCTGGATCCGCAAGAGCTTCAAAAGGAGCAGCCCGGTTGAACTCTGTCTCCTGCTCCTGCTCCTGCTCAACCGAGGGTTCACGTCCATCTTGCCCATTATCAGGACCACTGTCATCGCTGCCGATGACTATGACTTGACTCGTGTTGGCCATCTGAATCTCACGACTGATAGCCTCCCGCTCCCTCTGCCATTCCTCCATTCGCCGTTTCATCATGGTGCTCGGTGATTGAGGTCTTCGGTTGCTGTTCACCTGCTGGAGCGGAGTCGTAGAAGGGCGTGCAGAATCTCGTCCATTTGCCCGCGGCGTGTCCGTGATCGGTGATTTCGTAGCCTTCCGAGGTTTGATTGTTTCCAACTCCGCATGTCTTTTCCTTCTTGCCAGTTCATGTCCGAACCTAAGCGCTCCGCGCAGTTCATGATGCATTTTGGGGTTGAAATTGCTGAAAAGAATCTCCATACGTTTTCGGGATGCGTCCATGTCGGAAACTTGGTCACCCGAGTTTGGAATATGCGGAGTCACCATAATGTCTGGCGAGTCATATGCATGTCTCATGGTGCCCTCCAGTGCTACGCCCAAGCGGATCATTCTGGCCAGCCTGGACAACGGGCCTTTCCCGATAGACTTAGGCACCGATGTTGCAGGCGGCGACACAAGCGGAGACAGTCGTTTGACTGGCTTGGGTTTGGCACTTGAAGACCCTGGTCTATTACTGGGTTGCCGGGAGTGCCTCGTTGTTCGTGGCTCCCTCGACGACTGTCTAGCTCGTGAACTTGAAACAGTGTCTGGCTCATCTCTGCTAGCCCTTCGTTGTAGTGACCCGATTGTATCTTGATTCCAAACACGCCTGAGAGCACTTTTGCCTATCTTAGAGTCCTCTTTCCCGTCGAGACCATGTTGCTTCGCTGACGGTAACGTGTCCAAAGAAACCATGCTGAACCCTTCACTCTCTATGATCGAGTCGAATTCCCTTTGTTCGTCCGTCGGGTCTTCTGTGGGATGTGATTCGTCTGGTCGTAGGCTATCGTTCGTGGTCGGATTTTCCGAGGACGCCGAGGGTGCCGAATCTCGCTTCTCCTCGTCAACCAAGGATGAGGTTGGGGTAGGGTAAGTGCGCGGTGGCATGGGTGTGCGGCCAGCATGTAGAGTATTATCGGGGGAAATAATGTTTCGCTCATGGGAAGGGGACGGCATTTTCGAGGGAGTTGAGCCCCAATGGCCACTTCCGTTAGCCATGTACGGTTCATCCGGCGAATCGACATGCGGCGTATCGAATGTCTGCTCAAATCGAACTCGAGGTGAGCTTCGGTTTTCATGAGCGCCCCCAAGATACCCCTGGGTGGGGGTGGGGTTTTCTAATGGAGCGCCAAAATCTTGGACGTCGGGTAGATCATCGTCATCTGAATCAACGTCGGCGGCCATGTTTAGAGGACTGAAGCTCTGTTGAGGCTCATCAATAGGGGCAGCTTGATCAATTTCTCTGCCCCCCCAGTCTTCTTGAATATCCTGCTGTTCCTGGGCTTCCTGAGCTTCCTGGGTATCATGTACATCTTCCATAGGTTCGTCCTGGTCATCATGCAATTCCTGAATCCGTGGGTTTTCCTGAACTTCCTGAATACCAGGCATTCGAGCCTCTTGGGAACCCGAACCCGTCGCTACCTCAGCTGCATCCCAGACCGGCGTATTTTTCCTCGGTCGACCGCGTTTTCTCTTCTGTCCACTCGCGCCTACCGGGCCCGGGGTGTGTCCTGGGCTGCCGGGGATCGGCGTCGCATCCTGCATCACGAGGTCCGACTTCCTGGGACGACCTCTGCGTCTGCGCGGGGTCTCCTCCACAGAAGCCTCCTCCCCTTTGAGCGGTATCTTGGTCGTGGTCGTAGTCACGGGACGTAGACGTTTGCGCGGACTGTCAACGGCCATTTCATCCTCGTCTTGCGTTGCCTCCAACGTTACGCGAATCCTCCACGGGCTGACATTCCCATCAGTCTGCGCTTTGTCCGGCGAGAGCGACATTTGCCCTCCATCTAGTTTCATCGACGGCGACGCGGGGAGTAGAACATCGTCGAAACGGATTGAGTGGGCGCTGCGACCGCCGGGGGTGAAGCTGGCGCGTGGGCGGGAACCGGTTCGCGGTGTTTGCAGCAGTTTGAAGTTGGCCGGCGACATGGCGCTCTGGCGGCCGGTGAAGGGCTTGATCGGCGAGGAAATCAAATATTCGGCGTCGCCGGGGGTCCCAAGAATGTCAGGCGAAGAGGCTGAGCTGGTACTGTACATCGCGGTATGCAACGGGGGATGCGATTCATGGGAGGGGCGGAGGGCAGCCCCGACCGCGTCTCTCTCGAAGATTGGAAGGTGATTGAGCAAGCACAGCAAGTGCAATTAATTGAGTTCAGGCATTCTCCACAGCCAATAAAATCCAAAGAATAGTGAGCCTGAGCCTATCAAAAAAAAGTTACCAAGAACAGAGATGGTGAACAGATCGCGGGGGAGCAAAACAACATGGCATGCCTAAACAACTCTCCCGATCAGGCAGGCCGACGGGGAGGAGGTTATGTAATCTCGGGGTTCAGATTGTTCCGTTCCGCCGTGGTTATCGCCGGTCCCGTAATGTACGGAGACGACTAGCGACCAAGTGTGCATCTTCCCCAGATTATTCTGGCTTCATGAATGTATTGGACTATGTACTTTCGCATTATAAACCATAAAGAAAGGTATGAGTTATTAGCTTTGGCTATCTGACCATGACTAAGATAAGGATTGGCAATCTCTGCTCTCCTGATTATGGGCCATTGGCCAGATATGAGGTATGACCTAGTCAATGAATTAACATTCAACGAAACTCCGGTTGATAGCATGATACGAAGGAAGTACAAGGAGGGCGGTTGTTTCCACTGGTGTAGCTTCCCCACGGAAGGCGCCTAATACTACGGTGACCAAGCTCAACCTCTGGGCAAACTTCCTAGCAAGGACTATCTTAGCATTTCACAAACCAGCAAGGCCTCAGCTTAGTCACTCTATTCCGAGGAAAACTGGGTAACTCATTCCTTCATGCTGGCTCAAATCCACTTGCCGTTTACCCATTTACGAATGGTAGTTGTATAGCATTGTCGGAGGCATTTGCCGAAGCTGCAAAGTCACTTGACCCTTTGAGGAAACATTCGAGCGCACGTGGCTACTCCTGAAATGGCTAAGCGCCGGCTTTAATTCATACGTTGTTTTCCTGCCCCATAAAATGCTCCACTTTGGCCATTTCATGCACCCATGGACTGAAGCATTCAGTGGAAGTCCCTGCGGTCAAACAGCCTTGTGTTATGAGGTTTGGTCATTATCGCCACTATTAATAGAAGAGATGCCTCCACCGATATGGCGGGTAACGCACTGAATCAGGAAATAATTGAACGCATCTATAATTGAAAGTATATGATCTTAGCCCCATCAGAAGACTGACAACCTTTTTGCTGCCTGGACTACGGTTTCCTAGAACAGTATCTATCGAGCGTGGTTTGGATTGGTTGTGAGCTAGGCTTAAAAGCAGGATGTTCTATCCATGCCCAGGGATACCTTGCGAAAATCTATAAAGTGGAAGACAGTCCCAGGAACAGCATTTGAAAACCACTGCCATCTTCCTTCTCAAGAATCACCAATCTCATCAACCAACGGTTTAAATCATTGAATGATGCGCTTTCTTCAGCTATTCCTTGTCTCGATTGCTGCTGGTGTGTTGCCAGCGAGCGCGTCGGGCTGCCGTCCATTCCCTTTTTCAGTCATTGAATTCTCGGCTGATTTCAAACAACCTGAACCTCCTATGATAAAGGCTGAGTTCAAGGCTAACTTCAATCAACACAAATGGTAGGCGTCAAAGTTGGTCATCTGTTCTACTTCCCTCGTCCATTAACAGAGCAACAGGAATCAAAACCTGTCGCACATTACGACTGGTTTCATCTCCAATCTGCCATCGCAGAATCGTGTTCGAGTTGACGAGGCCTTTGAGGGTAGCGTGGCCTCATCTCTTTTCGACTACACCAATACCACGAAGGATGGTCTGGTTAATAACATCCTAATCACCTTCAATGACAACTCGACTGAGCCAACTATCTGGAGCGGTTACGTCAACTCCAACTTCCCTTTGTTCCCGAAAGACATACTGGTCAACTATGGCGCTGTCTTCGGCGGTCTTGTCCGGCGACGATTCAATGAAGGCCTTGTGGCAGCTGTGAGTAGACTCTTTCGGCTTAAAGTCAGGTTCAGGAAGAGTGCTGAGGCTAATGAAAATATCATTAGTGGAACATCATGTACCAGGGAGCTATTCCTGTGACGGTCTATGTGGACAACTGCAATGTCATGGTCGGTTACGATTATTTTTCGCCTGGATTGCGTACCAAGGTAATCACCGAGTACTTCAATGTTCAAGCCTAGGCTGCTAGCCTGCTTCTGCATCTTGGTATCATATTTGAACCACTCGCGCCACCAACCGGGTTGAAAGATACTTTTACTCCTTGTTCTTCTTCTTCTTCGTCTTCCTGATAAGTGGCTTATCACATTCAGTAAGCTTCTTTATATAGTTTATCCGATTTTGGTGTTTTCTTTGTATTTTTAGGTTATTCCTGTGAATTAAATAAAAAAAAAAGAACAATGATACATCGAAAATAGAAGTAGAGCAATTTCTAAGTTCGTATTAACAGAATAAAAGTGGGGCAATTGTCTGAATGCAAGGCAGCAAGATATCACCAGTTTGTAAATTGAAGCAAGTCACTGTAGTCATACGGCTCAGCTGCTGGGTAAGCGGAGCGTATGTCAAAGACTCAAGAATGAAGAAGGCTTGTTCTAGATGGATGGGGCAGGTCACGTTATTAGCGGCCCTTGACATAATTCTCTACAATTTTCCTGACTTTTGCATTTTGCCACAATCCGAATCATGACAGCGGAACCACATCCACAATCGAAAGAAATCAGCAGGCGTACTATCGGACCTCTTGACAAGCGCAAGATCACAACACGCTGCCAGCTCTGTGCGAAGCGACGGATAAAGGTTTTAGCATCCAGTAATTTGTTTGATAGATGAGTCAACTTACACTACATACAGTGTGATGGGGGGCATCCTTGCAAAAGATGCGTCCAGACGAAGAAAGCCTGTGTGCCGCAAGAGTCAGAGCAGACACGGGTAAAGTTTGTTCATGCCTCAGGACACTACTTGTCTTGTGCAATTCCCATGCAGGTGCAGAAGCATGAAGACACTCTGTACTTGGACCATTTCGCATCCTTCTTTGAGAAATGTCACTTTAGCGCAGAATCTGCCACTACAAATCAGAATATAGTCTCTATCATTCTCGAATACCCTCTGCTTCAGCACATCGCCGTCGCGATTGGGGCATTGGACGCTAGCCGGAGGGCTTCTATCAGGTCAACTGACAAGCTTCAGTCTCCTCGGCATATTGCATTTCAGGCCTGCGGCAGATCATTGCAAGAATTGCATTCCACGATCACAACTGCAAATCCAGGATTTAGGGAGGGCGTGTTTTGGTGCTCGTTTCTCCACGGGATTTTTGAGGTATGATGACAATCCTGCACTTTGCATTCCACTAACAGTTCGCACAGCTAATGGCTGAAAACGCCGGGAACTCATTCGCAATGCACATGGTTTTCGGTATGTCCAAAGTGTTGTTTCAGCTCAAGCATACGTCTTCTATATCGCCCTCCATGAAGACCTTAATTGATGCTTTTTGGATCCTTGAGGCCAACAGAACCATTCTTTATGGCGACAATGTTACACTTGATCCGAGTATATATCAGTTGAACTCGACGCAAAGCTGGTCAGATCCCATGAAGCAAATCCTCGTTTTAATGATCCAAACTTCCACTTTTGCGAAAAGGCAAGTCATCTTAGTAACTTCATGATGGATGCAGCTAAACAGTGTAGGCTTTTCGACAAAATCGAAAGCATTCCTTCAGAATTAAGACCCTTTGATATCCGATTAGATGCTCTTGCCATTGAAGGTCTCGAAATTAAAGACAGACTTCTCAACTGGCAACAACAAAGCTGCGTGGAGTCGTTGCAGGCAGGTCCCTTCAACGATCTAGCTGCAATTGTTCACCACGCTCTTCTGCTCTATCATTGCAGGAATTTCACCTACTATTCATGCTGGACAACTCGAGCAGTTCCCCAGCTTCACAAAATTGAAGTTGATAAACACGTCACCGCCATTTTAGACCTGTCTCAAAGTCTTCTCTCAGATACATATGTCCCGGCAGTTCTGTTATTATTTCCCTTGCGGATGGCCGGGGCTCACGTTTCTGAGATCAATGCACAGAACAAGGTATTAGGCTCTCTCCGAACAATACGGCAGAAAGGCTTCATTGTTTCAGACGTGATCGAAGTCGATTTGCAACGACTTTGGCAAGAAGATATCTACTGTATGAAGTGATTCTAGTTATACTCTCATAAATCTCTTATAAGGGTCTCAGATAGTTAATATGATGTTAATGTAAGCAGATTCATACAAGTTAATATACTGTAAGGATAATTTCCCCGCGAGAAAATACCTCATGGTGTGGGGAAGTGGTGCCCTGAGGACGTCACCAATAACGGATCCAAAGCTCCGTGCGATAGTAACCATACACCGGAGTAGGGATCAGGCAACTGTCCAGGGAAATGAAATGCCAGGGTTCCTTCCGGTCAGAAGCGGAGGCGTCTATTCCACCCCGCAATCCAGTCTTTCCCATCCCCCGCTGAGAATTGCCCAGTCGGGACTAGCGCCATCTCTGGATGCCGCGTGGCTGGACTCCAAAAGTTCCCAACTTCTTCCCGACTGCGCGATCCTTTGTCTACTCCTGCTCGACCAGACTGATTTCTGTCTGTTCCTTGCCCGCCACTGAGGTCACTTCGGGAGTTGGCATTCGGCCCAATTCCTCCTTCACCCTCTCACAGACCTCCTTTCCCTAGTGGCGGACGGGTCCCATTCCCCCAACCCCCGGCCTTAATTCCCCTCATCCCTGAGCTTGTTGCCAGTTACACAACGCACTAACTAGATTCACCTCGCGCGGGTTGCTACCTTCGTCCCGATTCCCTTGGTTCCATTGCATCTGTTGGCTCGGATAATTCACTGTCCCCGTTCAGTCTAAACTCAAGGCCACGGTGACTGTTTGTTGGTTCCTGCGCCCTGGTTCCCTCCCCCGCTTGCTGGTCAGGCGGCCGTCATGAGGTAAATAAAAAGAAATAATAAGATTTTTTCTTTGCCTGTATAATATATAAAAGCGTGCTATGCTTCCTTCCTCCGCCGCTCCCAGCCAGGGTTCCTCTCAGCTTGGACGCCGCTTCCGGTCTTTTCTCTGTCCTGCCCGCTTCTTCTCCCCTCGCCTCTTCTACGTCTACTGCTTGATCTTCCTATCCATCACTGCTCTCATTGGAGTCAAGATGCATCTGAAAAGCTACCTGCCCGTTGCCCTTCTCGGGGTGCCGGCACTGGCGCAATCTCCGCCCTCTTCGTCCGCTTCAGACCCCTTCAAGGTCTACACCATCAGCGCTCAGAACATCACCGCCAAAGTGATTCCCTACGGCGCGCGTCTGACCTCGCTCCTGGTTCCAGACCGTCATGGCAAACCACAGGACATCGTTGTGGGCTATGATGACCCCAAAGACTACCTGAAGGACACCGAGACCAACCACACCTTCTTCGGGGCTGTCGTCGGCCGCTACGCCAACCGTATCAAGAACGGCACCTTCGAGGTCGATTCGACCAAGTACCAGATTGCCACCAATGAGAACGGCGGTGCCGACACCCTGCACGGCGGCAAGGTCGGCTACGACGCCCGCAACTGGACCGTCACCTCGCACACCAACACCTCTGTCACCCTCACCCTGTATGACCGCGGGCTGGAGAAGTTCCCCGGCGATGTCATCACCCACGCCGTCTTCGCCGTCGACAGCACCCCGTCCGCCGACAACCCGGCCGGCCTCCCCCAGCTGACCACCAAGCTGATCTCGCTGGCCCTCACCGAGACCACCCCCATCATGCTCTCCAACCACATCTACTGGAACCTGAACGCCTTCCAGAAACCCACCATCCTCAACGACACCTTCCTCCAGCTGCCGCACTCCCACCGCCTCATCGGCACCGACGGCATCCTCATCCCCAATGGCACCCTCCTCGGCGTCGACTCCTACAAGGGCAGCCCCGACTTCACCCAAGGAAAGCTCGTCGGCCGCGACCTCAAGGACACCGAGGGCCTCTGCGGCGACGACTGCACCGGCTACGACAACTGCTTCATCGTCGACCGCCCCGCGCAGTCCGCCGCCGCAAACTCGCTAGTCCCCGTGCTGCGCGCCAACTCCTCCGCCACGGCCATCAGCCTCGAGGTCGCCACCAACCAGCAAGCCGTCCAGATCTACTCCTGCAACGGCCAGAACGGCACCATCCCCATTAAACCGTCGCAGGCGAAGAAGAACAAGGACGCCAAGATCGACGGCCCCAAGGGCGTCAACAAGTACGGGTGTCTCGTTATCGAGCCTGAGGGCTGGATCGATGGCATTAATAACCCCGAATGGGGCCAGTTGGGTGATCAGATCTTTTCGCCGCAGAGCGCGCCGGCGGTGAACTGGGCGACGTATAAGTTTGGGACGGTCTGATTCTACTCTGCTCTATTCTGTTCAAGGCTGGGGAGACGGGCTATTAATCACTTGTTCTTAATTTTCGATTTCATTCTCATGTCACGTCGTTTCTTATCTTGAGCGTTCTCAACTACCTCCATGTACATACTCGTGGGCTGTCAATAATCGGACCAGCAATTGAGGACTTTTAATGATGTGGATATGTTCAATGTGTGTAAATGTAAATTAGCGGTAAAAAGACGGGTATCATTTCTATCATCGGAGCTGCACAACATAACGAGGGAGTTTAACCCCAACCAGCCAACGTCCAACTCGACCTATCCCCCCCAGAACGTAAACCAGATCGTCGATCAGCGACATGACCATGAGATTCCAAGTCTCGACTCGCTCCGGACAACCCCTGCTGAAGGTATTTCTCGCGCTCGATCTCGACTAGACCCCGGACTTTGAGGCTGGAGACGAGACTCGCTCCGGCCCAGGGACCGAGAGATTCTACCTCGCGCAAGACACCGTGAATTTGCGGTTTCGTGTCTTTGTCTTTGTTGTTTCGACGGATCTTTTGCTCGATGTGGTCGATTTCTTCTTCATTTTCGACCTCTTCGTCTGGATTCGAGTGGGGGGTGGGGTGTTCCAGGCCAGGGGTCTCGGGTCCGGTAGGTGACCTTGGTGGCTGGCTGAGTCGCAGATTCTGCAGCTTTTCTCGCTGTTGTTCGATGACCTTGCCCCGGACCGGACTCCAGCCGTATCGGTCGACGAGGAAGGCGACTTCGTCGAGAACCCGTCGTCGAATTCCCGGGATGTGAGACCCGCCCCCGACAAAGACGATGCGCGACATGCAGGCGCCGCGCGCATCGGATGGAAGATCTAAGAGTGCATTGTAGACTAGCACCGGGACCGGTTTCTCCTCGTCATCCAGATCACAATCGGCGGCATTCTCCGCGAAGAGGATCTTTTCCACCGGCTCTGCGAACTTGCCGAACGGAACGTCAATATAATCCGCGCTGGGATCCGACGGCGACGGAATCGACACGATCTTCTGTTCTATCGGAGTCGATCCATTGTCGTGGCTAGACTCCTTGGCCACCCGAGGTTTGCACCAGGCAAACCGGCTGACCAGTTCCTCGCAGTATTCAAAGTCCACCGAAATCTCATCCGACGCTCCCCCGGCCGACGAAAGACGCGACATCGCCCTCCCTGTCTCCTGCAGCAACGCCTTCATCGCTCTCGTGCTCCGAAGGGTCGTGATCTCGCGGTACTCGTAAACGCCATTCACGACCGTCTCACCCCATCCCAGATCGACCACCAGCGCCGAGCGCACTCCAGCGGCTGTTGTGGTCATAACGGGGCTCTGCAGCAGGGTAATGCTCGGGAATCGCCAGCGACCAAACAGCGTCGACAGGACCGACGACAGCAACGGATGCGGCATGACAGACGGCAAGACCAGAACCAGCCGAGACGTGCCCGCATCCGTCAACAGGTATTTGTTGTACGTCTCGCGAAACATGCGCTCGATCTTATCCTCCACCAGTCCCAGGTCCACGTCGCGTAGATCCATCTTCCACAACTCATATCGCCCCGTCCACTCCTCCGCTGGGATGCCTTGTGGACGCGACTCCTCGGCTTGGCTCCCTTTCACCCAGCCTCTGTAGTCGCCCGCGCGCCTGCAGTCTTCGGGTCCGCAGCCCACGACGCACACGGGGGCGCTGTCGCCCTCGAACCCGGCGCGTAACCACCGCGCCCCGAACTCAAAGATTATGGCATCTTCTTCGCCGCGGAACGACGAGCTGGCGGACGAGGTGCTCGCGAAGGAGGAATTGTTGGACCGCAATTGGTGTTGCGGCGTCGACGGCCGGCCGGACTGGCTGTGTCGGAAACTCATGGGTGCTCGTGGGTGAGGATTGGAACGTTGGTCATCGAAATTTGGAGTCGTAAAGGTATTGGTCATAACCTGGAGAACAAAGCTTCTAGAACTTCCTCTATCTATAGCTATCGTGTAGGACCAAAGATTCGAAAACACGGAGGATCGGAGACGGAAGATTGACGGACGGACGGGGTGGGCGGGCAATGCGCGAATATCATAGTGTAATCATGCCGTTCCTCCAGAGCGCTCAATAGAAGGGAACAATCAGTTCATGCCGGCCGCTCGTGGCAACGATGCAAGCACGAAAATCAATCAATTAATTAAAGAGTCTCGGCAGCATTAGTCGGCGAAAAGCGAAGAGACCAGGAAGCAACGACGGGGAGACCGACCGGATCTACATCGGGCCGTCGCGCCAGTCCATCGACGTCAACAAAACAACCAAAACAACGGCGTCAATCCAACGTGGTGTCTCTACGCACGCTCTGTGACTGGGTTTAGTTTGGGGTTTTTGGTGGTTTTCTTGGTATTTGCGATATCCGACCGGATGGGGATCCCTGGGTAAGTGTGGCAGTTTTTGTTGTGGTGGAAGACGCGCCCCAGGGGATTGTGATATATATGCTCCGCATATGGCCGCTCTCGAATCATCAACCCACCAAACTGCTATGGGCAATTGCTGATATTAACAGGCTTATCAATGCGATTGGCACTGGAGAGCGCATTTCCTTGTCCAGATTGGCCGTGAACCACTTGGAACGAACTGCACGGCCGATCCGAATCGCGGTGGATATTTCGATATGGCTCTTCCAGGTCCAGGCTGGGCGTGGCGGCACGAACCCCGAACTACGCACGCTGTTCTACAGACTGCTGAAGCTCCTTGCGCTGCCTATTCATCCGCTCTTCGTGTATGACGGGAAAGAGAAGCCGCCGTTCAAGAGAGGCAAGGCATCCGGAGGTAGTGCCGGTAATCTACCGATCATTCGGCTGTCCAAAGTTCTGGTGGATCTCTTCAAGTTTCCGCGCCACGATGCTCCAGGCGAGGCGGAGGCGGAATGCGCCAGGTTGCAGACGGCTGGAGTCGTCGACGCAGTGATGAGTAATGATGTTGATGCTTTAATGTTCGGGTCGTCGTGGACGGTGATGAATTTTTCGAAGGAGAGTGGGAGTGGTACTACGGCTGCGACGCATGTTACCTGCTACCAAATGGGTGATGAGAAGAAGAATCTGTCAACTGCAAAACTCGATCGGGCTGGGATGATCCTATTCGCGATGCTCAGTGGAGGCGACTACCTACCGTCTGGGGTTCCCAAATGCGGGAACAAGTTGGCCGCACAAATCGCGAGAGCTGGGTTTGGTGCAGACCTCTTGGAAATTATCAATTCGAACAGCTCAAGCCTCGAAGCGGACCTGAGCGAATGGAGAGACAGGCTCCAGTTCGAGTTAGAGGAGAACGAAAGTGGTTACTTCACAACGAAGCACAAAGCGGTTCGAGTTCCCGAGGCTTTCCCGGACAGGACAATTCTCTCATTCTACGCCAAACCGGTGGTATCCACACAGAGGGAGATAGACGGGTTACGGGACCGTCTGGTGAATGCTTGGGACCAGGATATCAATCCCTTGGAATTGAGAAGATTCGCAGCAAATGCTTTCGATTGGAACTATCGCTCTGGAGCGAGAAAGATGATCAGGCTACTGGCCGAGCCTCTCGTCTTATATAGACTTCGGCTGGGAAAACCAGTATCCGCATTTGCCGAAAACGAGCCTAAGTTATCCGATGTCGATGGGCCGATGCTGCAGAAAGTCTACAAGAGCCGAACAAGCTTTAGCACGGACGGATTAACAGAGCTGCAGCTGGACTTCGTTCCCATCGACGTTGTTGGCTTGGATCTGTTCGCCGAGGAGCCTAACCCTCCGTTGCCTTCGCAGGAGACTACGGCGACCGTTTCGGGCGACGAAGAAGATGCTCTGGAGGAGCCCGCGGTCCCGCAGTCGCCCATGAAGAAGCGCGTGACGAAACGATATGACCCCCTAGCATCGGAGAAGATTTGGATTTTCGAAACGCTGGCCTCGATCGGTATTCCGGAGGTGGTGGAGAATTGGAAAAAGGAGCTCGCCGAGAAGTCTGCGCCAAAGAAGCCCACTGCCCGAAAGACTGGACCGAGGAAGAAGGGTCCAATTGATCCAGGCATGAAGCGAGGAAGCATCCTTAAATACGGCACTCTCACTAAGGAGCGGTCGGAGATCTCTCAGTTCAGGAACGCCTCACTCTTCGAGGCTGCCATCTCAGGAACGCCAACAAAAAGTGGCTCGTCGCTCGGGCAATCCAGTGGCTCGCCTGCGCCTACTGGTACTGGTACGTCGTATGGGAATGATCTTGGATTTCAAATGCCGGCATTTAGTCAGGATCTCGGATTCGACGACCTCACGGACCGATTCTCTTTATTCTGCAATGTCTCCCCTGATGCAGGCATCAAGCGACATCCCATGATAAGCCAGTCTCGCGTTCCTAGAAGACGAAGAGCCGTTGCGTCTGGCCCTGAGCTTGAGGCGGACATTGCCAGTCCAGATATTTTCGATTGCCGTTCCCCGGCAGCCGCCCCCCGACTTCGGATGAGCTATTCAAATTCCAGTTGTGAGGAGTCACTGGTAGATAGTACAGCACTCTCCCCTGGCTACGCCACTCGTCGCCCGAAGTCGAAACCTACTCTGAAACACCAAGATATCTATGAGGTACAAGAACTCGAGCAGGCCGTATCGTCCATCACTATTGAAGATACCAGCGGTAGCCAAAAGCAGGACACCAAACCTCGCTCCCGTCATTCAAAGCTTGAGCTCGACACTCCCAAAAAAGAGACGCGAAAAGCGAAAACCACAGAGTCCAAACCAGCCAGCCCCTCTCGTGTCCAGGACCTTCTAGAGAAAGCATCCCTCGATATGCCTTCGCTGCGAAGACAGCAACAGAAAAGGACAGACCCATCCGATAACGAACCATCAAGCTCTCAACAAAAGACTACGAACCCAATCTCCTCCGATGGTAAACCAAAGCCCGCCACCACTTCGCACGTGAATTCTATCGTTACTTGCAATGGATACTGGACAATTGATACCGATCCGGAATCTGAGCTGGTCTCAGACAGCAAGAAGCGTGGTAGAAAGCAACGATTCCGACGCGTCAGCGTCTTGGACCTAAGGTAGTTGGTCTCGCATATTGGAAGGTTCTGGTATCTGATATCCAGAATCTGATCACAACCTTGGCATTTACTTTTCTGGGCGTTGGTGGGATATCATCCATTGTCCTTCTGGTTTAGGCCGTTTGTTTTATTCTAAATTAATTCTACTGCATACATACACCTATACATACATGAACTACTATTTCTCATAATCTATGGGTTATCTTATTCAATTCCAAGGATCCTCTAGACTAATTGCTTACTATGAATCATTCATCACAGCCTTCCATCTACCTATCTATGTGTGTGTGTGTGTGTGTGTGTGTGTGTGCGAGATAGAACAATATAATTCCCCGAGCTCGACGCGCCATATCTTAACAAAATAACTGAACTGACCTTTCCTAGGTATCAGGGAAGTTCCAATGTGATATCATGCGTAAAGTATAAGTATAGGGAATAGAAAAGAAAATGAAAAGAATAAACAAGGTGGTATTAAAAATGAGTCAGCCGTATGGTATGAGATAATATGAGCAGGAAGGAAGGAGGAAACAAAGTATAAAGTTTAGGGAATTTGTTTGAGAGTCCTGCGGGACATTGAAGGGGACGGAGTAGGAATAGTGGGTAAAGCATGGTATGGAATATTAAATAAGTGGGAAAGATAGAGAAGAAGAGAAAAGAGGAGAGAGAGAAGAGGTCCGTCCCATCCCATCGTATCCTATCCTGTGTTGTATTTATGATCCTCCTATGTGGTCTCGAAACAATAATGTGCAATGCAATGTACAAGGGAATCCAATTAATCAGAACGCCAGAAAGAGAAATGCAGGAGAAAAAAAGATGGTTCTATCTGCATCTTAACCAAAAACCTTCAAGAAACCCCAGAGTCCAATTCCACTCAAGATGGGGATGGTGAAGTTATCATCCCAGCCGAACAGGTCCACGAACTCGCTTCCGGCAGCAACAATTCCGGAGACGACGCTCATGACACCCAGGGCCAAAGGACCCGTTATGACGGTTGAGGAGGTATCGCCCGTCCATCCGATGAGACCCTTGACCGAATCTGGGATGAGGTTCAGACGGCCGGTGAACATGAAGGCTCCTTCGGGGTCATTGGGGAAGGTGCCGACGTGGGGAACGAAGTAGCCCCAGAATGCAGCGGCAGTGATGACGCCCACTAGCCAGGCGCTCAGGGTACCGGCGAAACTCTTCCCCTTGCGCAGGTTGAAGGTGTAACGGCCATAGAGACGGCCGAATGTGGAGGCGGCAGTGTCACACCAGCTGAGCAGGAGGACGCCCATGACGCCGACGTCCTTGGGGAAGAAGCGCAGGACGGCGTAAGCACCCAGCAGGTACCAGATCACACCGTTGTATCCCGAAACCTCGGTCTCCCGCATCAGGGCGCCGACACAGCGGATGTAGAGCTTGTTGATAGTCTCCGAGCGATGGCGGATGAAGTCTGTTGCGGCAATAGGCACAAGTGCGGAGAAAAGCCAGGGTGTGATCTGTAGGGTTTGTATCCCGCGGCTGTACAAATGTAGAGTGAGGAAGCCGATTGACACATGAAGGAGCTTGCGTGGTATCTCATGGCGGTGGATGAAACTGCGGTACCGTGCGTGGAGGGGGATCAGACCCAGGGGCGACGGTGATCGGGAGATTTCATGCAAGACGCCGTCAACCTTGGTAGCGATTGGTGACAGGTAACCATTTGTCTTTCCGTGACCATTCGCCTTGTTATCTGGGCCGTCTGCCGGCATCATCGGGTTTGACTTTCTCTTGCGTCGACGGGCCGATCCCGGCGCATTCTTCGGATTGCGACTCGGAGTTCGCGAACGATTCAGCTCCGGATCCGAGCCATCATTATCCTCCTCCACGACCTCCCCTAAGCGCTGTCGCCGTGCTGCAGAGCGAGTAGTAGGGCCTGCATATCCGTCCCGTGAGGATGACCGAGTTTCTGAGGGCGCGGGTGAAGGAGAAATGACTCGCGGAGTCTCCGGGATGGCATCGTGGGAGGAAGACATGTCGCCCCTTAGAGCGAGGGGTGGAAGGATCGGTCTCTGGATGAGCCCGAATAAAGGCTGCCGGCGCAGAGACAGGCGATCGCAGGCAAGGATGCCGGAAAACAAAAAGTGATCTGCTTCGAACGACGCAATGGTGGGCGACTCGTATGGAGGAAGACGTTCCACAGGACGAAGGAGGGGATCAACAGAATAGGTAGATTATTGATGTGTAGGTTGAAGGAGGGATATTTTATGGGTACAGCCACACATCACGTTCAAAATATACACAGCAGAGATCGGCATAGCACACGGTGCCCGAGTGGCAGTGGAAGCGACGAGTCTGACAGCTTGTCGCGTGAGAAGAAAAGAAAACTGTCGCTCTTCCGCCGAATCCGTATGCGGTCACGTGTGGGCAGAATAGCCCACCGCCCGCGGTATCTAATCGGCGATCTTTTTGATAAGCATTTTTTTCTTTTTTCTATTTGATGTCGGAGTGGATAGAGGGATCGATAATTGTTGATCTTCGCCGGTATTCCCATCGTCTCCACGCCATCGTTTCGAGAAAGACCCCTTAAAGGAGTCAATTTCGATCTCACCGCCATGGCTCCTAAACCACCCTCCGGCGCATCTTCCAGAGTCTGGGACGCCGTGACGCCGCCTCTGTCGGAATGGGTGCTGGACGCGGTCTCCTCCATGGGCTTCACTCGGATGACGCCCGTGCAAGCCTCGTCCATTCCTTTGTTCATGGCGCATAAGGATGTTGTTGTGGAGGCAGTGACCGGAAGTGGAAAGACATTGTCTTTTCTGATCCCCGTGGTGGAAAAGCTCCTACGTCTGGAGGAGCCCATCAAAAAGCATCATATTGGCGCTATCGTGATTTCTCCGACAAGGTAGCATATTGCTCCTGCAAGTATACATGGCAATGGATCACCGCTAACCGTGTCTATAGAGAACTTGCATTGCAGATCTATAACGTCCTGAAGTCTTTACTTGCCTTCCACCCTCCATCCGCTGCCGCCCTCAACTCCTCGGACGATGAAAATGCGCCGCGCAAAAAGGAATCTTCCTCGACCCTCAAAGTTGTCCCACAGCTGCTGCTGGGAGGTGGAACCACGCCCGCAGAAGATTTGAGCGCCTTCTTGAAGCACTCGCCGAACTTGCTGGTGTCGACTCCTGGACGACTCTTAGAATTGCTCTCTTCCCCTCATGTTCACTGCCCTCAATCGTCGTTTGAGATGCTCGTGTTGGACGAAGCGGACAGACTGTTGGATCTTGGGTTCAAGGATACTCTGCAGAATATCTTGCGTCGACTACCTAAACAAAGACGCACGGGATTGTTTAGTGCTAGTATTAGCGAGGCTGTTGATCAAATTGTCCGAGTTGGTCTGCGCAACCCGGTCAAGGTCTTGGTTAAAGTGAAGGGCACTTCGGGTGTACAGGATAAGCGCACGCCGGCAAGGTTAGTACCTCCTTCAGCTTTTTTGTAACCGCTCTTGGAACTAACGATATCAGTCTACAAATGACCTACCTTACCGTACCTCCATTGCACAAATTCTCCGCCTTAAAACACATCCTCTCCTCCGTTCAACCGACACCGCAAAAAACGATCTTTTTCCTGTCGACTTGCTCCGGCGTCGACTACCTCTCTGCGATGCTCCCTCTGGTCTTAGGCGAAGATTTCCAACTGATCCCACTCCATGGAAAGCACCCAGCAAATGTCCGCGAGAAAAACTTCAACCGCTTCGTAAATTCCGTCACCCCCGCAATCTTGCTCACCACCGACGTCGCATCGCGCGGGCTGGATATTCCCTCCGTCGACCTTGTCGTTCAAATCGATCCTCCATCAGACCCGAAGACCTTCATCCATCGTTGCGGCCGTGCCGGCCGTGCCGGACGTCGGGGAATAAGTGTCGTCATGCTGCATCCGGGACGTGAAGAAGATTACGTCTCGTTCCTCGAAGTCCGCAAAACGCCTGTGACGCCGTTTCCGCATCCCATCTCCGTCTCCGATGCCGAGGCTGCAGCCGACATCGACAAAGCGCGCAAAGCGGCGCTGAAAGATCGTGCCCTGCATGACCGAGGCCAGAAGGCATTTGTTAGCTGGCTGAGAAGTTACAGCAAGCACCAAGCAGCCAGTATCTTCCGAGTTGCTGACCTGGACTGGGAAGCACTGGGTAAAGCGTGGGCACTGCTCAAGCTACCTAAGATGCCTGAGTTGAAAAAGTTCGAAGGAGACAAAACCCTTGGTGTGAACATGGATTGGAATGCCTTCGCATACAAGGATAAGCAACGGGAAAAGCGCCGCCAGGAAGCCATGCAGGAGGCTGCCGAGGCTGGGCCCCAAGAAAACCCGAATAAGCGACGAGCCAGCGAGAGTGTGGCATGGAGTAACAAGGCTGACAACAAGAACAAGAAGTTGAAGCGTCGGGAGCAGAAGCATGCCCGACAGGAGAGGGACAGATGGGAGAAGATGACAGAGGAAGAGCGACAGAAGGTCAGGGAGACAGAGGACATGGTGGCCCAGATCAAGGCGAAGAATGACGAAGAGCGGCGACTTCGACGAGAAGCCAATGCCGGAAAAAAGTCTGCTGGCGACGAGGATGAATTTGAAGGATTTGATGACTGAGGGAGAAATGAAGATCAAACCCTAAATAACCCGTCGATTGATACCTACCTTCCTACCTACTTGTACTCTACTTTATATCCCTGTCCCACACTATCTAGACACATAAAGTCCTCTGTAAATAAAAGTCAAAAGCCAGCTTTCTATTATCTAGTCCAACTCTATCCTAAACCCATACATATTAGATCAAACCGGCCTTCATCACTGTCTCCCTCGTCCTTCACCCGATTGTCCTGATCCTCTTCCCCATCTACATCCCCGTTCACTTCGTGAGCCCCTATTCAGAGAAGTCTCCCTCAAGCAAGAGCCAGAGCCAGAGCCAGAGCCTCTACCAGAGCCAGAACCAGGCCCAATACATCCCTCATACTCTCTCCTCCTACATCCGCTTTCCACTCCCCTTCCCGAACCCTCCGTCGCCCTCAGACAAAAACCCCGCCTAATATTCGACTCATTATGACTCCCCGAATCCAGTGTATCAAGCACCTCCTCATCCGTAACGGTCTGTAGCTCAGCATGAACCCTTCTATCACCATTTGCTGCTCTAGGTCCAGGGCTAGCATCGCCGGCCGCCTATCTCTCCCTGTTCACGTCCTCCCTCATAGACGGCACACAGCTCGGGCGTGGATCCTCAAAACGAAGGCCAGGATGAGGAAGGTCACGTCTACTGGATAAACCATTGCCAAATCCACCACCACCATGACTGGAACCAGGAGGAGAAGGAGATAATGGTAGAGGCGGCGGATGATACGCATATGGGCCTTCAAAAAGAACGGCAAGGCCTTCGGTACACCACGAACAAGTCCGATATCTGACGTCTCGGGCAAACTGAATGGTCGGACACCTCTGGAGGATTGGGTTCGCGTTCTCGTTGGGAAAATAGAAGGCTTGTGGACATGGGCAAATCAGCTCGTAGAAGGTGCAGGTGCAGGGGGGTGCGTTGGGTCGGTAGAGGCACATCTTTCTTTCTTTCTTTCTTTCGATTCGGTTTCTTGGTGTTGTTGTTCTTGATTATTGCTGTCTGGTTTGGATTCGCGGTTGGGCTGTCTGGCTGGCTTTTTGTTGTGCGTTGTTTTTAGTTATTGGAGATGGTCGAGAGGCAGAGTGTGGTTTTGGGCTTTGGGTGGTTCTGGAGTTGTAGAGACTATGAGAGATGGATTGAGGGGAGGAAAAGGATGGAAGGAGGCGGTAGAAAGAGTAGCGTTTATGTCGGATTGTAAAAAGATCGATAATGAAGAGTATAACCCCTGTTTGTTACAGGATTCCTGTTGCAGAGTCAGTGTGTGCGTTTGAATTGGATGCTGGCCAGACTGTCTCTCCTGACGCCGTGCAAGACAAAGGGGGCAACCAAACTTGGCCTGTTAGATCGCTTGTAAAGGTAAACCGTTTACAAGGGAAACATCATCGAGTGAGTAGTTATCCATTGTTTATTGTTAGAAACAAAATGCAACTCTTTTTTATTGCGCAAGAAAACGCCTGGAGTACAAGCTCTCAGATAAAATGCAAATGCAAGGCTCAGACACAGCCCCAAGCGGGGAGATGATATCAAAAACTCCTCCGCTGAAATCGAAAAACAGGAAACAAGATTACACCTGACAATGAAAAAGAAGTACCACAGATCCACAAAACCGTTCATCAAATCGAGCAAGGGGAAAGAAGCAGGAGGGACGTCTGACGAAGGAGCCTGCAACATTCAACTTAAAGCTGTAGGAGGCTGCAACTTGCGAATAGAGAAAAACTAGAAAGATTTTCAGCAAGAGGGCCTGCAAACTTCGATTATAGGTTGAAGGGGTCCACAATCGAAAATGAGGAGCAGACTGCAAACTTCAACTGGGAGGTTGAAGGAGTCCACAAGCGAAGATTCCGAAGAGGGACCTCACATTTCAACTTAAAATCGAAGGAGACCGCAAATTGCGAGATAAAGATATGAATGCAGCATTTGACAGAAGGGCCTGCAAACTTCAGCTTGGAGCTGAAGGAGTCCGCGACTGGAAATGCCCGTTAGACGATCCACAACCGAAGCTTCGAGTATTCCTCACACAGCAAAATTCCTGAACCAACCGTCTGAGCCCTGCAATCTTTGAGACTGCAAGAAGAGGAAGAATCAGACAACCAGGAAGTCGGGCAGAATTGTTTAGAGAAGATAAAGAATAACAAGAAATATGCATACATGCCAGAAACCAGAAACAGAGAAGAAGAAAAACAGAGTTGAATGAAGTAGAAAACAAAAAATCAACGCTTCTTCGTCACAGTAAGGAATCATATGAGAGGGCTTTATGCCTGCTGCTTGAATTCTTCGAAGCCTTGACAGAAGAGATTATGTGCCTCATCGACCTCAGAGTCGTTCCACACTTTAGCAAGAACGTCAATGGCAGTTTGGCTAATCTCAAGACTTTCCTGATAACCCTGTCTATTGGGCCACTGGAATTGGGTAAGATCTCCGGAGGGGCAGTGCTCATAAAGCCACTGAGCGTCTTGGGCAAATTCATCATCACCGAAATCCTCAACAGGCGCGCTTTCAATGCGAGCATCCGGGGTGATGGTCATGGGACTAGAGTAACGACTTGCGGTGCGAAGGCGGCTGGGGGTTTTGGGCTTGTGCTTTTCAGCCAGAGAGCGAACCTTCGCGAGAGCTTCGTCGTCTACCGTGGCTGCTGGAGTCGATGGAGGCATGAATGAAGCCGGACGAGGTGTAGCAGCTGGTGCAACTGAAGGTGCAGTAGATGCCGCAGGAGATCGAGGGCTACAAGGGGGAATGTTAGATTTTTTTGAATTCTCAAGACCGTGAGCCTGTCAGAATTAACATACCTTTCACCGAGTGGAGTCTCCGTGGCAGGTGCAGAGCTCGGAGCAGAAGCGCTTGTGGGAGAAGACGGTTCGCTGGGTTCAGACGAGTCGTCATCTGAGAAGGCGTCGTAATCAAGCTGGAAAGTTCCCTGCGTGTTGGGGATGAATCCGGGACGAGTGCGAGGGTCGACAACCGGAGACGGCCCGTACAGGTCTTCCTCTTCCTCTTCGACAAACGGAGCGGGGCTGGGCGCGTTCGGAGTAGGCGACGAAGGGGAACCACTACCCATGCCGATGAAATGAGATCCGGTATAAGGGTCGGTAGCACGGGCACGAGTGCGAAGTTTCGATGGAGTGTCCTCGGGGCTAGCGTCGAATCGGACCTTTTTAGATGCAGGCCGATCTGAGCGGAGAGCACTGCGCACAGCAGTTCTAGCCAGACCGTTGGCCTGCTGAGGGGCAGTAGACTGCTCGGGGGCCTCATCCTCGCCCTCATCCTCGCTGTCAGAGCTGTACCAGAAGTAGTCGGTATCCATTCCATAGCTGCATCCAGGCGGGTTGGGAATAACGTCAGGAGACGGCGCACGCTTGCGCTTCTTTTGCTTGTTAGAGCTAGCCTGCTGTGGAGTCTCGCGTCCTCTGATCTCTTGAGCCTGAGTAGCCGATGATGCGTCTTCGATCTGAGCAGAGGATTCCGAAGTGAGGGTAGTAGCAGCGGTAGTAGTTGGCTCACGAGGACGTGTATCAACGGTAGAGGGGTGTGAAGTAGGCGGCAGAGAAGCAGACTGCAAGGTGGATGGCTCGGGTAAATCCCGGAGGGGCGTGGTGATATCACCAAGATAGAGAGACCTGTCCATCGGAGCAGGGAAAAGAGAGTACTCAAGATTTCGACGCTTCTGGGGCGGCTCACCAGTAGTCAGGCGACGTCGAGGCTTCCACGGACGGAACTTGGCTTTTGTACTGGTGAACTCTGGCTCAGTATCCACTGTACGGTCGATACCTTCTAAAGCTGACTGCTTAGTGGTCTCAGACTCCGAAGACGGCAATGATTGCTCAGGCTGTCTATTCTGCGCTGACGGCCGGCCGAAACCCGGGATGAGCCGAGAGAACGAGCGAGGCACGGAATTGAGCAGACCGCGAATGTTCCAGCCTCTACGAGGCGTTTCGGGCAAGGCCGAGGGAAGGGCTGCTGAAGGAGCTGAAGGCTTTTCTGAAGAGTGTTCAGCGGGCGCGTCTTCAACTTGCTGGTCCTGGCCCTGAGATTTCCCCGGGTCTTCTGGGCCATCGACATGCGTCAAGGGAGGTTCCGGCTGGCTAGCGGTCTCCGCTGCTTGACGATCAGCCATCTCTTGGGCGATGTACTCTGGGAGCCGGAAGACAGTTCGATGGATTCTTCCGTTTCTCTCTGCCTGCCGCCGCCGCAACCTCTCTGAGTAAGGCACGGACGTCGACGATAATCGACGGGAGAGAGGGGGAAGTCTCCGGGCGAACGGGGTACTTCCCGGGGCACCCAGGTTCCGACGCTTGTTGGCAATCGGGGTCTCTGGGCCCCCCGCAGCCGTTTCCTCATCGCTCACGACGGAACGGGTGCGCTTCCTGTTGACTTTCTTGCGAGTTAGCTTTTTGCTGACACGAGACCGATCGTGGGCAGCTAGGCAACGAGACGTCTCCTTGGGAACCATCGGGGCTTGAGAGGCAGCCGAGGCAGCCGATGCTCCGGCAGCAACCTCTGTACCCGCACCTACCTTTGAGCGACCGGGGCCTGGGCCCATCTCTGGCTCAAATTGCTCTGGGATTGGAGAGAGGATCGCCGGCACCCGCGGTCGAGAACCCGGGACAGAAGTCGACAGCCTAGCAGGCATCGACGCGGTATGCGATGGCTCGCTGGGTTCTCGAGCCGCAGCTGGGCTGAATTGAGGTCGATGACAATCCTCAGCCAAAGTCTCTGGCGCCAACACCCTTCGCTCATCCCTGATCTGAGCCCAAAAGAACGACGGATCGTCATAGTAAGTCCGCGGGCGCGGGCGGGCCAGGGATATTAAGCTCGGGGTCGGTTGAGCCTGCCGCCGTGCGAACTCCCCAATACGGGGAAGTTCAAAGGACGGTGGGGGCTCATCGAAGATTGATGGCCCCCGCGGTTCAACAGGGGCAACGGAGACAGCCGCCTGCGAGGCATATTGAGAGGAACCACCATCGACGGTCGAAGACACGCTGATGGGATCTCTCGCAGGCTGCACTGTCTCTGGTCGCCACGTTGGGCTGTCGGACAACCCCGGGAAGACAACAGCTGCAGGCCGCGGAACAAGTTCCGCAAGACCCAACTTTGTAAATTGTTGAGTCAGGTCGTCCACCTGCTCAGACACTGCAACTGTCTCACCCCCGGAGCGCACAGTGAATGTCGAGAGGGAGTCAGCTTCGGACTGCTGGCTGATGTCTTGGTCGCATTCCTGGACTGCGACTGACTCCGTCGACTCCGCTGTGGTTGGCTCTGCCACAGCTGGTGACTCAAAGGTGCTTGGTGCTTCGGGCTGCTCCCAAGAAGATTCCTCAGAGGATTGGACACAGTGACCCGCCCATCGGCCCTCCTGGAGAGTGTCACTCTCCAGGAGGGCCCCCCTCACTTGCTCCAAAAGAATCTCGTCGAGTTGGCCATCGGCAAACAACGGTTCATCAAGCGAAGGGGTCCTTGATCGTTCGGAAAGGGGCGAGCCAATGTCGCTGCTGTCCCCGGGAATGGTTTCGGTCCACGAGGCACCGATGGTTCCCACGGGAGGAAGGTTGGAAATGGGTGGGGTGGGAGCATTAGGGGAAGAAGGAGTATGGGGGGAGTGCAAAACATCTTGGGCCCAGGGGACTGCTGGCTGTTGGCAGTCTAGGGGGTGGGTCGACTCACTTTGGGCGTCGTCCTTCTCAGCTAAAGCCTGTTCGGCAGTAGCGCTCTCGGACTCGGTATTCTGGATCGCATCGTCGGCGTTTTCTTTGTTATCGTCGGTTTCTGGGGTTGTCTCCGGCGTTTCGTCTGCATGGGTTTCAGGCTCCTCGGATGTGGCCTTCGCGGTCTTTCGCGTCGACTTCCGGGTGGCTTTTGCGGCGGGCTTACTGGATGCGGCCTTGGTGACTTTCTTCTTGGTAGTTGAGGCAAATTTTTTCTTGGTCACACGCTGGCTCTTCGCGCGCGTCGCGGGCTGTTTAGAGGGCCCAGAAGGTTCTTCTTCGGTGGGATCGGGATCTGTGCGATCGGTGGCATTTGTGGTATTGACATTTTTGGTCTGCGAGGCGCTTCGGGTCGAGCGAGTCCGACGAGACGGATTCTCGAGAGAGACGAAGTTGCCAGGCGACTGCTGCTGAGAACGAGTACGCATTGTGGAAGACTTGCGTCACTCAAGGGCGGCGGACAGATGCGCTCGAGGTCACAGCGGACGAAGGTTTAGCAACGATACTAGCTGTTTGAGTAGCTCAGATTTGGAAGCAAGGTAGTAAGAGTGTAGATCAAGCAGAATCTAGTTCAGAAAGACTTGAAAGGTGTGGTAAAGGCTTGGGATCGATGTTGTGTGGATGGTGTAGAGTCGAGAAGTGAGAGATGAGAAGGTGGTGGGAGAAGAAAGAAAGAGAAAGAGAAAGAGAAAGAGGCGGGGGGGAGGTTGTTGATGTGGGAGGCCTTGTTGTGGTCATGCGCGTCACGTCCCCTCGACGACAGGTGAGTGCGACAACATTCACTTACCTAGACCAGCAAGCGTGAGGTGAAAGTTGGAACTGGTTGCAACTGCCTGCGCTCGAAAATCAAAAATCGGGGGGTGCTGACCGGCAAAACAGGAAGCGGTCAGTGCGCGCGCCAATCACGTCGCCCGTCCCCCGTCGCCGGCTTCTATACTTCGCCTTTTCTAGACGCGCATGCCATGGGATTTCCTCTGGAACTTTCCTGTAAAGACCTGCAAAGACGGCAGAGTTGGAATTTATTCTTTAATTGGACTTTCTAATTACAAATTGTCATCCTTCTTGGATGGCTTGCGTCACCGTTGAGTGAATGCAAAGAGTTTCCAATCCGAATCCTGTATCTGCGCGATAGCTAAAGGAGGTAGCTAGGTAGTGAATGACTGTCAAGTGATGAATCCAGGGGGCTCCCTAGGTAAATCCAGGAAATGACTGCAGTAGCGGTGAAGTACGTATGTAGGCCGTTGTATGACAAGGGGTTTCCCACTTTCGAAAGGAATTCGTAACGGAAAATTGATCTGTTTTGAAAGTTGTAGAGCAAACTATATTTATACAAGGTAAATCTTTCCATAGGTATGAAAAGGAGAGACGCGGTGAACCGCCCGCTCTGTAGCACACACACGCTAGGAGAATCAAATACCATAGGGTTACATGTAGATGTTCAGATGGAAGGAAATAACAAAAGGGGGGAAATGATACACAACGCTTCCGGTCCATTACATACTAATCTCGCCCTTCCAAGCAGCATCGGAAAGACCCAGGCTCTCAACCAAGTTCTGCCATCTTGGGCCACCCCGTTCCTTTCTTCGCACGTATTGAAGTAGCTTCTGTCGCTTGTGGACCAGTATCCGGAGGTTGCGCTTGTTGTGCTTGTCCTTGTTGGATGTCTTCAGGTGCCGGGTCAGGTTCAGGATCTTCGCGGTCAAGATGGCAACCTGGACTTCCGGAGATCCGGTATCGGGGCCAACACGAGGAGTCTTCTCGAGGGCGGCGGTGCCGGACTGCTGCGACGGAGCTGCCGGCTTGGGGGGCAATTTCTGGTCGGTGTTGTGGCGTCCGAACTCTTCGATGCATTTCTGAATGTTTAGGCGCATCTTGTCCTGGGTATTGCCGATGCCCACGCTCACAATGCGTTTGATAGCCTCTTCGGCATTCTTGTGGTCTTTAATGTGCTGTTCGGCCAGTTCCTTCTCGAGCTGAGGGTCGGCGACGTTTCGGTCGAGGTTTTCGATCGGGGAGGTGAGATTTTTCGTGTACTCAAGCACATGCTGGAGATCTTCGGAGCCAAGGAAGTAGTTGAGCTTTCCGTCCGATTCCGAAGGAACCTGAGGGCCGGATTGAGTGTCCTTAAGACCCTGGATGAAGGCAGTCGGGCGACTCTCCACCGGATCCCCCAAGGAGCCTTCGCGCTCTTTAGAAAGAGCCTCTTGACGGGACAGGTTGGCGGCTTTGCGTCGGCGCGATTGCGCCATCAAGAAGGGGTCATGTCGTCGTCTCTCTCTAGTCTCGGCGGAACCTGCTCGGATCGATGTCTTCGAAGGGTTTAAGGACAATGCGGCAAGCGGACTCTGAATGTATGAAGAACCTGGAGAAGCGCGGTGACTGTTAGTAGGTGGGCGAGGGCGCGCGGGACAACAAAAATGAGATGGTATATACCAGTGAAGGCCTTCAAAGAAGGCTGGGTGAGGAAGCGAGGAGGCATTGTGGTTCACTAGTCCGGTATCTGGGGAGAGGCAATCGACCAGCTTTCCGACCCTTCACGGCCTTTGGGGACACTCGAAGTTCTCTTCCCGAAATCTCAAGGCCGCAACCCACGCTAGTCCTGATCTGGGATGACCGTTCACGTGACTCTCCGGGCGGATCGGAGGAGGCTCCGCAGGCACAGCCCTAGACTAGCCCTAAAATTCACAAACGGCAAGCGAAATTTCATCGATCATCTCGGCGCGGAGTGTCAAGGTTTCTCTTTCGCGTCGTCAGTCTCTTCCTCGCCATCACCACCGCGACAAGCGCCAGACGATTGATATCTTCAATTCGCCGTCCTTCGCAATATCAATCGCCCACCATGGCCCCTTCTCAGCTCCCCCCCATCTTCAACCCTACCTCGCAGGACATTGAGAACCTGCTGGCGGCCCAGTGCCACCTCGGTTCCAAGAACCTTCAGGTGCACATGGAGCCTTACCTCTGGAAGACTCGTCCCGACGGTGTCAACGTTATCAACATTGGCAAGACCTGGTACGTGTGGTCTCGCGAAACGCCGCAATAGCGCCCATGAATTGCATTGAAACAGTTGGGAGGAATTCGAGATCTAATATGCGATTTTCATCATTGTAGGGAGAAGATTGTCCTGGCTGCCCGTATCATCGCTGCCATCGACAACCCCGCCGATGTCTGTGTGATCTCCGCTCGTCCCTACGGCCAGCGTGCTGTCCTCAAGTTCGCCGCCCACACCGGTGCCACCGCCATCGCCGGTCGTTTCACCCCCGGTAACTTCACCAACTACATCACCCGCTCTTTCAAGGAGCCCCGTCTTATCATCGTGACCGACCCCCGCACCGATGCGCAGGCCATCAAGGAGGCTTCCTACGTCAACATCCCCGTCATCGCTCTCTGCGACACTGACTCCCCCACCGACTTCGTTGACGTTGCCATCCCCACCAACAACAAGGGTCGTCACTCCATCGGTCTCGTCTGGTGGATGCTTGCCCGTGAGGTCCTCCGCCTCCGTGGTACCCTTGCGTCCCGTGAGGTTGACTGGGACGTTGTTGTCGATCTCTACTTCTACCGCGACCCCGAGGCCGAGGAGAACAAGGAGATTGCCGACGAGACCAAGGTCCCCGGTGCCGAGGAGATTGGCCCTGCTGCCATCGAGTCCGGCTTCGCTGGTGAGAACTGGGACACCCAGGGTGCCGGTGCCGGTGTTCCTGGCACTGCTTTCTCTGCTGCTACCGCTGCTGCTGGCGCTACCAGCTGGGAGGCTGATGGTGGCGACTGGGCCGCCAGCGGTGCTGCCCCTGCTACTGAGAGCTGGGCTGAGACCCAGCCCGCTGACGCCAAGTGGTAAACAAATCTAAAACAAAATGGTGACGAGGACAGCTGATGAGGAGGGACATGATATCTATTTTTCTTTTTAAAAAGAATATGGCGAAATTGAAGGGGGGAAAGAGTTGATATTTAAATCAATAATTTCGCCATTCCTTTGACGAATACCCGACATCTCCCGCAAAGAGAAGAAATTCCCCTTCGCATGTCTTATCCTAGTCTCTGTTCCCAAAAAATATTCAAAACCGAAAGTGAAAAAAGTGCAAAAGAAGCCTTCGATTGGAAACCGTTCAACTTCCAACACTTCCCTTTTTTCCTTTCCACCCCCTGGTATGCCGCGGTGTCCTTTTTGTTTCCTTTTCGATCAGACCTTTTTATGTCGTGTTTATGGTGCATCGGGGAGGAATTGCATTGTCAAAAATTGACTGGCACTTACGAGGGAAAGAGATCCAGTTGTTCTGTGCGCTCAGTGAACTTCTGGGGGAAAGCCCTGTGCTGTCGATTTCACAAGGTGTACTTAATCGTTGCCTTGGTTTCTCCTTGTGTGTTTATCATATTCATATTCGAAAAGTGATGCTCGCTACCATGTATCTTCCACCGTGTTTCTGTAGTTTGTAGTTTGTAGTATGTATACAGTAAACATGTAGTTATGAGGCTCCCACTTCTGCTGGAATTACGAGTAAACACGGAGTACATGATTCCTACGCAAGCCGTTCGAACTCTACGCTAGGAGGTCATCTTCGAAAGCAAGCATTATAGATCCAATTATTCACGGGTATCACATAAATCGTCACATAACAGTACAGCCTCCCTCAGTCTGTCCACCCTTTTCCGTAGTCGTCATTCCGGCCAGTCTCGCCAGATCCTCAAATGTCTCTGCCAAAAGCTCGCCGGTAACAGCAGAGCACTCTGCGTATCGATCACAACGAAGTTCCTGGGCAATGCGATATGACTAAATCCAGTCAGCTGCGGTCCACACAGTGAGGCACTAAAAGACGAAGCAGGGTACTTCTTGCGGATAGATTAGAGTTTCGTCGTCGACTCTCAAGTCCCTTTTGAGACCTATCATCATGACGGGGATACGTTCGCCGATGCCATGTTGGAAGTACCGGATGATGTCTTGTCGCCACTGAATAGCATGGAGTGAGCACGACAGCTTGGCTTGTCCGGACATAAAGAAAGGGCTCGGCGACTCACGTTTTTCAGCCCAGCTAAAGTTTCGCGGTTGGAAATGTCAAAAGCTAAAAGAACCACGTCCGGTTTCAACGTGGTCCAGTGCTGGTTGGGACTTGCTGTGTCGTATAATTCGAGGGTGAATGATTTCTTCGAAAAACGGATGTCGTAGAGGAAAGGCTGGTCACTGTCCCGTAGAGGCTCTACGCTACTCTCTTGTGCGGTCGAACTTTGTCCTCTTGTTCCATTTGGGCCATTCTTCAAGCGTCTGCATCGGATCTAAGCATGTTGTGTGTGCCGAATATATATAGTGCATGAACTCACGAGAGAAAAGTTGACTTTCCACACCCCGGATCTCCCAACAGGAGTATAGTCACCGTGGACTCAGGATCCCGACGAGCCTCAGCCATGAGAGGATATGCAGTCGTACTTCGTAGAATCGAGGATACTGAATGATGTTGAATGATGGATCTTATCGCATTGTGGTTGATTTGGTTATCTAATCACTAATGACCTTATCTCCGTATTTCGCGCTAAGCCGTTTTCAGCCAGCGCGCGTGAACCCCCCAAATGCAGTTTTTATTGTCTCCCCAAGTCGTCTCTTCTACTACGGAGTACCGACAACTTCCTTGGCGCAGCGCCATTTAACAACGATCTTTTCATCATCATTCATCTCGATTGCGAGCGGAGGCCGACTGTCACCCGAATCGAGTCTTCGAAGGAGTTACCGAGCACGGCTTCTGATTCGGCAGACAATCAGATGCCGTGCTAACCGTGTTCGACGCTTGACGTCTGCCTGTGCAACAAAGGGCTATTGAACCTCGATGAAACGATAACATATCATACTTTTGTTTCTTTCTGACGATATTATCTCTGATCCGCTTACATCAGCCCCAGAGAAATCTCAGTCTCAGAGCGATACTCCGTAAATGGCGCTGGAATGTGTCGGGCATGATAGATGTTTGTTCGGATGCTCTCCAATTTCCGGTACATAATTCATCCGCTGCAACAAGCGACTGGTGATAGGTCCATGGAGATAAGACATAAGTAATAAAGTCTGCTTGGTTTGCTGGCAAGATGGGTTGGACCCTCTGGAATCAAGCGCTTGGCAGGTTTCCACTTGATGGTGGTTGACGTTTCCTGCCAGTGCCTGAAAGCCGTGTAAACGTCCTCGGTAAGCCTTTATACATCCGCGGTAGATCCTTATGCTAATCAAAACTATCATAGCCCACCTAATATTAGCGATGGGCTGAACATAAAGAGAACCCGGTGGGAACCCGGGTAGATCGGGATCGTCCGAACGGAAAGTCGGATACGCCACGAGAATCGTGATACCGTGGGTTTCGGCTTCTGTCCACCACAACTTGAATTTACCTGTGAAGATGAGAGTCTACGGGAATATATCTCCCGTGGAAAGAAATCTAGCAGTTCTAAAGACGTCACCCTTTTATCACCAGCATTGCTCCATAATGTTGAACTACGGCAAAACCGGTAGACCTTGCCAGACTCGAGATAGAGAGCGATGAGACAAATCCCTCACAAGGCCATTCTCGAAGGAGCCTAGAACAGGACCCGCTGGACGAACCATTGATAGCCATCAATGTCCAATCTCATGTGAAACACCCGGTGGGACTACTATGGATGTCCAATCCGTCGTGTATCATCTGTGGACTCGTGGGTGGCAGTGATTGCCGATACCCGTCAGTCCTCCTGTTGCCTACTCCGTACAGGGTCCGTACATGGTCTTCCAGAATGATTGCCAAAGTACCCAACCAGTACTCCACCCGCGGCTGTTCGGCCCAGCAGAAGATAAAAGCGAGTTATATATCGCCTGCGCCGCTGCCATGTATAATGGATAAGCACCAGTTTCTCTATTATCTTTGGTCGTCCCTATCGGAATACAAATGAGAAGCTCATCAAAGGACTCCCATATCTTTCAACAACCTCTCACCAAATATGGAGAAGAGTGACTTCTCGGACGAACCTTTGCCGGCAAAGCCACCCGTGGCAGAAATGAAAAGCTATGAGACATTGGCCATCCCCAACACAGAGATCAGAGAAGCTCCGAGCGCAGAAACCCTGACCACTCCTCACGATGACATCGCCCCTCCCTCCAGCAAAGATACAGAATGGAGTATGACACTTCAAGTGATTCGGAACCGGGATCGTGACGCCGCGGCGGGCTTCAAGAAAAGGGAGCTCGGCGTGACTTGGAAGAATCTGAGCGTGGATGTTCTTGCGGCGGAAGCTGCAGTTAATGAAAACCTATTCTCCCAGTTCAACGTACCTCAACTCATCAAAGACTTCCGCCGCAAACCTCCCCTGAAGTCTATCCTGAAAGAAAGTCATGGTTGTGTGAAACCAGGAGAGATGCTTCTCGTACTGGGGCGTCCGGGATCCGGGTGCACCACTCTTCTCAAAATGCTGTCCAATCGTCGTCAGGGCTATCATACCGTGACAGGCGACGTGCGGTTCGGCAATATGAGCCCTCAAGAAGCGGATCAGTATCGAGGCCAGATCGTGATGAATACGGAAGAGGAGCTTTTCTATCCCCGCCTAACTGTAGGCCAAACTATGGATTTCGCTTCGAAGCTAAAGGTTCCTTTTCACCTTCCGGAAGGTGTAAAGTCAGTGGAGGAATATACTGCCGAGACCAAACAATTCCTTCTCGAGTCCATGGGCATTGCTCACACTGCCGATACCAAGGTGGGAAATGAGTTTGTCCGTGGTGTTTCCGGTGGTGAGCGCAAACGGGTGTCCATCATCGAATGCATGGCAACCAGAGGCTCAGTTTTCAGCTGGGACAACAGTACTCGGGGTCTTGATGCGAGTACGGCGCTGGAATGGGCCAAGGCGTTGCGAGCTATGACGAACGTGCTAGGGCTTTCCACCATCGTGACTTTATACCAAGCAGGTAACGGTATCTACAATTTGTTTGATAAAGTCCTGGTGCTCGATGAAGGGAAACAGATTTTCTATGGTCCTGCAGCAGCAGCCAAGCCATTCATGGAGGGATTGGGATTTGTGTATACCGATGGAGCAAATATAGGTAATGATCTCTGCACAATCGATCAAATAACAATGCTAACAGGCGAGGCAGGTGATTTCTTGACCGGTGTCACTGTCCCCACCGAGCGAAGAATTAGGCCCGGATACGAAAACACATTCCCTCGAAACGCGGACGCGATCCTCTCCGAATACAAGAACTCTATGGTCCACGAGCGCATGACGTCGGAGTACGATTATCCCACGACTGATATAGCCCGCGAGCGAACAGAGGCATTCAAGGAATCGGTTGCCTTCGAGAAGTCCAACCACCTGCCTAAGAACAGCTCTCTCACCACGAGCTTCTGGAAGCAAGTCATGGCATGCACAATGCGACAATATCAGATCCTCTGGGGTGAAAAGTCAACTTTCTTGATCAAGCAATTCCTATCGCTCGTCATGGCTTTGATAGCTGGGTCTTGTTTCTATAACTCGCCGGCAACATCCGCCGGTCTTTTCACCAAAGGCGGTGCTGTTTTCTTCTCTCTCTTATACAACTGCATTGTGGCCATGTCAGAAGTCACCGAATCTTTCAAAGGGCGACCGGTTTTGGTGAAACATAAGTCCTTTGCTCTGTATCATCCTGCAGCTTTCTGCCTTGCCCAAATTACTGCGGACTTCCCAGTGTTGCTATTCCAGTGTACTATCTTTGCTGTTGTGATATACTGGATGGTCGGCTTGAAAGCCACTGCTGCTGCATTCTTCACTTTTTGGATTATTCTCTTTTCAATGACCCTGGTAAGCTCCCAGCATTAGAATCTATCGTACCTTTCTAACAGAAACCAGTGTATCACGGCTCTTTTCAGATGCATCGGCGCCGCTTTCAGCACTTTCGAGGCCGCCTCAAAAATATCAGGCACAGCCGTTAAGGGCATCGTCATGTATGCGGGCTACATGATCCCCAAACCCAAGATCAAGAACTGGTTCCTGGAATTGTATTACACCAATCCCATGGCTTACGCATTCCAAGCTGCTCTTTCGAATGAATTCCATGGCCAGAACATTCCGTGCGTTGGTAACAGCCTCATCCCGCATGGCGAGGGATACGATGGTGTCGATTCTGCGAACAAAGCTTGCGCTGGGGTTGGCGGTGCTTTGCCGGGAGCAGACTACGTCACCGGCGACCAATATCTTTCTTCCCTACATTATAAGCATTCGCAGCTTTGGCGGAACTTCGGAGTCGTATGGGCATGGTGGGGATTGTTCGCCGTCATTACTATTGTCTGCACGACCTTCTGGAATGCAGGGGCCGGTAGCGGTGCTTCACTTCTAATTCCGCGCGAGAGGCTCAAGCAACATCAGCATGGAGCGGACGAAGAATCGCAGGTTAAGGAAAAGGAGCAGAACAGACAGGGGGCGGTTGCCGACTCGTCTAGTGACGATGATAATCTCACCCGCAACACGTCCATATTCACCTGGAAGAATCTCTCATATACTGTCAAAACCCCGTCGGGTGATCGCGTCTTGCTGGACAACATCCACGGTTGGGTGAAACCGGGTATGCTCGGAGCATTGATGGGCTCTTCGGGTGCCGGCAAGACGACACTGCTCGATGTCCTTGCGCAGCGAAAGACCGAAGGCACGATCAATGGTTCTATCATGGTTGACGGACGCCCATTGCCTGTTTCGTTCCAAAGAATGGCCGGGTATTGTGAGCAATTGGATGTCCATGAGCCATTTGCTACAGTTCGAGAAGCCCTAGAGTTTTCCGCCCTACTGCGTCAACCTCGGACCACCTCTAAAGAAGACAAACTGAAATATGTCGACACCATTATCAACCTATTGGAGCTCCATGATCTTGCCGACACGCTGATTGGTACCGTGGGAAACGGCCTTAGCGTGGAGCAAAGAAAGCGGGTGACGATTGGCGTCGAACTTGTGTCCAAACCCAGCATTCTCATTTTCCTGGATGAGCCGACTTCGGGATTAGATGGCCAGTCCGCATACAACACTGTTCGGTTCCTTCGCAAATTGGCTGATGTTGGTCAAGCTGTGCTGGTGACCATTCATCAACCGTCTGCGCAGTTATTCGCCCAGTTTGACACCTTACTGCTGTTGGCTCGCGGAGGAAAGACCGTTTACTTCGGCGACATTGGGGAAAACGGCCAGACCATCAAGAATTATTTCGGCAAGTATGGCGCCCGTTGCCCGACTGAGGCGAACCCGGCCGAGTTTATGATTGACGTGGTCACGGGAGGTATCGAGAGCGTCAAGGACATGGACTGGCACAAAGTTTGGCTCGATTCGGCTGAGCATGGGGCAATGGTGACCGAGCTTGACCGATTGATTTCAGATTCCGCCTCCAGACCATCTGGTACCGTTGATGATGGTCACGAATTTTCCATGTCCCTTTGGGAGCAGACCAAGATTGTCACCAACCGCATGAATGTGGCATTGTATCGCAATACCAACTATGTCAACAACAAATTTTCACTGCATATCATCTCTGCCTTGCTGAACGGATTTTCTTTCTGGAGAACCGGCCCGAGCGTGACGGCCTTGAACTTGAAGATGTTCACTATTTTTAACTTTGTCTTTGTCGCCCCCGGTGTGATCAACCAGCTCCAGCCCTTGTTCATCCAAAGGCGCGATATCTACGACACGCGGGAGAAGAAATCCAAAATGTATTCATGGGTTGCTTTCGTCACCGGTTTGATCGTGTCCGAGTTCCCCTACCTTTGTGTGTGCGCCGTCCTTTATTTCCTCTGTTGGTACTACTGCGTCAAGCTGCCCCATGATTCCAACAAAGCGGGTGCCACCTTCTTCATCATGCTCATTTATGAGTTCATCTACACGGGCATCGGGCAATTCATTGCCGCATATGCCCCGAATCCCACCTTCGCCGCACTCGTCAACCCCCTCATTATCAGTACCCTGACGCTCTTCTGCGGTATATTCGTCCCATACACTCAACTGAATGTTTTCTGGAAGTACTGGATGTATTACCTGAACCCCTTCAACTACGTCGTTGCCGGAATGCTCACCTTCGACATGTGGGATGCGAAAGTGACCTGCAACGAGGAAGAATTTGCCCGATTTGATCCTATCAATGGGACGTGCGCGGAGTATCTGAAGGACTATATCGCAGGTCCTGGCTGGAGCATCAATTTGACCAACCCGGATGCCACGTCTGATTGCCGGGTTTGTCAGTATCGACGCGGCAGCGACTTTTTGAACACCCTCAACATCAATCATTACTATTATGGTTGGCGGGATGCCGCGATTTCGGTGATCTTTGCTATTAGTGGGTATGTTTTGGTTTTTGGGCTCATGAAGCTGCGGACCAAGGCTTCTAAGAAGGCAGAGTAAGGGGATGGTGTCTATTCGAGAGGTGGCCTGGTGGAGGTGGATGCAATGTGCTCTTAGCGAGAGTTGTTCCTGTTTAGATCGGATAGACTGCGTATAGATTATAGACCGATTTTATATAGAAGAACATAAAGCCTTCTTTTTTTTTTTATTGCATCGATAGCACCACCGCTCACGAATGAAAGAGGCTTACTTTGAAAATGCAAATCCCTGTCCCGGATGGCTTGAACTCTGACCCTGCCAGAAGACGGCCCGTAGGTTATCTTAGACTCTATTCAGAAGCGATCATTAATCTCCATAGCAGTACAATCTAGATACTATTGTAGACTTTGACTGCCATTCTGAGCATCTAATTTGCACGGAATCCTTACCCGGATCCTGATTTATAAGTCGTGACGTCACGCTCATGGTTGAAATGACTGGCTCCAGGACTCGGTCCTGATTCGGTGATTGATTCTTGCGGCTGGTATAATGTTTCCAAGGTTATTTCAAGCAAGAATGGCCAGGTAACCGTGACTTGTGGCTTGAGTGCAAGAAAATGCACGTCGCGCCGAGAGTGGTGATCACCGCATCCGGCCAGGGCGAATCCCTAGTAGACGGTGGGGACCCGATTTCAGCAACAGAGTGGCTGCCCGACCAGATTGATAGAAATTGAATTAACCAATGTACTCAAATTCAGATTGCCCGCTGTGAAAAATAGAAGACAATTCATCCTAAACACCGTGTCTTTCTTTCCTGGACCCGAACGGTCTGTAGGTAGACCGAATAGGCCCGCTATCTTGAGGATCCACTCCGAAAACAAGTATCCAGACGAAAAGGAAAAGGTCACATACGCAGACGTGCAACCCTTGCGTGAATTAGTTCGGTGAAGATCTTGGGCTTTGGTTTCTTGTTACCTGTTTTCTCTTTCTTTTCTTTCAAGAAAAAAAGTTTTGCCTGACAACGTGCCTGTACTGTACATCGCTCACTCGAAGGAGCTCTGGAATGTCCGGTTCTAGAGAAGACTGAGAGACGCATGGTCGGCTACTGACTGGGGTGGACTCTCTTATGGGGTGTTAGTGTTCAGCTTGAATTATTTCGATATATATAGAACGAGATCCGGGGGAGAATAGGTACTCAGGTGGCACATCCATCATGGGTCTTGATTATGTGATTTTGTAAGACGGTTCCTCGCACTCGCTATGTATTATGAAACATGATTGAATGCTATACTGACGAAGAGCCTTTAGTCACTGCATATATACGGTCCCGTTAGCAGTGCTCTTCAGCATCCTCTACGGTCCATTTTTGATCCGTCAGGAAATCTATAAGATCGGTACCCTCATTACGGTATTCCCCCCCCCCCCCCCCCCCCCCCCCCTAGAACATCCCCTATGCAATAGATTGACTAACCCGGCACAGATAGCAGTGGTAGCAACAATACCATGGGACTCATACCTAATACGCACTCACATCTGGTCGTACGCGCCCGAGTCAGTACTAGGCTACACGCTCTACAGCATCCCAGCCGAAGAAGTATTCTTCTTCGCGATCCAAACCTACCTGACGAGTCTGCTTTACTGTGTTCTCCGGAAACCGCTTGTCCTGCCGATTTATCTCCGAGAATGTGCTTCTCTTTCACGAGCTAGGGGCCTTGGGCAAGCGTTCCTGGTGGCTGCGTTCGCTGCTGGGATCGCTTTCTGTTACTCGAAGGGTGAGCTGACGTATATGGGTCTGATATTGATCTGGGTGTGTCCTGTTTTGCTGCTGCAGTGGTGAGCTATGTGGACTTTTTGAAGGTGGAGATCTCATGCTAATGTTCTAGGACGCTATCGTGTGAGTTTCTCATAGCGCTGCCGTGGAACGTGACTGTTCTTCCGGTCTGCTTGCCAACGTTGTATCTCTGGTTCGCGGACGCCAATGCCGTGAGTGCCGGTACCTGGACGATTGAGAACGGGACGAAAGTGGGATATCAGCTATGGAACGGACTTGAACTTGAGTGAGACCTGACACGAATTTCTAGGAAATCGAATACTAGACTAACGATGTGAAACCAGAGAGGCGGTCTTCTTCCTCGTTACGAACATGATGGTCGTCGGGGGAATGGCCAGTATGGACTACGCCTTTGCAATTGAAGAGTATCGGATCCTCTCGTCGAAGAAGCCCTCGTCAGCAGATTTCTCGCTCAAGCTCGCGCTGAAGGGCATTGTGAGCCCGACCCCGCAGTTCGATGCCCGTATTCTCGACCGTCTCTCGGAGGCAGTGGTCTGTCTGAAGAGGAAAAGTCAGAGCATGTTTCTTGGGAGTGCGCTCTTCCAGGGGAGTTTGCGAATGGACTTGATATTCCTGTAAGAAACCGTTCACTTTTCTAGATGCATCCTTACTTAACAATATCCTTCAGGTATTACTTCTGCCGAGTAATGGACGACCTTGTCGACGGCGACAACACCCCCGATCACGACGCCCAGTACTGGATAACGGAGTGCTCCAACGCCCTCGACGCGAAAGTCAACTCTCCAACAACCAAGCAAGATTCCGCCATCTCCTCCCATCCTACAACATCTCGCAAACACGACGCCTTACAGTCCGCGCTCGACCAACTGCCCCTCTCCAAGCTCTCCCAAAAACCACTCTACGACCTCCTCCGCGGCTTCGAAATGGATCTCGCTTTCGACATCGACCGTAACCAATTCCCCATCCACACAGAAGCAGACCTCGATCTATACGCCTACCGAGTAGCCAGCACAGTCGCGACGCTTGTTCTCGATCTCGTCTACCACCATCACAACAACAACAACAACAACAATACCAACCGCCTCTCCTCCCCCTCCCCCTCCCCATCCGATATCCAAAACCGCGAAAAACTCACCCAAGCCGGCATCACAATGGGCAAAGCCCTCCAATGCGTCAACATAGCCCGAGACATCGGCCGCGACGCAGCCATCAACAGAGTCTACATCCCCACCACATGGCTCACCGACGCCGGACTGACTCCGTTGGACGTGATCCGCCACCCAACATCTGATAAGGTGTATGGGTTGCAGCGCAGGATGCTTGACCATGCGGATGTTTATTACGGGGAGTCTCGTGCGGCGATTGAGGAGTTGCCCGTTTGTGTGCGTGGGCCCGTGAGGGTTACCGTTGAGAGTTATTGTGAGATTGGGAGGGCGTTGAGAGCGAAGAGGGCGATAAGGGCTGGTGGTGGGAAGTTTCGGTTGTCGTTGGGGAGGAGGTTAGGGGTTGCTTGGAGGGCGATGGGGGAGAGGTCGAGGAGGGATGAGGTTTGGTAGTTAGATGGTTAGGGGGGAGGGTAGAGTGGGCGTTATTTTGTTTTTATGTTTGATAACAATGGTTTCTAGTATATGAAGACAAACGTCTATATTGACAATAGCATCGTGTATGATTCTCGTTTCTCAACCCCCCAGAATCCGAATTAGCATCAATCCCAACAATACAACCACCACAACAGACACCCACCAGCCTACTAACCCCCCAAATCCCTCCCCTCTCATCGCCGACAAGACCTGCTCTGCAACAATCTTACTCCCAGCCAAACAAACTGGAACCCCAGCCCCAGGATGGGTACTGGATCCCACAAAAAACAACCCATCGATATCAGCATGTTTCGTCTTCGGTCGAAAACACAACACATTGAAGAAAGAATGCGAAATCCCCAAAATCGCGCCCCGATCGAGATTATATTTCTGTTTCCATGTCACCGGCGTCTCGACTTTCTCTTTGAGCAGCTTGTCCTGCAGATTCGTCATCCCCGTGCGGTCTTCAATTGCGCGTAGAACCTTTGCTTTCGTTTGCTCGACCACCTCGGTCCAGTATTCTGCATCTTGTCGTTTTGTCGACGACGCAGTCTCGTCTTCGTCGTCAAGATGTCCAACAGGCACCAACACAACCAACGCATCCATTCCCTCCGGCGACGCCGACGGATCCAGCCGATTCGGCACATGTACGTAAAACGAAGGTTCGTGAGGGATCTGGTTCTCCTTGAACAAGACATCGAAGCTCTGTTGATACTCCCTGGCCAAGAAGACATTATGGCACTGCAACGCCGGCAAGGTCGTATTAAAGGACCAGAAGAACGAGATGCTGCTACATGATATGTCTCTTTTCTTGAGATTCTTTGCGTATCGCGAGGCAGGGAGGAGGTTGTTATATGCGTATGTCAGGTCCGCGTTGACGATCACGACATCGGCGGAGATGACGCTGCCGGATTCTAAAACTACGCCCGTGGCGGTTTTCTGGTCGGAAGAGAGCTGAATTGATGAGACGGGCGAGTTGAACCGGTAGTTGACTCCGAGGCGGGTTCCGACCTTGCCGATTGCTTCAAGGACCTGGATTGATGGATGTGATCAGCGGAGTCTAGTCATGTAGATCACTACGTGCTAGGATGAGGATGAAACCAACCGTCTGGAATCCCCCAATGGGATACCAAATGCCCTCCGCAAACTCAGCATACTGTAGTAACGAGTACGTCCCCGGCGCGTCAAACGGACTCATTCCCAGATACATACTAGCGAAGGTAAACGCCCGTCTCAACTGCTCCGACTCAAAATACCGACTCGCCCGTCCATACAGACTCTCAAACGGATGCAACTCTAACAAAGACGCCACAAGGCCCGGTCTAAGCATATTCCACACCCGGCTGAAATTCTGCCGCAGCACCATCTGACACGAGAGGTTATAGTGGCGGCCGGATTCATCGAGAAAGGCCAGGAAACGCTCGAAGCCGTCAGCGCCTTCGTGGCGTGTGATCTCCCGCTTCATGTGCGCCAGGTCGCAGGATAGGTCGAGGGGCTTGTCGTCGGCGAACCAGATTCGGTAGTTGGGATCACATTTGACCAGGTGGAGGCCTTCGGCTGTCATGGTGGTGTTGAGGTCGTGGAAGACTTCGTGGAAGAATTCGGGCATGAGGAGGAGGGATGGCCCTTGGTCGAATCGCTTGATGGTGTCAGCTAGATATACAATTGTGATCATCTTGCTTGTTCCCTCGTGTCTCAATGGTTCTGGCTGCATGGGATGTTTTGGAGAATGGGAACGTACAAACCCGTCATCTTCTAAAATTGAGCATCGGCCTCCTATTGTTGCATTTTTCTCTACCACCGTCACTTGGAACCCCTGCTTTGCTAGTCGAGCAGCCACAGCGACTCCTCCAGCGCCGGCACCTGTGTCATTGTATTAGCTTGGTCAGAAAAAGAGATAACTCTAAAGGCCGAACGAGGATGACGGGGCATTGAGTACAAACCCACAACAACAGCCGTCGGAGTCGTAGATTTTGATCTCATGGCAAATGGCGAAGCATGAAATCGCGACCAAGATCAATTGTCGTCGTCGTGGAGTCGCAATACACTATTAGAGCCGAAAGCGTAAAATGAAGAGAAGCCGTCATCGAACTTTGCCAATTCCATACGGATGATAATTTATCACAAAAGAAACGGGCAACTTGGGGAGGTGCTACAAAACAGGCTGCACTGCAGGCTCAACAATAACATAAATTAAGCTAGGAATAGAATGCAGGCGCTTTCTGCAGTACAGGTGCCTGTAACCATGAGAAGTAAACCATGGCTAAGCAACGTAGCTAGCAGAGAGAGCAGCGGTCAAGCAAAACTGATGACGTTAGCAGCGCCATGATTTAAAGCAAGTTTTAAAGCAGTTTTGTACCTGTTTTCAGCCATTTCTCTTATGATTCGTGTACTCTACAGATGTTGACTTTGATGACTTCATACTTCCATCCGCATCCGGCGCCGATCCGATTCGCCAGAAATGGAACCCGTTTGAGATCTGAACATCGAGATCTTAGCAGTCGATTGGCCGATTTACCAAGATCGGGGAAAGCCATCGAACTTTCGTAGAGGAGTTGGTTCTAACTGTTATATTTCCTGCTGTGGATCAAGTCGAGCTCTCACTAATTGTGACCCGCAGTGGTCAGACGATTGGGGTTCCCTGGAACAGTGGATACAAGGGCAAAAGAAAGCACGAGTAACGGCCTGGGTTACATTCGGACCTTAGGTGCTCCGCGGCATATTTTCATTGCCAAGGCCAGTTATGCCTTCAAGGACAGTTCGCAGCAGAGATGTTTCTGGTGATATCCAACTCCCCAGTCTCCTCTATAACCCATCGCACCTTGGCTTCGAACTCGGCTTTTTCCCGCTCGATCTGTTGCTTCAGAGCTGCCCATTCCGTAGTATATCGGCTCAACTCTTCCATTTTAAAACTCACAAACTGTTCAACCTCAGCCTGTTCTGCAGTTGCATAAGATTCGATATTAGGCAGGATATCCCGAATACCAGACCAGGCCGTGTCTTCGGGGAAACCGAAACAGGAGTACACGAGTTCATGAAACCAGAATTGCCCATTGTCAATGGATTGCTGCATCAGTAAGCCCATGGAAGTTTTCACTAGTCTTTTGTTGTCCTCCTCTTCGAGTATCTTGGTGAACCTCTCCGCAAGTACCTTGTACCGGGCAATGTCCGCTTGGTCCCAGTTAGATGGCCGTTTGATAAGCAAACATCGTGGTGGCGAAAATAGCATTTGGTAAGGTGCAATATAGGCCCATTCCCAGTCGATAATGGCAACAATCTTTAGGTCTTTATCGTTGTTGACAAGGATGTTTCCGAACCGTAGGTCGTCGCATATCAATTTGAAGGGCCCACGATTGTACTCGCGAGCAACGAAATATGGTATAATAGCATTGAAGATCTTGTTATAAAGGTACTTGCTGCGAGCATCGTCGGCATCGTCAACAGAGTTTGGTTGCATTATCAGGTGTCGCAAATCTTGTTCGGCAACAGCAGAAAAGTATTTCTCAGCAGACGAATACGGGCTAGAATGATAATCTATAGATCAGGTCTGTTAAACTGAAGGCTCTTTGGTAGGGAGGAAAAGAAAAGTGAAAGAGAGTGTGGAATAGAGGTAAGCCTTTTAACTTACTCTCTACCCTAACACCCCCGTGGCTTTCAATCTCATTCACTTTCAGCGTAAGCGGCCTGGACAGTACCCCATTGTTTGATAGGGCGCCAATGTGCGAAAAGCTGTGCGACGAAAGCTCTAGATAGATATTTGCAACTTGTCGGTATATAACGTTTAATCCCTATCACTAATATCAGGTCGAAGTATAAAGCCGTCTGCGGGATATTGACGCAGAATCTTGTCAAGAGGTTGGCCGTGAACAAATTCTATGATACTATATGCCCCCAAATTCAACGGATTCTCACTTCTGCAACCCCAGGCTATGACTGAGGGAACAGGTATTGTTGTGTTCGCTTTGATAAAGCGCATTGTATCGACTTCGCGACGAACCTTTTCATCACTATCCATGACCTTGCCAGGGACAGCAAATCGCACCGACCATTCTAATCCGTCATTGAAGCGAATTCGACAACTCCATTTGAAAGATCCAGTATAGTTCTCAACGAATTCTGAAGGATGATTGTTGCGGAAACTCGAGACCCACTGGGCAATATCAGTTTGGGGCGTATCACTGAATGTAGACGACCAGGCAAGCGATTCCTCATCGTGGGCTCTTTGAGCACGCTCATCCCAGTCCATGTCCGCGAACCGACAGTGGAAAGAAATGTAAATCGAAGACCGGCTTGTCAGGAGTCTTGAACACAAAACAATGAAAGCAAATGAACCAGGATGGTTTCGGGGTTGAAGACACACTATCCATGGAGGGGTTTACCGCTCTTTTTGCGGGGAAGACAAGGGGCAGCCAGTGTTGCTCACAGGTTATCACATGACATTGGTTTCTTGCGCTTCTTATGAATCCTAGACTTTAGAAACAGAGACAATCACCTAAGATCTCAGGTTGATCGATCAACAGAACCTTAAATATCCAATGCTACGCGGACCGGAATATTACAGTTGTTATAGGGAGGTATTATAGGGTGGTTGCTTTGAAAAAGCTAATGCCACGGGCGTCTGAACGATGACGCACACTGATGATTCCAGCAGAAGAACTATCGCCCAGCGACTGAGTAATAATGTGATGCGGGAGTTGACTATACAGGCGAGCCCCTGGTAGAACCAAAGAAACAGTACTTGTCGACAAGCTCCTTATACGCCGAGCTTTCGATTGGCTTGCCAGAGATGAGCGAAGGCATTAAGGGCTTCGAGTGGGCTAAGTTCGACCTGAGCTCGGAAGGGTCTACCTTTCGATCACTATCAGGTATCCTTTCGACCTTAACGCAATATTCGTCATTATTCGAAAATGGCACTGGAGACCCTCCCTCTGTATCTCATTTATCGACCAGCGACGTCGCTAAAGACCTGTCAAGTTGCAAAAAGTGGCGGATATGCTCTAGTTTGGCATCAAAATGAACAGCTTTCGCGTAGGTAGGAGTACCGGGCATGTCTGATGGTTGGCGTCGAGCTGAAGGAGGTCGTAATGCGGGTCGCACGAGCTGTCCGCCCTTCTTGCGGACCATTGGCGGCTTTTTCAAGGGCTCGTCATCACTATCACTGTCCTCAGAAGAACTGGAAAGGACGTCCGCTACACCAATCGTAAACTCTCCTTCTTCCTCGCACTCATCGACCGGCGATGTGTCAGCACTGGTTGCTAAAGGCCTGTCAAGCTGCAGAAAGTGGCGGATATGCTCCAGTTGGGTGTCAAAATGAACAGCCTTCTCGTAGGTAGGAGTACCGGGCATGCTTGATGGCCGGTGTCGAGCTGAAGGTCGTAATGCGGGTCGCACGAGCTGTCCGCCCTTCTTGCGGACCATTGGTGGCTTTTTCAGAGGCTCGTCGTCACTATCACTGTCTTCAGAAGAACTGGTGACTGTCTCCTCGTCTTTCACGGGGTTCGTGCTCTTTGTGAATGACCGTGGGTGAGAAATCTCGCTGGGCTCTCTGGAGGATGTCACTGATGGGCTTGAAAAAGTATATTTGAAATATGACATGTCTACATCACCATGTTCATCGATGAAGGTGTCCTCGAGTGTGCGAGGACCAGCTGGGCGTTTTGCGAACTGAGCTGTGTTTAAACGCGACTCGTCTAAACCCATGGTTTTCCATTTTATTAGGAGTCGGTAGAATTGTAAGCTATTCCTTATTAGCCTTTTCCTGTCTATCACGTACCAAGGGAGAAAGACGGGGAAAGAAAAAGGAAAACATCACTGACCAAGCCCTACACCGGGTTTCCGCTTGAGATAGCTCCTTTTGACATCTTGGGCAAGATTTCCCCTTCGAATCGACACGAATAATCATTGTTAACAAGCCTCCGGGTTGAATCGTGGACAGCCACTGCTGTGGTGTGATGATCGCGCCTCCAAATCTTCCACTTGCAATCACATATTGACTTCGGATGACTTTATGCCAACCAGGCCGTCCGTGAAAGTCGTCAATTAGGAACTTGTTAAAGGCCTATGATGGATTCCATTCACTCAGCGACGGGACCTACCCAGATAGCGGGATCCCAACTTACATCGAGATTTCTACAGAGCTCGAAAGGTAATCTTTGTATTCGGCCAAGCGCATCTTCAAATTGAACACATCTCCAAGAAAGAGGAGACAGTGGGCTAAGGCAGAGATATTGCAATACCAGCAACAAAGATACTACAAAGCGCCTTTTTTTTCTACATCACTTTGTCAGAACTACTGGTAATGCGTGAGTAATAAGATTGAGACTTACAGCTTTTGCTGGAGGTTCCATATCACCACTATCATAATGAAATAGCTGTACCCGTCTGATGTTAGCGACCCACTGCGTAAATTAATGGCAATAGCTTACACGTAATCATATCCTTCAACCAGCGATGCATCCTCGTCGTCCGTATCACCAGTTGTCAAGGGCGTCTTGAGGCGCCAGAGGTCAGCATGTCGGATGCTAACATCAGACGTTACTGGCAGCACACCTCGGTCAGTCGAAGAGCTGTCATTGCATGACTGCATTCCCCTCGATTGAGCAAATGTGGAAGAAGCAGTTGCTTCAGGTTGTGTTGCCTTATCAACAGCAATCCACTGACTCAGAAACGCTTTCATGCAGGCTGCTGCTACTGCAGCCGCATACCTTTGCCATTTCTTGTTCTTATGACTATCTGCGTAGTCACAGACACCCTTGATGATGATGGTTGAAAAGTTGTCCCATACTCCAGCCCCCTCCATTTCAAAGGCAATGACTTTTTCCCTTCGGGCGATTTCGTCTCTATGGTACCCAGATTTCATGACCAAGTCTCCGGATGCAACGAGACCAAAGTGTATTTGCGGACTTAGTTTCTTTTCTCCCTTCATTGATCGGCTGCGAACAACCAGATTCATCTCACTGCACCCTAATTGATCACAGGATGATTCAAGTGCATTGGTGCACGTTTCGTCTTCTTTTCTGACACATCTGGCGCAAACAGTGCAGGTTGCTGAGTTGTGATGCTTATGACGGTAGGTCGGTTTGTAGAGTTTGTCCTCATCTCGGCTCGGATAGTTGAATGCGCCGTTGCCCTTCTTCTCGCAGATCTCCGTGAGATGTGCAATAGTATCATTCTGTAATTGTCGACAACCTTCCAATCCACTAACCTTCCGCAAAAACGATCGAACCTCCTTTGTCGGCCGGGATAGATTGTCCTCAAGACTATCCTTTCTCACAACTTTGTCCGAAAACTGGCGCCCGAAGTCATACTGAACGATTCCCGTGCTGATTATCGCATCCCCAAGCAGGATTTCTTTCGTCGCATCCGTCGGGTCGGTAGGTACTGCTCCACATATCCCTACAACCAAGACAAGTTTTATCGCGGGGAAACTGGATAGGAAGCTGGCGGTTGCGCTCGCTGCACATGCCTTTCCCATGCTCGGTAGGAACACTAGAACGACATTGTATCCACCGATTCTGCCCGTGGAGTAGGTATTCGGGTCGGCTGGGGCTTTTCCAAAGGTGTATTCCCATTTCGTATCGAACACGGCCTCGACGGCATCGGATTCTGCCTGTAAGGCGCAGATCACGGCAATTTCGAATTCACTTCGACGGTGTGGTCGGCGTTGGTTCTCCATCTAAATCCTCAAATTAGCGTGCACCGTTTATCGAAAAACCTCTGCCTTTTAGTTACCTCGAGCAATTGATCCTGGTTTAGTCCCTGTCCTATTTAGGACTCCAAATTTTGAACCACATGTAGGCGGGTCAAGCTGGTGATGTCAAACACGTTCCAGATGGTATGAGCAGTGCTAGTAACAATTCAAAGTAGCACCAAACGTTTAACTCGATGAAGGTTGAAAGGAAGACCTGGTCTAGATTTGTGACGTTCATGAAGACTCCTTTGAGGGGTTCGCGAGACAGTGAGGGGAGCCACGTGGACCAATGAATATTGCGCCGATCTCAAGCTACATACTGCGTAGTAGGGGCGAGGCCATAAGGGGTGGTACGCTTTAGCTATGTGATAGACTTTGCTATACTGATACTTTAAAGCTTTGATTGTTCCTTGGACTATCGTCTCAATAGTTTGAATGCTATGGGCTAACAACTTTGTCTATTCTAATATCTTCTTCACCTTTGCATAAACCCTCGTCGGCCCACGCCTTGTCACAGGCAACAGCTTCTCCGAGACAATCTTTAGATCCTCAATCGTTGTATCATGCAACTCAAGATCAAAGCATCGTACTAGACGTGCGATTGTAAGGTACATTTCGGCGTAGGCGAGACTAGAATTATTTCAAAAGAATGTGAGTCATGAGAATTGTACATGAAATAGATGGCAAATTTACCTCATTCCTAGACAGACTCGACTGCCCTTGGAAAAGTTGACGATGTACCGCTTCAAGTGATCAGTTTGTTCATGATCTTGGAGCCAGCGCTCCGGCTTGAAAGTGCTCGGCTCGGGGAAGAGGACTGGGTCGCGGTGAATGAAATAGGAGATGGAGCTCATGGGGGTCTAGGCAGATGTGGATTAATCAGAATGCAACCAACGATTAGTTGAGACTGTTGAAGTACGTACCCCGGGAGGAATGACATAGTCCCCGTACCGCAATGTCTCCGTAGGTGCTACTCGTGGTAACCGCATGACGGGACCATAGGAGAGTCTAAGGCTTTCGTATATAACGGCCGTCTGTTCTTGGTTAGGATTTCCCTAAATAATTGCAACCAAGAGTCAAATAAAGAACGCAAAGGCTCACTAGATAAGGCAAGTTCTCCAGCTGAAGAACACTCGCCGGACTCGTCGGCGTCGGAATCGCACCCTGCACCTCCGCTCGTAAGCGCTGCAGAACCTGTTCATTGTCGAAGACATGAAACGTTGCAGTAGTCAATGCAATCGCCGTAGTATCAGTCCCTGCTAGGAGAAGAAGTATTCCCTCGTCCTGGAGCCGTTGTGGGGTGCGTTCTGCAGCGGGAACTTTGGGATCTGCCAGTCTATGGAAGACGGGCAGTTCTTTAACATCTTCTGTTCTTCGAGCTTCCTCCTTTTCAAGGTCTCTGTCCCATAGATCCGCCATCTCCGTAATGTCGAAAATAGCCGCCATGCCCGGCTGCACGCGACGCAGCGTATCCAGCGGAAGCATGCGCAACCGTTTAACAAGCCACGGCGCATACTGCGTGAAATGGACGAAGCTCAGCAGGCGTAGAATCGCGCCTCTGATGTGATTCCCGAAGTTCTCGAGCTCGAGGCAGTTCCAGCATTGCCCGTACAGATACTGAGTGATGATATCGGACGCCATACCCACGTATGCATCGTCCAGACACACGACCTTCTGGTCATGATATGCCTCGGCTAGTCGATTCATCAGTTTCTGGATCCGATCGTCCACCAGCGGTACTATATCCTTCAGCACTGAGCCGCGGGAAAAGTAACTCCCTAGCAAACTGCGTCGTAAGCGGTGGTGGTCGTGCGTGATAGTGGCGGCCAGGGAAGCGGGCACCCCGAGACCTGCGACGGTGCCGGCGTGTTTGTCACGGTGACGGGAACTTGATGCATAGATCTCATGATAAAAGCTGGGGTCACTGATGTGGATCTCCTGCGGGTTGATACGGACAATAGGGCCTGCGATAAGGGTCAATTGGATTGGCATGTAGTTTTGACTGCGAGAAACATACCGTATATTTGGTGCATGCGCTCAATTTCAAACAAAAACTTCCCTCCACGAACGCAATTGTAGTAGAATTCATAGAAATAAGATAGAGCAGCTAGCTTTGGGCCCGGGATGTGCCGGAGAGGGTGAAAGAAAAGACGGTATATACTCTGGAAGATCAGAAAGACCCCGAGCACGAGCAGTGCTAACTCGCCATAATGAACACCCATTGCTTGATTGCGGTTTAAGTCTAGTACTATCTAACCATCGTATTCACACTGAAGATCAAAGCTGGGGCGCAATGATAAATATGGAGACGGGGGCGACCATGTCGCTCATGCAACGTCGGCTTGATGACTACGTCATCGTCACATAAATTGCCCCCGTCGCCCCTTGAACGTTCTTTTTGCTCACCTGAAAACTTAGAGCATTGTTGGTCATAAGACATTAGAAAAGGGGCGATGGGACTGCAAATGCGCCGAATTGTGGTTGATAGTTCAGCCCTTCCTTGTATGGTTTAGCCTTGGGATAGTGGCATGTGTTCCACTGGCTACAGTCCTTGTTTATCTTTTCCCAGCCTACTGCTCTTATTAGTGGTTTGGAAGATACGGGTAACGTGAATGGATGTGCTCTGAGTGGAATTCAGCATGTTATTGGGGCATGATTGAGGGGTCAACATGAGAAATGTGGACCTCATGAATAGTACCTGCTTGGTTCTCTTCGAGCCATTATCGTGATATAAAAGTCAGAAGGCCTTTCAGATGCATGTCTAGTAGTATAATCTGGCCGTACAGACGCTACCATATGTGGTATAATTGGGTTCACGGCATCGCGACAGAATACGGCATCAGGATCTCAAAGACCATGGGCGCCTTGAGGAAACAACGTATCGGTCGTGAGATCAAGGGTCCATACGTAGGGTTGCCTCGCGTATTACTCTTCATCAGAGCGTGCAACGTACTGCTCAACCAGCCAACGACTAATGGGGTTGAGAACCTTGCACGGTCTCCTTCATCAAGTAGTAACTATATATGGCAAAGTCAAGATGGTGCGTGTCCCATCACCTCAGCGGACGTTGTCACACCCCATCACGTGCCCTACCTCCAGTCGATCTCTAAAGCGGCGAGATCTCTCGACCCAAGAAGGCAATCTGGACCCGCCCACGGAATTGGCCCTGCAAATGCCATCCATTCTAGTTTTCCACCGTTCAGGTCGCAAAAAATATAACCACCACCATCCACCCACTGTGTCATAGGGGGATGTGGAAATTCCAACTCAGGCGATCTCAACTCATTACCAGCCAACAACCCATCGTCAAATCGACCATCTCTCGATCTTTCCAGTCTCGTTCCCTCCCGCATCTATTCGCCAGTGTCGTTGAACCTTCGCCAGCCAGTACTATGTCTGGAACTGAGGGCGCTGCTGCGCAATTGCCTCCGCAGGGCCAGAGCTCCCAAACGGATTACTCGACCTGGAGTGCGCCGGATTTGATATCGCGAATCTCGGAGCTAGAGAAACAGTTACAGTCGCGGACTGCGGAATTTGCGTCCGATGCTGCTGCTCCTACTCCTGCTCCTTCATCAGCGCCCACCGCGAACCCCGCTACAGCGCAAGAAACATCATCGCCGAACCCCTCCCCCCACAAGAAGGCGAAACCGAACCCTCCCAATTCCAACGACGACAGCAACACCACGGAGAAAAAGCGGTCCGGATTCAACAAAGCGAAGAGACCCTCGAAACAATCGCGCGAGCTGGACCCTTCGAAATATCACACGCGGTTCATCGCACTGAAGTTCGCGTACCTGGGACAGCGCTATAATGGGCTGGAACATACGACGGGGAACGTGACGCCGCTGCCGACGATCGAGGAGGAGCTGTGGAAGGCATTCCGGCGGACGCGACTGATTTTGCCGACGGGAATCACGCCGCCGGATGCGCAATTTGGGGATCCGCGCCAGCCGAGAGTGACGAAACCGTACGAGCTGAATTGGGAGGGATGTCAGTATTCGAAGGCGGGGAGGACGGACCGTGGAGTCAGTGCGTTTGGCCAGGTTATTGGCATTCGGGTGCGGAGTTCGCGGCCGAAGAAGAAGGTTCCTGAGCCGGGCCCGGAGGCTGCTACGGCGGATACGGATACTACGATGAAGGAAGGGAGTGAAAACCAGGTGGAGGAAGATGACGGGTGGGATGATATTGCTGATGAGCTGCCATATATCACGATCCTGAACTCGGTGCTGCCGGAGGATATCCGGGTCCTGGCGTGGTGTCCCCATCCGCCCGAAGGCTTCGACGCTCGGTTTTCGTGTCGGGAACGCCATTACAAGTATTTCTTTACCCAGCCGGCCTTCTTCCCTACGCCGGGAGGTCAGGGGCTTGCAGAACGCGAGGGCAACTCGAACCCGAAGTATAGAGAAGGGTATCTGGATATTGAGGCCATGCGCAACGCAGCCAAGTTGTTCGAAGGTGTGCACGACTTCCGGAATTTCTGCAAACTGGATACCAGCAAGCAGCTCGACACATTTGAACGAAGGATCTTCCATTCCGATATTGAATTGGTGGACCCCAACAGTATCCCGCTGGGGAGTCTCGGTCGGCCTGGTCTATCCCCGGACGGGAAATCTGTTGTAAAGGTAGACCCGCCGGCACCTGAAAATGTTCCCGCATATACTGCTCCAGTCTATGTGTTCCACCTTCAAGGATCCGCCTTCCTGTGGCACCAGGTTCGACTCATGGTGAGCATTCTATTCCTCGTCGGACAAGGATTCGAATCCCCTTCGATAGTGTCCGAGTTACTGGACATCACCAAAAACCCACGCAAGCCATCGTATACAATGGCTTCTGATGCTCCGCTGGTGCTTTGGGACTGCGTTTTCCCTGACCTCAATAGCAACAGTCGTTTAGATGCCCTGGACTGGGTGTATGCCGGAGACCCTAGGCAGATCCAATCTAACACTGGAAAGGGCAATGGCAAGTTCGGATTATGTGGTGTTGTGGAGGGAATTTGGAGCACCTGGAGGCAGCGAAAGATTGACGAGATCTTGGCGGGGGCTCTTCTAAACATGAGCATTAACCAGGGAGATCAGCGCGTTGTTGACGGTGAAGCGTTCGACGAGGGCGGGCTTAAACGAAACAGGGGTCAAAAGGTCTTCATCGGTGGGAACGATACTTCTATCGGTGGCAAGTATATACCGATCATGCAACTGAGAAGGAACGACCCAATCGACGTCCAGAATGCCAGATACCGAGTCGAGAAACAGCGCAAGCTCGAAAAGAAGGCTGCAGAGGCGGCCGAGCGAATGGAGATGTAAAAAGGAAATTGTTGCATATACACACCTTGATAGAGCCTCGCATTATAGATAGAAGGAATTTACTCTATTCCATTAACGAAATGTTCAGAATTAAGACTTCGAATCATAAAGGCAATGTCGCGAGCCCCTCCAAACCTCCTCCAGTATAGCGCGTTTCGGCAGGAGTGTCTACAACCAAGTCTATCAGCTCCTCTCCTAATGAATTGAGATCGAAAAATATTACTCACAGGAAACACCACAACCATTTCAGGCTCGCCCTCCACAATAATCGCAAGGTAGAACCGCACCTCAAAGCCTCTAAATGCTTCGTGGATCACGATGTCCTGAATCTGGGTGGTAGGAATGAACCTCGTCGAAGCTTTAGCTAAGTAGGTCAAGGAGGAGGTAGACGTTTGGATCCCGAGGCCGCGTATAACCAGAAGTGACTCTTCTATAGTAGCAATGGTAATCAGCATTCCTCGATCCGGTCAACTCGCTCATCAGCTGCACATACCCGTGTACCCCTTCCTAAAGACCCCGTAAATTACTACCGCACTGACCAAAGCAACAACCACGGGACTGTACGTATCCGCGATGCGACAGACATACGATCCTAACGAACTCGACCAAATCGCTGCCCAGCGTATAAACGATCCATCTTTGTAGAAAAATAGCTTGCGCTGCCTTGCGATGTTGAAGAACACCACGCAGACGAAGACTAGGGCGCGCAAGAGGATTTGAAAGTAGAAGAGAAGCTTGGCCGGGGTGCTCGTGTGTCGGGAGGCATTGGAGACAGTGAACGACACGGTGGTCGGGGATGGACGCCGTAGAATAAGACGACCCGGCATTTACATGCGATGTGAGCCCTGAAAGACCGCTCGATGAGGATGTGGCTCTTCCGAATCTAAAGGAGTGACTGATTATTGACACCTGAAGGCGAAGCTCCGTCGATGCTTCCATGGCGGAGTCTGGACCGCACTAGTCCCGATTTGATCGGGAGCTCCTCCATACAGCATCACGTGGCTCAGGCCGCACTTCGCTGCAGCGCACTGTCGTACCAGTCAACCGACTTGACGCCCTTTTGCTGCCCGACCATTCCTTGACGATGGGCGACCGCTCGAGGAGCAGATCTCCCGGGAGGAGAGTTGACAGCGACAGAGATCGTCCCAGAAAACCTGCTGGAGGGTTTCGGTGGAAAGAAAAGCGACGCGATGGCGACGACCGAGCCGAGGCCGATGACCGACGATTAAACCGCGGATACAAGGACAGAGAAGATCGGGCACGATCGCCACGAAGAGACCGAGATTCTGACCGATATGGCGACAGACGCAGGGATGACCGATACAGAGATGACGATCGCGAGCGACGACGACCTGAAGGCGAAGACCGGGAGGAACGACGCGACAAGGAGAAAAAGGAGAAGAAAGAAAAGAAAGAGAAGAAGAAAGTGATCCCTCAAAGCTCTGAGCCCATGATCACGGTCTATGTCAACGATCGTCTTGGAACTCGAGCAGCTATACCGTGTCTTGCGTCGGATCCGATCAGTTCGTCTTTCCCTTCTTCCTCTCCCCGCACTAGATGAACAGCTACATTGCTAACACTATTTCAGAGCTATTTAAAGCTCAGGTTGCCGCCCGAATTGGAAGAGACACCCATGAGATCCTTTTGAAGCGCCAGGGCGAGCGACCGTTCAAAGACTTCCTCACACTTGCCGATTACAGCGTTTCCAACGGAGCCCAGCTTGACTTGTAAGATCGCTTCTGCTTTCCTCCCCCCCCTCCAAGACCAGTATAGGATACTAACTGCATACGCAGGGAGGTCGGAACCGGAGATTAATGCTGTCGTTTTGTACTTTACTTGCTTTTCGCTGCTTTATAACGTCACGTCTTTTGGAACAAAAGCAATCATTGGGACCTGGACAGGAGCATAGAGGGAATGCCATGACTTTCTTTCCTTTTTTCTTTTTCTCTCTCTTTCATTATGATTCAAACAAGGTTCCATGTACCTACCGGCCAATGGAAACCATGAATTTCCTTCTCCTTCTCGTACTGGCACACATTCGTAACGGGGAGAGTTCGCCTTTGTTGCTTGTGTTTGTTCATTTTGTTGATCTCTTATGTCTTTTGCCGGTCTGTCATTTTTCTGCGGGGCGCATGAACGTTTGACGACGCTAATCCAGATGCGGAAACTTCTAGCCTGAGGCCACCAGGGCCGGAAACCCGAGGCAGCGACACCGGCGACGCCTGCGGATCCACAGGCGGGGAGGGCTTTTTTTTTCTTTTTCTTTTTTTTCCCTCATTCTGCCCTCGCAATTAATTTGCTAGCGGAGACTCACACGACCTTCGAACGAATCTCCAGTTTCCGTTCGATGTCTTTGCCGTCCAATCGATCCGTCACGCTTTCTAAACCCCCCGACATGAGGTAGTTGGTTGTCCTGCGCACCGCCAGAATTGTTTTCTCCATTCTTATTTGGTCTCACCGTGCTTTACTTGCTTGCTTCTTTCAACCTGGTGCTGCATAGTGCATAACCCTCGTGCTAATCTAATTTGCCGATCCTACCGCCTACTCCAGATCTGCCGCCTCATCGGATTTTCCTGTTTTCTCCCCGCCTCAAAACCAGTCATCCTCTCCCTTACTACTCCACCCCTTGGGTTTCCCAAACTCTTCGCCGTCCGACAATCGTGATAAGATGGTGCGGAACATCGTCGTCATCGGGGGTACCTCCCACCCGCAACTGACTGAAAACATCTGCGGCTTTCTGGGCATCCCGCCCGCCGACGTCCTCCTGTCGAAATTCTCCGTGGGTGAAACCCGGGTGGAAATCAAAGAATCCGTCCGTGAGAAGGATGTCTATATCATTCAATCTGGCGGTGGCAAGGTCAATGACCACCTCCTGGAATTGTTGATTACTGTCTCGGCCTGCAAAACCGCCTCCGCCAGACGAGTCACTGCCGTCCTCCCGCTTTTCCCCTACTCCCGACAGAGCGATATCCCTTACAACAAATCCGGCGCTCCTCTCGTGAAATCGAACGTCAACTCGAAACCGGGCGGCCCGGGTTATACCTTCGAGAGCACCCCGTCGACCCCTCACCCCGGACACCCCGAGAGTGGGAGCCTGCTCCTCAACGGCGTCGACAACCTGCAAAAGGGCCTCGCAAGGGCCCAGATCGACGAGGCCAGCAATGGCAGCCCCGTGAAAAGACGTCCGGCGAATGGCCTCCCCCGCAGCGACACGCTCGACACGTTGAAGTCGGAAGCGACCACGAATGGAAACAATGTGGCTGACGACAGCATCGAAAAGATCAACAACTTCCAGCCCCGGCCCGGTTACAAGCAATGGGTGGCCCAAGCAGGTACCTTGGTGGCTGATTTGCTGACCTGCGCGGGTGCGGATCACATCATCACCATGGACCTGCATGACCCTCAGTACCAGGGTTTCTTCGATATCCCCGTTGACAACCTGTACGGGCGACCTCTGCTGAAGAGCTACATCCAGCGCAACATCCCCAACTTCAAGCATGCTGTGGTTGTCAGTCCCGATGCTGGCGGTGCCAAGCGCGCAACGGCCATTGCTGACTCCATGGGCATGGAGTTTGCTCTGATCCATAAGGTTCGTGTGTCCAAAGCGCATCGTATAAACCGGTTCTAATTGCCTCTAGGAACGTCGTCCGACCCGGATCACGGAACGTCAAAACGCGACGATGATGCTGGTGGGAGATGTCAAGGATCGGACGGCGATCCTGATCGACGATCTTGCGGACACGTCGAATACGATCACGAGAGCCGCCAAGCTCCTGAAGAAGGAGGGCGCTGCTCAGGTTTACGCCCTCGTCACGCACGGAATTCTCAGCGGAGATGCGATTGACCGCATCAACGCTAGCGCTCTCGACAAGGTGGTCGTGACCAACAGTGTCGACCAGGCCGACCACCTGCGACGATGCCCCAAACTGGAAGTTTTGGAAGTCGGCAATGTCTTCGCAGAGGTATTGTCTCTCCCTGATCTACCCGCTATCGGATCACCAGCTAATAATACCTTCCAGGCCATCCGCCGAGTCCACCATGGTGAAAGTATCAGTACGCTCTTCCAGTACGAGTAACGGATATAATCACCAGCCATTCTACAGACATTTCTTTTGCTTGTTTCTTAGTCTTTCTTAGGAGAGATTTCCCATTTCAATGAATTTTGAAAAGCAGCGATGAATTTAAGCCGTACATCTAAGGATTTTCTATTTGTTTGTTCAGGTTTTCCGTTTATGAGTTATGTTGAAAGGCATGAAATGAAAGGCCTTGATACCTAAGCATACTCAACGTCATCATTTCATTTTGCTATTTTTTCCTATATCCGCGTTGAATATATCTTTTGGGGTTCACAAGAGGTCAACCCAAGATACAAGAAGGGCTGCTGGGCCGATTATTGCTTTGTTTTATTATTCTTATGGTTTCTCTGGGTTTTGGTTATGAGGGTCGTGTCATCCTTGAAGATTCTGTTATTTGCTACATATCATGATCATGTACTCACGTTTTATGTTTTGGCTGCGGTGCGAACCTAGGTAATCGATCGTCTTGGGATTTACGGAGCACAAAGAGGGAAAGAAAGGGAAGAGATACATTGCTCGCATTGAGAATTTTTTTTTTTTTTTTATAAATCGGTCTATTTACTACTTTTTCTAGAATCTCACAATCAAGGCTGCATTTATGCCATCTAATCACCGGGGTGGGACCAGGAGGATTGACATTTTGCCTGCGTCGTGCTGATTTGGACTGATTATAAACATCTAGTTATACAGTTCAACACTACTCAACTGCAACAACACGAATGCATGAGAAAGTTACATCCAAATAAGAATGCTCTATGTTGAAACGATACTATGTCACACAAAAGCCGAACTCTCAACCCAGCAAACAAAACGCCTTCGGCACGAAATCGAAGAATCGGAACGAGATAACAAGCAAAACCGACATGATAAAAAGCCATGTCGGGCGATTTAAATAAATGCGCTCATTACAGAGAAGAATTTGGGTACTTGACAGATGAACTAGACACATGAGAAACCGGAGTAAACGGGAACGGGAAAAGCAAGATTGGAGTGACCCCTGGTATATGACATCGCAGGATTGGAGGAAGAAAAGGGGACACAGGGACGGGACGGGAAGATGAAGAAGAGGGTGGAAAGTGAGGTGGTACAGAGAGAGCTAGCTGGTTTTGCGAAACGGAACGCTTAGAACACGGAGATGAAGTTGCCAATTCTCTCTTTCTGGTTTTGGGCGATACATTCGGCGATCCAGGTGACATTGCGGATTTCCTGTTTCGCAGTGAGGTTTGTGGGTTAGTGGATGCGTTTGAAGCGAAGGGAGAGAATGTAAGACAAACCTGTTCCTTCAGTCTCATCCATGCGTAGACCACCGAGGGGGTGAATTGACGCGTAAAGGTAATCTTGGACAGCTCCATTTCCTTCTGGTAGAATAGATCCTCCAGACTCTTTCCGTCTGAAGCGCCGCCCATACCGCCCATGCCGCTACCGCCCTGAGTGAGACCAACTGCGTCAAAGAAAGCCTTGTAGTCAGCCGCGATGCTCACGGCCAGCGTCACACCCTCCAGGTCCTCCGCGCGGGAGAGCATCAGCGATCCTTCGGGATAAAGCTTGCCAAACTCGGGGTAGAGTTTCCTCCGCTCCTGCTTCGACAGTTCCGTGCCGAACGAGTTCAGCGTGATGTTGATGGCCCGACGGTCGGCCTCGAACTGCAGAACCTCCGACATGACCTCTTCTGTCGGGGTGCCCTTGAAATCGGGATGTGTGGTGACGAACGAGTGGAAATCCTCCAGGTAGTTCTTGTAGAGGGTGTTGCGCACGATCTCAATGTTCAGCTCGTCGAGATCTGTGTGGCTCAGGCTACCCTTGAAGTACCCAGCCAGCGGAGTCTCCACCAACACGGAGTTGTACAGTTCCTCGATGTTGGTCGCCACGCACAGCACGGGCAACGTCTCGAACCAGCCGAGCGGGTGGCATCGCTCCAGCAGCTCGCGGGTGTCGCGCTCGTGTAGAGTGCCCGTGATTAGGAGAGCGATGTTGTCGATCATGTACCCGTAGGTCATGTATTCCAAGAACTTGGCGGTCGAGCCGGTGGACTGGGTGAGGAGGTAGCGGAACTCGGCGACCAGCTTATCGGTCATCTTGCCGGCCAGGGCAGAGGTGGAGGGGTTGGGAGGGAGCGCGGCGAGGAAGTCGCCGTATGCGGGAGCGAGTTGCAGCTTGACATCTGAGACGTCAGGTTAGCGATGAAGGAGTGGTAGAGAACACGACGGGATCGAATATCAGAGAGACGACGGACCATCGATCGTTTCGCATTGGGTCAAGTTGTTGTAATTCTGGCTGGTCAGGAGGGTATTCCGATATCCTCGGACGATGCCCTCGACATAGCTACGGGCAATTGCAGTCAGCGAATGTCCAGCAAAGACACCAAGTCCGGGACAAGAACATACCCGCTGTGTGCGTTGAAGAACAAACCCTCCATGGTCAAAATGAAGTCGAATCAAGCAACCAGCTTCAGCTCTGTAGCTCCAGTCTAATCTGATCTGGAGGGAACCTCAGCGGAGCTTCCAGGCGTCGTTTAGTTGTCGCTTCCGCCGGGCGAGAATCGACTTACATAAGCCGCACCGCCGCAGCACACCGCCGCAGCCACACGGGAAGGGCACGAGCCACTCGCATCGGTTTTTTTCACTTTTTTAGGGTCGAGAGTAAAAAATTCCCGCCAGCAGCAGAACTCCGAACTACTTCCTCCAGCACGCTCTTGGTGGTTTGGTCCACGGTCGACAACCCCCTCCTTTTCATTCCTCCCCCGCCTTTTTCGAGCTGTGATTTCGCCTATATTTCATTCAGCTGGGACTCGAGGCCGCGACACCATGACGCTCTTTATCCTTACCGAAACCAGCGCGGGTTATGCCCTGCTGAAAGCCAAGGACAAGAAGTTGTTGAAAAGAGATGACTTGGCTGAGGAGGCTTCCACGCCGGAGGGAGTTTCGAACCTGTAAGTTAAAACCTTTGTGCTTCTCGCTGGGGAAGAGGTCGCGTCAATTTGCGTCCTGTTTCCCCCGGCGCTTTGGAGCAAAATTTTTTCTGCCCGCGATGGAAACGAATATACTAATGTCGTCTTCCCCAGGTTGAAATTGAAGAGTTTCCAGAAGTTCGAGAGTGCCACTGCCGCTTTGGAGGAAGTTGCTTCCATTGTTGAGGGAAAGGTGACCCCTCGCCTTGCTAGTCTTCTTGAGGAGATCAAGGATGAGAAGAAGGCTTCTCTGGCCGTCGCCGACCCCAAGCTCGGTATGTGCTACCCCAACCAGCATAATCATTGGTAGTATTGGTGATTAACAGAAATTTTCGTAAAGGAAATGCCATTGGCAAGCTTCCCGGTCTGTCCCTCCAATTGGTGGCCGACTCCTCGACTGCCGACGTCTACCGTGCCATCCGTGAACACCTGCCCACATTAATCCCCGGTCTGCTGCCTCAGGACATGTCCACCATGTCCCTGGGTCTGTCTCACTCCCTCGCCAGACACAAGCTCAAGTTCTCGCCCGACAAGATCGATACCATGATCGTGCAGGCCATCGGTCTGCTGGATGATTTGGACAAGGAGCTGAACAACTACGCCATGCGTGTGAAGGAATGGTACGGCTGGCATTTCCCCGAACTGGCCAAGATTCTGAACGACAACCTGGCCTACGCCAAGCTCGTCCTGAAGATGGGTATGCGCTCTAACTGGGAGGCCTCCGATCTGGCCGAGATTCTTCCCGAGGAGCTGGAGGGTGCCGTCAAGATCGCTGCGGACCGTTCCATGGGTACCGAGATCAGCCAGGAGGATCTGGAGAACATCCAGGCCCTGGCCGAGCAGGTTGTTGGTTTCTCTGAGTACCGCCAGCAGCTGGCCGGCTACCTGACCGCGCGTATGAACGCTATTGCCCCCAACCTGACCGCCCTTGTCGGCGACCTGGTCGGTGCCCGTCTCATTGCCCACGCCGGTAGCCTGACCAACCTCTCCAAGAGCCCCGCCAGTACCCTCCAGATTCTGGGAGCCGAGAAGGCTCTGTTCCGTGCGCTCAAGACCAAGCACGACACGCCCAAATACGGTCTCATCTACCACGCTTCGCTCATCGGCCAGGCCACTGGCAAGAACAAGGGTAAGATGGCGCGTGTCCTGGCCGCTAAGGCCTCGCTCGGTCTGCGTGTGGATGCCCTCGCTGAGTGGGACGAGGAGGCCACGGAGGAGGACAAGTGCGCTCTGGGCACGGAAGCCCGCTACAACCTCGAGCGCAAGCTGGCTGCCATGGAAGGCAAGCCCCTTAAGCCCCGCGGTGTCGCCATTGCCCCCAACGGCGCGCCGGTGCAGCCCCAGAAGTTCAACGTCAACGAAGCCCGGAAATACAACGCCGACGCCGACGCTCTGACCGGTGACGAGCCTTCTTCCGCCAAGAAGCAGAAGAAGCTTGTCCAGGAGGTTGAGGATCAGGAGATGGCCGACGCCGACTCGGACGATGATTCGTCTGACGACTCGGAAGAGGAGTCGAGCAAGAAGTCCAAGAAGAGCAAGGACGCGGAACTGGAGAAGTTGGCCGAGAAGGCCGGTCTCAGTCTGAAGCGGTACAAGCGCAAGCTCGAGCGCGGCGAGATCGAGTTCGACGCCGCCGGCAACCCCAGCTCGGTCAGCAAGAAGGACCTGAAGAAGGCCAAGAAGGAGGCCAAGAAGTCGTCCAAGGGTGACGAGAAGAAGCGCAAGCGATCAGACGAGACCGAGGAGGCCGACTCCGAGAAAAAGAAGAAGAAGAAGAGCAAGAGCAAGGACTAGACGATCTTACTTGCTTTGTTGTTTCGAGAAATGAGGAGTCCGGCAGAAAAGTTCCCCCAACCTGATGGTGCCATGTTGCTTCTTCCACTTTATTCCTGTATGATATCACAATCTGTGGGCCTGACATTTCTTTCAATTTCTTTGTGATTTTCTATTTTGTTTTTCCGATTTGAAGACTTATCTATGTTTCTTGGGTGGCATTTATGGATGGAATGCAGGTCTATCCACGGCGCAGCGGTGCTCGAGTTGTTATTCAGGAAGTTAGGAATAATCTTGATGTTCACTTGTGTTCTGTAGCTGTAGCTGTAAATGTAGTAACCTCCATTAGCCTGTCACTTCCACGAGCCTTCAATATAGAGTACGGAGTACAGTGAATGTAGAAGCAAACGTGAATCTCAGAAGGGCAAGCGGAGAGCCATATATACTCACCGCCCGCAGATTCTGCCATCCCATCCGCGCAATTTTCCCCTCATTTCTTTTTTTCGTTTTTTCGCAGATTCGGAGTCATCAGAGCATCCATTTATATCTTCTCAGATCAGATCCTCCATACTGAATTCAAAATGAGGGTGCGTATCAAATGCCTATCCTGGCTTTCACACAACCCAGTTCCACCACCGCTCTCAATTCCATCCTGAAATTCAACGAAACCAAACCAAATATATCCCATCAACCCTTGAGCCCAGAAACAACTCCGAACAAGAATCGCCCCAGAAAAGATAGATGATGTTGAATACTAAGAATGATGATATAGATCGTCGACCCCCAATCCGCCGTTCTCACCAACATCGAAGTCCTTGCCTATGTCACGGCGAACCCGCCGCGCCGACCTCCTAACCCGCCTCCGAACTCGAGGAATTGGGTCCCGAGTCCGGATCTGAGGGATCATAATACTGTTGTTAAAGAGGTAGGACTCTCTCATGTTTACTCACTTTCGCGGTCGATCGAGCGCATATACATACACACCATACACATGCATATACAGAATCAGACACGGAAATATAGGGGGGGCGAGAGTGTGTTTGGTCTAGGTTCAGATATGGATGGTCCTGGCTATAACTCTAGCTATAGCTACACCATCTCCCTCCATCCCATTCTTCCATGCCATCCCATACCCAACCTAATCCCATATACATATACAGATACAGATACTGACGAAACTACAACCCAGATACACAATTACATAGCCCGTCTCTCCCCCCACCTACTCCATTATCCACGATACACGCCCCCCGGCATCCCTGCGCCTACGCCTACCTCCTCAACCACGCAAACCCAAACCCAAACACACACACAGAATACCTCAGACCCCCAATCGCAAATACAAACACAAATCCCCCCGGCGCGCCTAAACGCAAACACGCCCATCGACGACGCCCTCCGCAGCCTAATCACCCAGTTACAGCCCTACGGGCTCACGAAAGGAGAAGTCCTCATGATTGTGAATCTGGGTGTTGGGGTGCAGGGGCCTGGGGCTGATGGTCCTGGAGAAGGGGAGGGGGAGGGAGAGGCAGAGGCAGAGGGGGCAGAAGAGGGGCAAGGTGAAGAGGGGGCAGAAGGTGCAGAAGAGGGAGGGGAAGAGATGACCAATGGCACAGCGGCTGAAGGGCAGGGCGAGGAGATGGATGTAGATGCCGTCGAAGGAGGAGGGGAGGAAGGAGGCGAGGAAGTACCAGAGGAAGATTACGGGCCGTTGGCGCTGCTGGATACGGTGATTGAGGAGCGGGATGAGCGGTTGAGTGATGAGGATGTGAGGGCGGTGTTGGCGATTATTAGAGAGACGTTGGGTGGGGGGCAGTGAATTGGACATTGAACTTTGAGTTGGGTTGGGTTGGTTATATTTGTATGATATGCGATAAGTTGATCTACTCTTATATGGTCATGATATAATTGATGCATTTTATTTTGGTTCACTTACAATTTTTGGTAGCTCATGGATTGATACACTAGTCCATCTCTACCTAGTATGCTGGACAGTTCTGTGCAATTACTACTTCCTAAAACCCCATAAACACTCTATTCGGGCCATCTATACAAGCTGAACGAATCTAGCCTAACCCCATAGAATCAAGAAAAAGAAAAGAAAATTGGTATCTCGTGAATCCTTCTGAAAGAACACTGATCGGATCCTACAAGGCCGGTGGTCATGACGCTGACAAGTCAACGAATGTCACGGCGCGATGATCCATCCAACCCAAGCAATTGAAATGAAGGAAACAAGACAAAACAAATGAGAGTAGAACAATTTCACCAAAACGCCATACCAGAATGCAGGCCATTAATCGATGGCAGGGGCTGTTTCCGCTTCAATCAACCCGATAATATGAGCAAGAAGAAAAAAAGAGCAGGAATAGGTGTGACGAAGTTCGAGGCGAAGAATGTGATCTCCTCGTGGGTATAGGTGTAATTAGGTTCGAAGATGAGACCACCAATGCAGGGAGCTGGGTCAATCAGAGATGCTAGTTCTCCTTCCCCTTGATCAAATTGCCGAATTGGTTGTACACAGGCTCCTCGTCGTCATCTCCGCCCTCCTTACCCCATTTTCCGAGATCATCGTCAAAGACATCTCTCTCGTAGCCTGTACACACCTCAGCATAATCCTTCCACTCGCCCTTATCGGTCCAAATGCCGCCCTTGCCGCCACGGAGATCCCACCAGTCCTGGCCGCCTAGCATGGCCGACTGCGCGGCGTCAAATCCCGTCGGCGCGCGCATGTACTTGCGCAGAAGGGCGCGCGCCCACTTGTGGAACCACATCTTCGCCCACCAGGGGTCTTTCAACAATGGGTCGCCGTCTAGGTGCAACAGCGCCGGGACGGAGGCGGAGTGCACGTTGGTCAGCAGAGTGAGATTGAGCCAGGTGTGGTTGCGTGGGTTAGGCAGCGCATCGAGCGTGCCGTTCAATGGCGGGTTGACCCATTCGTCCTTACCGAATTTGGGCTGGATGAAGGGGTTTCTGAGTTTCTCCGGGGAGAGGTCAGGCGGGATCATCAGGCGGTGCTCGCGCGGAACGCCATGCTGCATCTGCACGGCGGAGGTCTTGGAGATGTTGAAGTATTGGAGCCATTCGACGTCCTTCTTCGAGTTGAAGCCGTTGAAAAAGATCCGCGATTCATAGTCGACTCCGATGCCGTACTCGTACCGTTGTCCGGTTTCCAGACGAGGGCGTACTTTGGTGATATTGGTGGCCTCCGAGATGCCGATCATGTGGTAGAGCCATTCCTTGACCGCGCTTGACGTCCGGAGTCGTTCCAGCTCGCGCACGTATTCCTGTCGCCCGAACATCTGGGTCAGCGCCACGTAGTCGCCTTTGACATTGCGGTGCTGCTCCACGAATCGCATCATCTCCGCGTAAATCAGCTTCAGGTCCGCGACCTGGCCGATCGAGGCGCCGGGCTTAATCCAGCGCGGCCGATTGAGATGGCCTTGCGAGTGCGCGTCGGTCTTCCAGCCATACACGTCCGGCGGCAGGCTAGATTGTGGCACAGAGACGCATCCCGCGTCATCTGACAGGCTGGCCAGACATTCCTTGCTGGCACTGAAGAGGACTCGTTGCGAATACTTCTGCATCGTTTCAGCCGCACTTGTACTACCCGTCCGGGATGGCCGTTCCACGTTGATCAGGCCGTATTTCTTCTGCAGCTTGGCATTGTTCTCTCGCAGCAGGTCCTGGAACCGATGGATCATGACCTCCGGCGGCAACTGGAAGAAAAAGTCATGGTTTCCGTCCACGATCAAGACGAAGTCGTTGTCATGCACGTGCGGGGTGTATGCCAGGAACTTGTAGATGCCCGATATCCGTTCCACCATGCCCTCGTAATCGTGCGACCCCTGGGGCAGGTTCTTCCCGTAGCCGATCAACGTCGGGGGCGGATAGTTGAGGATCATGGCGGAGGTCAACATGCGACAGAGGGCGGGGGTTTTCTTCGTGGCGGGGATGACGAGGTGGAATGCGGGATTGGATTTCTGGAGACTCGACGGAAGGGTGTCATTTCTTCGCAGGGTCGGCTGAGAGGTTTGCACGATTGTCGCATCCTCGGGGTGATGTGGGAAAGGATGGTAGGATGGGTATTTCAGCCAGTAATTAACAGGTGGCTAGAGAACCACAGCGGTCAGCAATCTCATGTCGATGTAGATAGGTAAAGCAATGACACCGGGCGACTCACTTGAGAAGGAGATCGGAGGAAGATTGTCAGTACGAAGAATGTGGCAATGGTAAGAAAGAGCGCTCGGGTCGGACGAGCTCTCATGGCGCGGCGACTGAAGAGCTGGTGAAACAGCGTCGTCGTCGACGACTGTATGGAATGATAATGATCGGCCCAAGGGCCATTGCGACGGCCGAGAGTGGCCATACTGATTCCGAAGACCAAGCCTGGTAAGACAGAGGTCTTTTAAAGTTGAAACAAGGCGTATGTAACCCTCAGCAAGGGAGAGACACAATCCAGGGGAGTTTCAATCAAGTCGAGCTTGCTGATCGATCAATTCAGCTAACGTGGCACAGTCGTCCTCCGGAAGATGAACATTCCTGCTGCGAAACGATTGATCGGAAGGGAATTGCGATGGCGGACTTGGTCCATGGAATGAATGAGTGTAGGCGCCGCAGTGGTTCAATGACAGCAGAAAGACGCCATGCCTTTGGGAGAAAGTCGGCGGAAAAGGTGATGACGAAAGGACTGAAGAGCACAGGAAAAGCGGAGGTTACATCCCACACGCGATAAAAGCCGCTTGAACAGCGTACGTTGCACAAGGCGACGAGTTGGGAGATGATTTACGTCGACGGTGGAGAGTCCCAGGGATTAATCTTGGTTCGATGGTGGGAGATTACTCCGTCAGTATTCTAGGAAGAGTACCGCTCCTAATAAGAGGGGGTCATGCTCTGCCCTACGGTCCCCGATGACTCTCTCCTGGTTCTGATTTTAGGCGGATTAATTTCTAGCGCGCGCTTTGAACATGTATAGTAATTCCATTCATGATCGCAACCCTCTTCTCTGCAATCCTTCGCCGTGCACAGGAAACTGGCCTGGATCTGCCGCGTCATCAACCGACTGTCTGCGTCCCCAGGCTTGGCCTGCTTCCGCGGGTGTTTCATATTAGTTGTTTGATTGTTGGAACTGTCTGGACACCTCTTCTCTGGACATACACTGCAGGAATTCTATACACAGTATCCGTAGACCGTCCTCTCATTACTCCAGGTAAATCTCCTCCCGTAGACGCTGTAAATTCTTGAAAATTCCACCCCCAGGTCCCTCGCTCTCCTGGCGCCGATGACTCGTCGACTTCGCTTTCGCCTGCTGCGACTGCCCCGGATCCATCCTGCCCTGGTTCTCCAGCGTTCGGCGACGATCCTCAATCATCTTCGCCAGGCCATCCACGAACCGAGTGCGCGCCTTCTCTTCCGCCGTGCCCTTCCACACCGTGGCCAGGTCGCGCAGTGCATCCACCCTCTGCGTCGCCGCATCGACCCCCTCCTCCCCGCCACCATTACTGTCCAGAAGCTCCGTGATCTCTGCCCGCAGCTTCTTCGCGATCTCCTGGCCCTTCTCCTCCCGGCTGTGGCTCTCACTTCCGGGCTCGGGCGCAGACACCGATATAAATGAGGACGTCAGGGAGGTCTCTGACGGCGGGAGCGACCATTCCATGGCGTCGCCGAACGTCTGCACGACTTCTTCCAGTCGCGCGCGCACCTGGTTCAAGGTTCGTAGTTTTGTAATGTACTCGGGGTCCGCGACGGCGGGGGCGTCCTCCGGTCCTAGTCCTAGTTCAGGTTGATCTGTTTCTTTGGACGCTTGTTCTTCATCGACTGTACTCGACGAATCCTGTGCACCGCTATTCTTCTTCGTCGATTCAGGAACGAACTTGGCGATGTCATCCCGTAAAGCATCCGTCAGTGTATCCGACAACCCGATGGTTTCTCCACGCAACACCTCCACCTCATAAGCTAGACGACCACCGCTCCGAAGAATCTCGTCCGTGAGCTGGGTCAGATTATTCGAAAGGCGCACATTCTGCGCGTTGATCTGCGTCAGGATGGATTGGACCTGCGTGGAGGATTCGGCGAGGGAGACGGCTTTGGGATTTCGAGGGCCGTGTGATTGCGAAGACGCCAGCGTCAACGGGGGTAGAGTGTCGTTGAGAAAGTCGGCAGGGTCGAAGGAGGGGTCAGTGAAGTTGGTTTCGAGGGAGGGACGAGAGTTGGTGGTGGTAGTGGTTGTCCGGGTGCCTACGCGGGCGGGACTGGGGGAGTGCGACGGAGCCATTGTATCGGAGGGGTGGATGGATTCTGTTTTGGAGGCATTAAGGAGGGCAGAGTCGCCCGGAATTAAATGTTTATAGCATGGGATGATTGGGGGATGAGCAACAGGACGAGTTGTTTGTTCTCCGGATCTTCGGGCGGGCCAAATCCTCGGACGCGGAGGCCTCAAGACTCACTCACCGCCCGCTGGAGAAGCGTCGAATAATTCTCAATGTCCCCTTATTTAATCTTACATTGGTACTGAGTTGTGAAGTACTCGATGAATTCATGATAAAATATACACCACTGGCAGTCTGACCAGGCATTAATAACAAAGAAAGAGGGTATCGTCACTAGATCCAAAGACAAAACAAACCAGACCTTATCAACGAGGCAACGTTGATGCAGTCCTTATAGACAAACAGAAACAAAGTCCTTAACCAAGCATTACCGTGTCCTCATCGCATATTAGAGCCTCCTGGCAATCGTGTTCAAATATCCTCGACCACTCGTGCGTTCACAGCACGCTGGAATCCATCGTCTGCTTGTCCCGATCCAGCACCAGACGCTGAACCGTAACGGCTGGGACCTTCACCGGCACTTTCGGCAGCCGATAGCTGTTGCTGCACCGTCTGGTTCATGGCAGGCAGGAAAATGACCTTGCTGTTGGCGGTCTTGGCCATGGATTGCATGGCCTCGAGGTACCGGATTTGCATGGCAGGTGCGGAAGAAAGGATATCGGCGGCCTAGCAGTGAACGTTAGCTTTCAATCCGGACAACCCATCGAGAGATCAATCTTACCTGTCGCATCAACTTGGCCGATTCCACCTCGGCGCGAGCAGCTATAACCTTACTCTCACCGATCCGCTTGGACTGCGCAGCCATGGACAGCGAATCCTGCAGGTCGTCGCTGAAGATGATGTCCTTGATGAGCATGGACTCGACCTGGACACCCCAGCCAGCAGCCACGTCTTCGATGATCTCGGATGTCGACTGCGCGATCTCCTCACGCCGTTCAATCACGTCCTGCAGCACTCGAGCACCGATGACGTGGCGCAGAGTTGTTTGAGTTCGCTCAACCAAGGCCTGGCGCACGTTGGAAATACCGAACGCCGCCTTGTGGGGAGAGATGACTTGGTAGTAGATGACGGAGGTCAAGTTTAGGGTGACATTGTCCTTGGTCATGCAGACCTGGCGAGGCACTTCGACGATCTGGATTTTGACATCGACGGTATTCAGGTGCTCACTTAGGGGGTTAACTTTAACCAGACCAGGGTCGACAGCTCGCTCGAATCTATGTCAACGTTAGAGGGTGTCCTTTCCAATAGAGGTATATATGCAGGCACGAACCGTCCGAATTTCGACACCAGGCCGACCTCACCCTGAGCAACGGGCTTGAATGGGTTGGGGCAGCAGAAGCAGCAGGGAATAGCACCCAGGAATCCGATACATTCACCAAGCGAATGGACTACCCGGTCCGTGGTTAGCGAGAGATCTGGCTACAGAAGAAAGGCGTTCAACTCACTTAATCCTGCATACCAGCCGTGGGCATCGGGATTGTCATCATTATGCTCCAGTCTCTGCGCATACTTGGGCTGCAGATCACCCAGACGCGCGGGTTGGACATGAACTAAGCCAGCTTGATGGTGGTGAGAGCTGGAAGGCTGAGCGGGGGCCTTGCCGTTGGTGTCTGGGCGTGCTTGTGCTTCGGCGGACATTTTCGAAATGGAGGTGATATAGTTGTGTTATTGTTCAGATGAACGCAAGTCGAGAACCGCGACTCCAGATCGATGGGCGCGGTAGATGCAGTATTTAAGATAGAAGATAAGGTTGCAACGGCTGGAATGCAGAGTGTAACGTCGTTGCAGGTCGGAGGAATGACGATAGACGGGATGGCAGAAGGAAGAGGATGGTCGACAGTTAAATAAGTCGCGCATCCAAGGTACAAGACGGTCGGAAGAGGAGAGATCGGCCGCTGCTTTCCTCGCCCAGACCTCCGCAGGGAGAAGGTGGACCTCTGGGCAGTCCAGGCTGACCCGCCCGTTGGCCCTACGAAGGTTTTCCAAGGCTGAGTAGCTGCCCGTGATCTGTGATCAGGTGCCCGTTGCCGCCATGGCAGCGTCATCGTTCTGCCTTTCCCTTTCTCTCGAACTCTCTTCAACGCTAAACAACACGAGCTCTCCTGATCCGGTAAAATCCAGCGCGCATCGGTTATTATCTCCGAGGACCTTGTTCGAACAATTGGAACAGAGAACTCCCCTCTCTGCTTCCAGATGTTTTCTAGCGGCCGAGAGCTTGGATGACGGTTCGTCAAGCTGTTGACCCTTGACCGTGACTCTGTTTCTCAAACCGATCTGCTCGTGTCAGTTGTATGACTGTGTCGTTGTCGGCCTTGAGTTTCAGGAATTCGGGGATTTACTCCTTCAGGTCCTTGACTATTGATTACTGAAGCTGCAATCATGCTCAACCTCTTGGACCCTGAGGCATAATGGCATATCCTCTCCTCATACCCCACGTTAGGACCCATACGTCATTGAGCCTCACAGCCTGATCATCATGGTGTTCTCTATCCAAAGACAGAATCTCGAAACGGCGTGGTTGAGCCGATTGATAAATCAGAAAGCAGTTCGATTCTCTAAGACCCCGCTGCCTTTGCCCGGCAACGGGGCGCAATCGGGGCGGTGCTTCCTTCGCGCAACTTTGGCCAAGGCTGGGCGCAGTCTAACCACTTACCACTGACACCATGCCCCGGTCTTGTTCCCGAGACCACGAGCTCCCCCGGACTGCAGCGGTGGCGTGGTCGCTGCATGAGCTGCATGATGTCGCTTTACTCATACGACCGTACTAACTATTGTGCGCAGAAGATCTATAACAGTGCGTATTTTCATGCTGGTGGTGCATTTTCAGTTCTTCAACCTCTTCACGAAGACTGACTGAAGGGATGGAATGGGTTGGGGGCGGAAAAAGAAAACAGCGGAGGGTGGCCGAACAAGTGCAAGGTTTGACCATCACTTTACAAATTCCACAGCACCGGTGCCTGTCTCAGGCTTTGGAATGCGACCGACCGATCTTTCGCATATTTCCGCCACCGTCTGCGCAACTTGTTCTGTCGACTACGTCTTTGATATTTTAGGTGTCTCAATCTTCGGAGACTGAAGCCATGAAGCTACGGTAAAACATCCCAAGTGTGGGTCTTATAATCAGTATGGCCAATAGGCCCATTCTAGGGTATTTCCTAGCCCTACACCGTACGGCGAAAAGGGTTGGATGACTTTCATCTGCTTTCCACATATTCTCGTACAACGGGGGCAAGGGACCACGGTTGTGCCTTTTATTGGCCGGGGTCTGCTCTTGGGCAGCTTGGATAGCGAGGTGTAACTCACTAACCGACTAATTAGTAGTCAACTAGGGGAACCGCCCCTAAATACAGTGATAGCGAGAAATATTGGCCTCCTATTCCAAATACTTCAATCTCTCATCGTCTCGCTATACGGCAGTATCATTGTTGAATGTCTGGCAAACTAACGATGCGATGAGATTCGGGGTAGCTGTGCGTGGTGCTGTCCTTATGCCTATGAATTACTCGGTCCATGAAATATCCTAATTTTGATACTCGGTGATTCACATAGAAATGTGAGGAGATTAGAACCCAGGTACCTGTCGGGTGGCATTCGGGCTTCGGCTTTCGCAGCTTCGCTCGACTTAGTTCCCTTTTAGCCTCCCCGCCGACTGGTCGCTATTGGTCGGCAATTCTGTCCCTGATCTATAGTCTTGAAATTGGTCCATTTGATTGTTCAGGGAAAGCGCTGAAGTTGTTGCTCCAATCATGAAAGCAGGTAGACTATCTCATTTCGTTCGCAGGGTTACACTGCGCCCTGGATAAGCGTTAGCCCCCTTGGTCTACAAAACCAAGCTGCTCCCCTGTGGTGCTGTGCAAAGGCCTCTTTCATCTTTTCTTCTCTTTGCCTCGGTCCTCCGTGCATTCGTCTAGCCATTGCCAAGATGCCTTCTCTCAAAACTCTCCTACCGGTCCTCCTCTCCCTCGCCACTGCCACGATAGCAGATAACAGCGACAATTGCCCCCACAACTGGCTCTCAAACCGCTACAAAGACAGACGATGCTGCTACGGCAACATGCTCATCGAAGACACCACCGCCTACTGTTGCGTCTACGAAGTGTACGGATACGAAGAACTCGCGACGATGTCTTTCCCCACTGAAACCGCTTCCACTTCTACCGAGCACACCTGGTCCAAGGAAGACGGCTGCTTCACGAAGATCCCGTTCACGGCGAGTGATTACTCGGCGCGGGTCTCGTCAGCTTCGGATGCCATTGCGGCGTCAAAGACGAAGCCTGCGTCTAATGAGGCTGCTTCTACCAGCGGGAGTACGAGCTCGGCGACGGGGTTGGCTTCGACATCTGCATCTGCATCTGCTTCGGGGTCTGAATCTTCGACTAATGCGGCTATGCCGGTCGCTACGGCGCAGGGGATGGTGCTTGGTGGTGCTGCACTTGCTGCTGCTTTGTTTGTGTGATGGGGACGGGTTGTTGCGGTGATGGTTGGCGTTGCTCGCTCTTGCGAATTCGGATTGCTGTCTCGAGGTTATTGGCCCACGGCTCTCCAGGGTAGTACGGAACATGTTAAAGCTTGCGTTGTTTATTAGAGGTGCCCTGACTGTGCGACATATCATGCCGGGGCTCGCGGGCCCAGGAATGCAAGCAAATTTCACATATACTGTTCAGCCCGGGCATGAACTAACCAACTTGACGGGTTCATTGGGTGACTTGGGTCAAATAACCCGAGTCAATCTAAGCGACTAAACAGGAGGTGGCATATATAATTATCTTATCTAGAATTATAGCATATTCACTGCTCTATCCGAACATTGCGATTCTGCATAATCGCACAATTTACAGCTAAATACCCAATAAATGAGTGGATATCTACCAATCAACCCACAAATAGCATCATCATGCCAACCATTTCATCTAGAAATTCCGTCACGTCTTTCCTGCTGTAGTTTGCATCATTGTAGTCGATCGAGATGGTCGAGCAGTCTCGCCAGCTCTCAAGTCGCACGGAACTATGTCCATGAGAAACAATTAGTTGGTGCTCTTCTTCGAGCAATTTGCCCATGGGAAAGAAAGAATTCACGACTCACAGATATGGTAGGAATTGATTTAATGAGAATTGGATTTCTTCAATGGTGAGAGCCTTTTCCTGGCTGTTTTCGCGGCATACTTCTCGTGGTATGTATCTCTCGATGATCCCGTCGCTGGCAAATACCTGGTTCTCATATCAGTCTGTGACAAGCAGTTGCTGGGTTATTGTAATAAGGTAGTTAGCACAAAACCACCTTATGTTTTTTGGGGGCTATATGCATATGCGATGCAGTACAAGACCTACCTATTCAGAATATACGCAACAAAATGAGAGAATGACAACGAGATAGACAGCTGAGATGGATGGCTGATCCAAAAACGATATGAACTCTTAACAATAGCACAAGTTCTTATCAGAAGAGTTTTTAGCTGAGTCCGGGCTGTAAACACGATATCATAGGACTTGATATTCTCAAACACAACAGGTATCGTCATGATACACATACTATCAAACGACTTTCTCCCTGTTGCGAATTCTGCGGTTAGGAAGCGTCGACTGTTGACGGGCGACGCGGGGAGATGGGCCTGTGAGTCTGGCTCATCAGGTCCTGGAGGGTGGAGCTCCAGCACGGTGGCGAATACAGCGACGTGTGCGAGGTGGATTATACTGTATTCAGCCCAGAGGGTCGTTTTCAGATTGGCAATGTTGGCCTTGCTTTGGTCGGCTGAGAGAGTGTGTCGGATGCTCTGGGGCTTGTCGTCTTGGGAGGTAATGTTGGGCTGGAGACCCCAGTTTCGCTGTATATCCATTGATTAGATGCATTCTTTCGCGACTCGTTGTTTGGGGCTGGGATTGGGGATGGATGGCCCACCTTCCCTTCCAGCAACGCCTTGATATAGGTTGCTCGACGCGCTTCAAAGGATGGACCGGATATCGTTTGATCGGCGGCCAACGAGTCTAGAAGGACCGGTGGAGGAGGAACTGCCCTACAACTCGGGGCGACTAACGATGCCCCGCCCGAAAGCTCCTTGCCCAGAAGGCAAAAAATGTCACTGATGAACTGGCGAAGACCAAGACCATCGAAGAAGATGTGTTTAGCGTGGAACGAAAACCGCACAGGTGCGGTCCCGATTAAACCCGCCTTCTCATCCACAGCCACTGCAACGTGAGTAGCCACGGCTCGAACACTGGTCTCCATCCTGGGGTTCTAGTTCTCTTCATTCACATCATGAAGCTTTGCTGTTTGTGGACCACGCGCCTCCACTCGGACAATACCGTTTACCCAGTCTTTAAGCTCATTTTGGCTTGAAGTCTCTCAATGCTGAATCTACGGGGATCCTCTCTCATCCCAGCACGCGGTGTGGGCAACCACGGGATATTTCTGTCGCATTTGTAGCCATGTTGCTGCGAGGCCGCGCTGCAAGTCTTGTACAGCGAGAGTTGGACAGTGGAATTGCACTGAGCAGATCAGATACATATCATTCTCGCCCTTCTCACTCCTGGATTGTTGCCCGACAATTCTTTCCGCACCGATCGCCGGCCTTTGCCATAGAGTTGAGTCCGTGGACGAAGGTTTCCATCGAAAGTTGTCCGCGGCGAGTGGCGGCCATCCGGGCAACTTTAAACATCGAGCGAAGAAATTCAAAAATGTGGTAATGGTTCGTATAGTAGAACTTATCAAAAAAGGTGACAAGAAGGTAGAACTCATGATCAACGATTTCAGAATGGTGAAGAGGACTGTCATCTTCGATGAAAGAAAGCTGTATTCATTCGCATCTTGCATGTCGGACACGGAGTACAATCCGTTTGTCCACCGGTGGCTTGCTCTCGAAAAACTCTTTAGGGTTCACATATGAATCTTCTTCACTGCCGATCAGATCGATTGGATCAAATCACTCAAAAGCTAGTATGGCCATCCGAATTGCTGATCCCTACTACCCCTGGCTAACAGAAGCATTGTACACACTCTCGGATAGCCGATTTGACATGGAACAACCATGGCTCCAAGACTGCCAGCTACGTTGGTTCTGTTTACGCGATGAATTGGCTTTGTCGAAAACGAGAAGTCTCTGCTAGCAGTGTAGGGCGCACAACAAGTCCACATAAAAGCCATGTATGCCCTTCTTCTCATCGCATCTCTCCATAGAAAGTGCGCAAACACGAAAGATAGAGGGAATGGGTGTTCTTAGTTCGTTGTCGCTCCTCAACTACGTGGAGATCGCCGGTATAGGCGCTGTTCTATACACCATCGGCCTAGTGATCTCACGTCTGTGGTTGAGTCCGATTTCATCTTTCCCAGGGCCACTGCTCGCTCGCACCACTTTTTGGTATGAGTTCTACTACGATTGGGTCAAGGCCGGACAATTTTATATGCAGATTGAGCATATGCATCGACAATATGGTTCGCTGGCATTCCTGCAGCTTTACTCCTACTAGCTTCTAACTTTGGTTGTTAGGTCCGGTCGTACGCATCACGCCTACCGAGATTCATGTCCGTGATCCTACATTTTACCATGAGCTCTTCGTCACAGGTGCTGTCCGAGAGACAGACGCCTACCCAAGGTTTGCAGAAGGGACTGGTTTCGAAGGTCTGTATGCCTGTCTGCTAGTCTTACATCCCTCCGCGAGAAGAACTGGCTAACGCATTTGTCTGATGCAGATATGGTCGCCGTTTCTACCACCCACGAGATGCATCGCGCAACCCGAGCTCCCCTGAATCCCTTTTTCTCGGTGGCCGGAATCACTCGTGTGGAGGGCCGGGTTGTTCAACGCGTAAAGAAGTTACGTGCCCGGTTAGAAGAATATGTGATTACCGGCAAACCAGCCAACATGACCCATGCGTTTGGCTCAATGATGACGGGTACTGGATAAAGACCTTTCTTTATCACCTTTTTACGATGCAATATACTTACTGACCTTCGTAGATATTGTTTCATGCATGCTGTTCGACGAACCTAGCAATTACCTTAACGATCCTACGTTTAATGCCGACTGGTAGGGTTTCCCCGGTTATGGTTCCAGCAACGTAGTTAACTGACTCGGACATAGGTTTGAGCTACTGAAGAAAGGCTCTGCGACAATTTCTCTGCTGGCGCATTTGCCGTGGATTGCGAAGTATGTCCCTTTTTTGGGCGCAGAGGATATACCTGTTTGGCTAAAACGGTCCACAGGGTTTTGGTAATGCCAGTCGTTCGGACCATCTCCGAACGAGTGACAAAATGGAGGATCTGGGATGATGTGAGCATATAATCGATCCCTAAAAGAGAAATCCCTGAGAAGATTGATTGATTTATTACTTTCTAGAAAGCGCGCCGGCAGATCATCAAGGCCAAACTTCGGCCAGCAGATGAATCCAAAAATCGGAGTGATACTACGCTCTTTGACCACCTCGTCCACAGCGAGCTGGTGGAGTCGATCTTCGGTAATGGTGGATTTGCTCGTTTATCGCAGGTAGGAGAGTCGGCCGCACGATGAGTACTTCTTTGTCCTGACTGGTGGCAGTTGATTCAGCAAGCTGGAACCCATAATGTGTCTACTACACTGGGCACTATTGTCACCTATCTAGGTCTTCATCCGGAAATGGAGGAGAGGCTTCGCCAAGAACTGAAGGGCTTATATGACGAGAGCCGTCAAACAGGGCCGCCGTCGTGGCGGGAATTAGAGAAACTGCCGTACTTGAAGGCTTGCTATCAAGAAGGTCTGCGGTAGGTTTCCCGTTCCACAAAGATGGAACGCATCTGATACTGAGACATCTTTAGAATGGCAATGGGACTATTACATCGACAAGTGCGGATATCACCAAACGTCGACTTGGAATGTAACGGCTGGACAATCCCCAAGGGAGTAAGTAGCTCCTCTTCCTCTTCTTGCTACTCTCGACCACCGATAAATTGATCATCTCCCTTAGACACCAGTCTCGATGACCAACCACTGGATACATATGGATCCGAGTGTCTTTCCAGACCCAACCTCATACAATCCTTGCCGTTGGCTTAGAAGCTCGGAGAGAATGAAGCTGCAGCAAGACTACTTTGTTCCGTTCTCCAAAGGGTCTCGCGCTTGTGTAGCGAAAAAGTATGATAAGCATCCCTTGCTTGCCTCTGGGTCTTCAAGACTAACTAACTAACTTGATGCAGTCTCGTGGACATGGTTGTCTACCACACTCTCGGAGAACTGTATGGTCCACACGCACCGAGGATATCACTCTACGAGACAGATGAGACTGCAATTCGTCCGGTCCATGGTTTTCTGTTTCCGTTTCCAAGATTGGATTCTCCGGGTGTGAGGGTCATTCTGGAAAGAGATATTGGAAGCCCGTGTTAATTACTGACATTACTAAAACTCGAGATAATCATATGTTCCCCCGGCAGGTTGACGGAACACGGTTTCTGTTCCAGGAACTCATGGTGGGCGTTCACCTAGGCAAGCTTATAAGCTCAACGTCCTTATCGCTATTACCTCTGCTATATTAGAGCGCAGCTCCATAGATCTTACTTAGTATTGCAGTGGAATCCACACAGCGACAATGACTGAGGTCTGCCTCAACGACCACATCCTGAATGCAAGCATTTCACGCCAATAGATCGCGTCCAGTAGGATCAGTAGATCCGACATTTGATGCCCCTCACACACAATGAATCGCCTTCTGAGACCTTTTTCTTTTGTGAGCGGCTACGGATGATTCATTGGTTAAATTATGATACGTAAACGCGCAAGATTCAAACCCTCAGAGCTTCCGCCGAGGGGCCGAGAGGCACACCCCGCATTTAAGCGCTCTCGGGGATGTTCCAGTGCCCCCCCCCCCCGTACCTACGTTGACATTGCGTTGGGCTACGGGAAGCTGATAGGGAATAATTGAGTGCTTTTGAACCCTCACGGTGACGTGGCCATCCACCTGGCTTCCGGCCTCTGTGTCTTTATACTTTGATGTACCCCTGTTTCCTATCGTTAACACTACACTCTTCTTCCACCCCCTGTCTAAACCTCAAACATGTTCAACAGTAAAGAGTCCCCAGCGCCAGCCATAGCACCCCACGGCGAAGAAATATGGTACAAAGTCAGCACCCCAGAATACGACACGGTAGCCCACGATCCCCTAGACCCTCCCAAGCGCTACCATACCGGTATCTTCGTCGAAACCGACCCGGAGACGTCCAAAGGAACGCAGTTCCACGTCACCGGCGACATCATCGCTGCGAGTGGCATGCGGTTCGAAGTGAAAAACAACTACGTACCGGGAGAGACCAAATATTTTCACGGAACCACGGACATTGGATGGATTCGCAAGGCGGATTATCCGAGAATAAGACCTATCTTGGAGGCTTTGCCTAGACCGACCAAACAGCAGGGCATTGACTTTTGGAGCAAGGATCCGAGAAGGCGGAATAAGCTTACGTGGACGAAGGAGAATGAGGAAGTTTATGGGCCTGCCGAGCAGCGACGGCCGGTTATGAAGTGTAATGAATGGACACATCAGCTTGCGATTCCGAAGTTGCGACAAGAAGGGATCTTACATACCTCACTTTGAAGATATGTACCAGGGTCTGTCAATGACAGTAACTATAGGGAGATATTTTGTAAGTATATAGAATTAGGATACCTGGTCGTTTGTTTTCTTTTGTTTGCTTCTTTCCTAGAATACCAACGTATTTCACATGCCTAGATCCCTGTCTATCAGATGCATTACGGACATCTCAGCGGGCCATACTTCCACAAACTCCTGGACTCGCCAGGACCAGTCCTCATCCCACTGGAAATGAAAAGGATAAGACGCACAAAAGAATTCCCAGAAGTCAGGAAACCAACCAGAATTCTCCCAATCGACAAGTACGACGTCAAAAGATCGCCCACCCTGATCGTTCGCGCGGGATGTATTCTCCGCGACAATAATGTTCTTCTGCTGCACGTCCCCGTGCGTCAGTGTAGGCCGGTGTCCCTGAAGGACACGAGGGAGGTATTTCTCGTAAAACCGACACTTGTAATCTGGGTGATTATTGCTATCGAGCAAAGCCCTATAATTCCCGACCAGGCCCGCCACGAAGGCCGGTTCGCCGCAGAAAGGCCCTAGATACCTCTCGTCCCCTTCATGTTGGCTATAGAATAGGTAGTGATGTACGGGGCCGCCATCCAGGCTTCCGAAAAAGTCGTCAGGCCATGGACATTCGGCCTTGCGCATTGTGGAGAATATCCGTTGCAGGTTGCCGATAATGCCATCTTTCTCGGAGGGCGGCAATGAGTCCCAGATGGTATTCAGCGGCACCCCGGGAGCGCGTTGCATGACCAGGAACAGTTTGTTGGAATCATAGTACATCGCGTACAGTCGGGGGGCTGGAACGTCTGGGACGTGTCGTTCAAGGTATATCAGAGCCTGGCCTTCCCAGGTGTCTACACCACCTCCATATTTTACAACGATCTCGTCGTTCAGCGCCACTATCTTGGAGGCCTGGGTCTCCCATAGGAGATTGGTGCAGGCGCGGATTTCATCTGTTGTAGGGAGAGCAGGCAATGGTGGGGAGTTCTGGAAGGGTAGATCCACTGGTTTCCACATTGTGGACGGAGCAGGCTGGCGGATATAATTCTGCAGTATTGATGATTGCCTGAATGGAAAGGGAAATGAGGGGGGAGATAGAAGTCCCTAGACCTCGGCAGACGGGGATACTTTGTTTTTAATGAATTGATCTATCTAGCCTTAAATGAAGGCCAATAATATCAACTAGCATCATTGGTCTAGTGGTAGAATTCGTCGTTGCCATCGACGAGGCCCGTGTTCGATTCACGGATGATGCATTCTTTTTTGCTTTAGATCTTTTATATTCTATCATACTTGGTTGATCGAGAATTGTATCCTTTCCTCTACTCAGTTCTACTGTTTTTGTCTCAATCCACTGCCACCAATCCTCGATGATGTGACGACCGCCGTGCCGTCTTAAACAAGCGACCACCTGCTAGTAAGACAACGCAACCAGGTACGTAGATTCATTCGTTCAGTCAATGATGCTATCTCACTCCGAACATCCCATATGCCAGCATATATCCGTCCGTCCATTCATCCATCCATCAATCAGCATCCCCTTCCCCCTAGTTCAACTTGCTGTTCACAAACTGCAACGCAGCCTGGCCATACACATTGCCATAGCTCTGGTGGACGTTTCCATCGTTGCCATTCGAGCAGTACGGGTCCGCCTGGTCACAGTACGACTGGATCAGACTCGCATATTGGCTGCACACCTGGCCACTGGGGCGGGGATCGAACTGTCGGCGCGTTAGCATTCATACCCAAGTTAAATGTGCGATAAGAATAGAATGGCGAGTGACAACAGCACTCTGAGATAAGTGCTCTCGCGTCTCGCGGGAAACGGTTCGGTTCAACTTACCCCTGGTGAGTTCGAGGTTCCCTTGTTGTAGGACGCCCCGGGGGTGTGGCGCGGATTGCCCATCCAGATCATAGCCTTGACGTGGGATCCAACGGAGCTGGAGATGGGTGCTGCGGTGTCGGTAATACCCATGTTCGGGTCGCCGCCGCCGCACATGGCGTCGTCGATGATTTGGGCACCCTGGTTGTGAAAGAAGAAGGTTGAATTAGTATTCATCATTTCATACTTCTTGTGCTTTTGTCTGTGTCGTCTAGCTGACGCTGACAGATACTGCGGACGAACGCATAGGAAACTCGGCCTACCTGCGAATACCCAACCAAGACAACCTTGGTATTCGGGCACCGGTTCACAAAGCTAGTCACCTGGTTGGTGACGGCCTTGACGCCCTGCTGAACGGAGTAACTGTACTGGCTATCCCCGATGGCCGGATAATTGATCGCCTCGGAGGTAGCACCCGAGTGCGCGTTCAGGATCAAGTTGACCACTGTCCCTGCCGTGCCGAAGCCCGGAGAGGCTGTGGTCTCGCGCGCCCCGAAGACGTGGATACTGGGGCAGTTGTTCTGGCGAGTGTGCAGGTCCTCCGGGGCGGCGAGGGCGGCGCCAACCAGCAAGGCTGTGGAGAGCTTAGAGAGCATGATGAATGGAAGACTGTCTTGGGTTGGACTTGTGGTGGGTATGAGATGGGGATCGCTGGGTTGGAAATCACGGATCGAGGAGACTCTGTCGCCAATTTATATGATTGGGATTGAAGCTCGGCACAATGGGTGTTTCATGTCTGGGGTGATGGGGACGGCTGATCCGTTGGTCTGGACCCAAAGGCTTTGCCTGCGGTCCTTTTCGCATGCAGTTGTATCCCCGGGTCTTCGTCCGTTCCTAGGATAGGATCACGCCTAATTGAGCCGAGAATCTTCATTATTCTCAGCTGTGAGCGCTCACATGAGACCATGGATGTAACGCACAGCTCTCGATCGTAGCACATTGCCCTCGGAAACCAGCTGCCATTTCAACTTCCCTTGGTCCGACGCAAGATGGGTCCCTAAATGGCAACAAATATGTCCAGAACAGCTCGAAATCGTAACTTCAACCCGCTGCCGAATCCACTTTAGCCTGAGTGGGGGGGGAAAAAGACAGCTGACAACTGACATTGACAAGCTTGTTCAAGCTTCAAACGTACCCGAAACAAGACGCCCCTTCCAAGACCTTCGGATCAATTTAGGCTATACAAGAGTGGGTCGGACTGTCAGGGTTCAGGTGAGACACTGCCGATCTTAACTCTTCAGCTCTCCACATATGACGGGCTGGTCTGGTTCGACGGGCTTAGATGTCGGCTAAACAGTTCAGGATTTAGAATTGGGTCATGTTTGACAGAACTTAATTGGGTGGGTTAATTGCTAGTAGATGCTAAGGTACCTGGATATTCTCCGTAGTCCAATTCAGTTCCCCGCGTTGCATGTGTGGGGAAGGAGGAGGTGACTACCTTAGTGCTGCAAGTGGAGGGAGTAATCTGCAAAAGCAAGGTGGCTTGCTGTGGAAATAGCCAAAATAAGAATTATCAGGAAAGAAAACGGGGTCACATTGTGAAGTAAGCTAGACAGATTGATGCTTATCCACCGTGCGGGTTGCGGATGATGTCAAGTAGCCTAGCCTACAACCTGACAGAGGCTGCTAACGGATCAAGCAGCTTTCAAATAGCAAGTGAATGGAGATATGTTTCATTTATGCAGTTCGTAGTCATAGATTCGTTGTATATATCCTGTTTGCAAATAGCCTCTTACCATGGTAGACGCAACGGGGTTGACAAGTTCTTCCCCAGTACTGGCTCGGCAGTTCCAATGTCCCTGTAACTTGTCAGACCCATGATTAATTCAGGAAAGTAGATGGATCATACCCCGGACCCCTAGGTGCCCAATATTCTCCCGTCTTGCTGATATCAAAGTCCTCCACGAAAGAAGCCAACGACTGAGCCGCCTCATCGGGAGTAACAGCTATAGCCAGACAAACAAATCAGTCCACACTACTCCATAAACACCACGGAATAACAAAGACACTGAACTCACCACCCCCCGCATCCCAATACTTATCGAATCCCACACTCTTGGTCATCTCAGTGCGCATGAAACCCGGATGTACCAAGCCCACCGCAATGCCCTGATCCTTGAGATCCAGACTCAGCAGTTTCCCTACCATATTCAGCGCCGTCTTGCTGGCATGATGACCGTAGTTTCCTCCCCCCTCGGACTCATGTCGCAGCGTGATACTTCCGCTCTCACTGCTCACCAGGATCACCTTGCTGCCCTTGTCCAGGAACCCGGCCTTCACGAGCTGCTGGACGACGAAGACCGGGCCGATCGCTGACGTGGTGTACATCTTCACCTGCTTGTCCCAGTCCGGTGTGTTGAATGTTTCGAAGCCGAAGTATCCGGCTGTGATGATCGCCGTTTGGATCTTGGTGGACTTGGGGAGCTGGGAGGTGAGTCTCTGACCGGCATCGGGCTGGGCGATGTCGATGTTGGGGATCCAGGTGGTGCGGGCGTCGGTGCTGGATTCAGACGAGGAGGAACGAGCTGTGGCGAAGACGGTCTTGGTGGTTTCTTTGGCGGCGTAAAGGGATCGAAGCGAGGCGCCGAGGCCACGGGTTGCGCCGACGATGAGGATATTGTTGCTCATATTGTAGTCGATATGGATGGATTCTGGGGGTCAGCAAATATGGTCAAAATTATTGGAAAACTTTCCAGTGGAGGAATCGCTCAGCTATTTATGGGAAAGCAGACTGAAACGCAGCTACAAATGCGGTGCGATGATGTATTTATGGCTTGACGCAACCCCGTCAACAAATGACGTAACCCCCGCATCTGGAATGTTGACAACATCGGGAAGCTATACAAACTTTTATTGTTTTATTCTACGAAGAAAGCCTTCTACCCTCTAGATAGACACATCTAGGTAGCTTGATATATGAGACGAAATTGCATAGTAAACAAGCAATGCAGCCTCTTACTGCCTGTAGAGAAATGATCGCTGGCTCTCCATGCTGTCATGATCTACACTAGTTCCGTCTCTATTTGGTGTGGGTCTAATCCTCTAAGGCAGGGGATTTTCAAGATATTCTATTTCTATGAAATCTACTGGTAGATAAATTAAGGCTGTCTATGTCGGTTCATTAATATTTAGATTGAAGCGCAGAACATTAGACCAACTACTTCATTATCTGTTGCTCAAATGAAGAACCGCTACACCATGGCTTTCCCTCTCAAAGACAGGTCCTGCAGAAAAGAGGATATCTCAGGAAAATCCACGACCAGGCAGCAACCCAGGAATAGTAAGGCCACCTGGCAGTGAATTGAAAGTGGGAGGCTGGCGTAGTGGAAAGTCCCGGTCTTGCCAGGAAAATCCTGTAGGGAGATCTCCGGTAGTGAATGAAAGGTGAGGTAGACCTTCTTATTTGAGGGACCTCCCTCTCTCTCCTCCTCCTCCTCCTCCTCCTCTTCTTCTTCTTCATCACCACCCTCCGATCTTCCCCTTTTCTCTTCTTCTTCTTTCTCTCCTCTTCATATCTTCCTCTTCCTTTTCTCCTTCATCACCATCCCTCACTTCTCCTGTCTTCTCTGCCTCTTGCTTCCACGGGCAAGCAGCGACTTCCAGCATATGCTGTTCTGCTTGATTGCAGGGAAAGACCACCCGGTGACGCTTCAATACCCAATCAAGACATCCTTCGACATATGCTGGATTTTGTGGACTCGTTCCGCGGGCCTTTGGGGCGGCGTCGCCTGGGTAATCCCAGGGTCCCCCTCAAAGACCAATATGGAAGTGGGTGTGCAGTGAAGTACTGCGACAAGGCTTCCCAAACATTGGGGCGGGGGGTTGGTTATATATACGCACACATGGTTGGTGGGAAAGGTATGAGTCCGTCCTCATATGGGATCGTCCATTTGACTCTCTGAATCTGTTTAGAATCTGTTCTTGTCTTTCACCCAGAGACCGTCTATTGGCTCGCTGATCCCACGCAGCGTCGGCTCTTTTCTTTCCCCTGGACAATGATGAAAAGCGAGGCCCGCATGTGGTTTGGCAGTATTACCCCCGGGCCTTCCCAAGACTCTTGGGAGGTGGGTTGGTGGGAGAGTTCTGAGTCCTATTCCCGTTGGGATCATTAATTTGATCCTTTTCCCGCTTCTTTCGCTCGTTCTTGTTCTTGCTCTTTTCTTGCTCTTTTCTTTTTTTTATTTCCTTTCCCTTTTTTATCCCTCGCACACAACATTAGTGTCTCTGATCGTCCCTCGGGACCATGAAACTCGGCGCATTCCCGGGCCACGGCCTAACTATGGGAGAGCCCCTCGTTCAATACTCTTGGTGATCATCGGTGCTCTGAAAGCGTATCTGTTATTCTTTGTTCGGGCTATGATGAATTCGCCACTGTGAACAATAGTGACTGATCGTCAAGTTAAAATCCTTGGAGCGATCATAGCTATCAGTGAAGCATGCTGAGTCCACTTTTGTCGAGACACATTACCTTGTTCGAAAAGTTGGGAAGCGATATGGTTGATTCTTCAGTTAGTTACTTAGGTGGTCAGCATTTTCCTCTCTGGGCAAAAATATAAGATTAATTCCTCGCCATACTCCTGAATTCCATTGTAGAATTGAAGAACTCGTACCTTAAAGGCTACTTGCTCATGGGAAAGTCCCACAATCCACCATTCCTCTTCATGTCAGCGAAGATATCAGGTGCTGCTGTGGGTCCAAGGGACCGTGGGACAAGGACAGGTTCCGTTGCAAAGGATAAGCCGGTTGCATTTCCCATTCGTAATCTGCAGGAAAACCAAATGATCTAGCTTTTGGCACAGGCATCAACTCGCAAATAGAAAGTAGAAGACTGTCAGCCGGGAGACATGTGGATATGTTTAGCCGCCGACTGATAGCCTGATACGCGTCGAGTCAACAGCCGAACTCCACTGGATTACCACAGAGAGAGCCCTCATCCTCCGTCACCCATGTAATGAACTAATGATTAATGAATCCGTTGAGATGGCACTGCCCTGCTGCCATTAATAGAACCCCAGCCACTCTTGCCGGCACTAAAAGAAAGCGGTTGCTGCTTAGTCAGGCCCCTCTTCGTATGCCGGAAGGCGGAGAAACCAAAAGCAACGCAGGATATCCCAGAGTCAATCGATCTCCAAAGGCTCATGCGCACAGAATTGTCTTATATCTTCTCTTGCTTAGCTGGCCCCGATGCTGGAGCTGGTCTCTCTATGCCTCTCGAAATCTGATAATGAGTTCCTTCTCCCAGCTGATCACCAATGTGAAAAAAGCCCGCGCTGCCTTCAATAGAGGGAGAAGCAAATCGGACGCCAAGCGGAACAATCACTCCAGATACAGTGTATTTCCGTCGTCACTCTCGTCAACGTCTGTGTATGCCTTCCTTCTTTGCCTCGAGGCTCGGTGGCGAAGGTGCGCGCCCCTGCCGTACTCTGTCGCTAACGTGACAACCAGTGTCGAACAAGTCAACCTAATACCCACGTCCTCACCCTGGGACCTCCTCCCCGTCGAGCTCCAGATCAAGATCTTCGCCTATTGCGGCGTCGCCGATTTCTTGCCCTTGAAACTTGTCTGCCGAGCCTTCTTTCAACTCCTGAACTCTCAGGAGCACTGGATCACTCGACAGTACCTCCGTCAACGCCGTCATGGAACCCTCCCGTCTCCGATAGATAGCGAACGAACATATTCTCGACACCCAGAAGACGATGTGGTGCTGCTGTCGGATTTGTTTCCACCTACAACCAGCGCAAAAGGAGGTCATCTTTACACTTTCCGATACATCCATAGTCTCCGGCGCCGCCAGAAACTATGCTCGAAGCTATGCTATTTCCTTGCCGATCGAGTGGTGGATCGCTTCATGCGGAGCGAGCCGGGCTTTGTGAAATCGAGGTTCCCGTCGAGGACCGAGCGCAACGACTTCATGAAACGGGCCGTCGGGACTATCTGGTTCTACCTTACGCCGCTTATGTAGGTGCTTCCATCAACCACTTGCCGACTTCCTTTGGCGACTTCGCTGATAGCTTCTTCCCTTGTGATAGGTACTATACACTGTACTTCCTTGAGACCTATGCCCTAGCCAGAAGAGAGCAGACCAATGCCCTTTTGCGCGATTTCGAAGCCGGACGCCTGCCGGTTAAGATCCCCCCCGATGTTCGCAAGACTCTATACCGGGACTTGCAGGTTCAAATCATTCAGTCCCCACCCTTTACAGACACCGCCACCCTCGTCTCCACACATCACTGCATGCAACTCCTGGTGTCATACTTGCAATACACCGTGCCCCCCGATGAGCCCGGGCCATCGGACGATAGTTGGATAGGCTCGTTGCTCACCGTGTCGCCGTTCACGCGCGTGCTGGAATATTTCTCGGCAGAAATCGGCGACGGTGGCAGTCAGCGAATGCAGCGAAAAGAGTTCATGCACAACTTCCACAACGACATCACTTCCAATGAAAAGGACGACATGAACTCCTCGGTGTTCGAGTGTGCCCCGCACATTCACGTGCATGGTTCCACGCAGGATGTCTGGTTTGACGTGGTTACTCAGGAATTAGCGTCAAGACGGACCGTGGAGCATAAGCCGGAGCTTGTCCTGGTGTGGGATGGGCTACCTATTGTATTCGGCTGTCATTATTGTCGGGACTCAGCAGGATGGCGCGCATAATTTGTTCGATTTTGCTTGGTTTTGATCAGTATATTTAGCATGCGTTGTTTCGTTGCTTATTGGATATACGGCGTTTTCGTTGGGACTTATGGCTCATGCATTACTTTAGCCGAGCGCATATTTTCTGTCTATATTAGCATGGTATGAATACCGACCGATTCTACGGAGGAATAGTATATACAACTTCGAAACCTCTGATCAAGAAAAAGCAGTAGACAAACTATGATCACATCGCGGAGCCCTATGCCCTACTGTATACGCTATACTGTTTTCGGAACCTTGTTTGCTCTGTTTGCGCCGTCGCGCCTTATCTTCGAGGATCGAGACTCAACCCTCGCATCGAAGTAAGTCTACGACTTACACTACCTGCAACGCTGTCAATTTCCCTAGAGCCTCCCTCTATTCGATCCCGCTATGCGACCTTGTCACCACCCATAGCTGTCTCAATATCCCTCCTCGAATCCATCCAGACCGACCAAAGATGCCCTCATCAAACCAACACTTACTCAACACCTCGTGGACCCTTCATCGTCTCTCGCCCCTCCACCATGGCAAAGAATATCAATCCCTACTCGACAACCCTGTCGCATTGAATACCTACGCGACGCGACTCCGCGACCAACTGACCGGAAACGCCGTCTCGAGTATCTCAACCACCGCCGCAGACGACGAGTCCCTGTCTCGAACCGGCGCGCTGAAATCCTGCGTCTGGGAGATCCTACCTAGCCTTTCGCTCCTTGATACCTCGACAACCGCTTCAACTGCTCTTGATCACCCCATTGCGGCGGGCATTTCCGTGACCCTGGAATACGAGAATATCACATACAAAGCGGCCCTCCTTGCGCCCCTCCCGGGGGACGATGATCGGCGCAAGGCCAAAGGCAAGGGGAAGGCAACGGAGACCACATCTACGTCGACGGACCTCCCCCTCCTCATGACGCGCTTCCCGAACCCCCTCCGCCAAACCTTCTTATCCTTCCTCTCTGCCAACTTCGACACCTACGTTTCGAACCTCCGCCTCTCGTCGAATTTCATGTGCTCGGCGCTAGAAACATACCTCCGTGTTTTGAACCTCGCGTATCATGACCCCGAATCCGAACCGGCGCCTGATCGTCGCGTCCAACGCCAGATCCTCGAAGACCTCGTCAAAGAGCTACAGCTTACCATCGCGTTTTCGCCAGCCGTCGCGCCCGCGCTACGCTCGCTGAACGTGAATGTGCCGCGGGCGTCGCTGGGACGGATTCTGTTGCCAGCGCGTCCAGGGGCCGGGTCCGAGTCGTCTGTCCTGAAGGGTCTGTCGGATTATATTCGCGAGCAGTTGGCGATGGATTTGGATCTTGCGGGGGATTCGGAGAATTCGGCGCTTGTGAAGCAGCATGTGCGCGTTTCGAAGATCGCGTGTGCGGGGTTCAATATTGCGGGTGAGGGGAGGTTGAAGTTGGTTGGACTGCCGTCGACGGGGAGATCGCGAGATGGGGAGGAAGGAGGAGATGATGATGGAGAAGGGGGTGGTTTGAGCGAGAAGAGGAGGCTCGGATTACAAGCCAATGAGGCTTTGCTTCGTGCTGTTATTCGCAGGGCTACTGCGAGTGGGGAGGGCCAGGCATCGTGATGCTTGCTTCCCCCCCCCCCCCCCCCCCCCCCCCAATCCGAATGATCTCGAAATTTTAGAGGATTTGCTCCCTCTTGTGCTAACGAACGAAACTCTACGACGTCCTTGACTGGAGAGATGACACCATACCATATTTATTCCTCATGTTATTACAGCTATCAACAGTCCAGCTATCAACAGATTCCCCCTCTCCTTCGATAAATCCACCAGTCCCCGCAACAAGCATTATATTTGCTGTTCATCCTTCGAGAGCAAAATCCCAAAGAATCAGCCATGTCGTGTGCATATTAACGCAAGGGTCGTCAGTCATAATCTACGTTTATCGAGATTTCTCGCATATAGTCGGGTCGCCTTCTTTTCTTTCATACGGCTCTTGAAAAGGAACCAAAACGGTTGGCAGTGGCAGGGCCAGTGTGCTCAGCCTAGGCATCCAATATCCCATCCTCTGACTCCGCAAGTCTGAGCGCTTCGTCCACCCGCGAAACGAAATGAGTCATTCCGCCGCATCGGTCCACGATCCCGCTTCTCTCGAACATGCGGAAGACGTCGCGGTTGGGCAGTCGGCAAAAGAAGACCCTCGCGCCCTGCTCGGCATACCCATCGACGATTTCGAACAGGACCTGCGTCCCGGAGCCGTCGATACTCGTGACGCCGTGCACGTCGAAAATGAAATTCTTGTTGTGCTCCGCGGGTCGCATCCGGGGCAGGGAGGGATGCGCGCGGTTCGTACCGTACAGCTCCAGCCGACGCAGACGGTTCTTGAGATCTCCCGTGTTGGCGAAGGTGAGCGGTTCGGGGATCTTGACGATCAGGGCGCTCTCGACCAGTTCCACTTTCTCTGGGTGCAGTTCGGCGTTCTCGAACCTGTCGGACGTGCCGGCTACCTTTCCGAGAATTTGGATTCGAGGTTGTGTGGAGTGTCGGATGAGGATGAGGATGGAGAGACCGATTCCGAGGGCGATTCCCAATTCCAGAGAATAGAAAATAGTAGAGACGAAAATGAGGATCATCAGTGTTAATTCTGTCCATCCACGCAGACGTATGAAGAAGGCGAGGTCATGCGGACACTCTTCGATAAGACTGAAGGCGACAACGGAGATCATAGCGGACAGAACAGCTTTCTAGGACGATATTAGCAAATCACCGTGCCCACACGAGAGAGGTGGTTCATACCGGGAGATAATATAAATAAGGCAGAAGCACCATGATCGAGATGAACGTGATGATGCTCAGCAGGATACTGCTCATGGGCGACCGGGCCCCAGTAGACGCATTGACCTTGCTTCGGCCGTAGCCTCCAAAAGCCGGCAGCGCCATGAAGCACCCGCCGACGACGTTCGCGACGCCCAGGGCCACCATCTCTCGGTTCGCGCTGACGGCCATGCCCTTGACACCGGCCTGTCGAGCATTGCCGAGTCCCTTGGCGGCCACGGAGGACTCGAAGAAGCCGAGTAGCGCAATGATGAACGACGTGCTCAGTGCGGTCCGGACGTGTTTCATGTGACTGAATTGAAACGGCCATTTGAAGGCGAAGACGCCGTTAGCGTTGTTCTTGGTCGGGCCGAGGATCTCCAGACCCTGCTTATCCCAGCCAAGGTGCCATGTTAGGATGGCTGAAATGATGACCACCAGGATACGGTCCGGGAAGTAGACAACGAGCGGGTATCGTGGCTGGAGCAGCTTCTTGAGGGTTCTAGGAAATGAAATTAGCTGGAAAGTTGTAGGTGGAACGCGGTGCGGGAACATACCGGAACACCATAATGATGCTGAAGCTGCCGAAAGACACTGCGGCCGTAAGGCCATGGCATTTGCTTATATTCCTGACAAAGAAGACCAGCTTCTCAACCGTGGTCCCATGGCTCACGGTAGCATCTTTCGCCAGCTCGGTGAGTCCAACCTCGGGGATGAGCTGGTCCACGAAGATAACAAAGCCAATGGCAGTAATGAACCCTCTCAAGAAAGGCCGACTCAGCACATTGTCCAGAAATCCTAGCCGAGTAAGACCGGCAATCAAGATCATGGCGCCTGCCATGGCCGTGGCTATTCCGACGATCAAGGCACTTGCGGCTTCGTCTTCTTCTTTCGAGAGGCCCTGGCTCACGCTTGCTTTGACAATCGTGCCGGTTAAAAGAGAGCCGGCCGCCTCGGGGCCAACGACGAGCAGAGGGCTGCTTCCCAGAATCGCGTAAATAAATGGGTTGAACACGAAAGAGTAGAGGCCATTTATGGGAGGAGCATGCGCTAGGTTGGATGACAAGGAGAGCGCCATTGGGATGTAAATCGATGCGATGGTCATTGCCGAAATCAAGTCCCCTCGAAGGAAGGACAGACGATATTGAGAGATCCAGTTAAAAAACGGAATGTAGTATGATATATACCTGAATTGGCGATTAGCGATGGATCTCGCGAAGAGGGTCGCAAGAACACCCGGGGACATTGAACATACAAAGTTTTGCGATTCTTCATGGTAAATGCCGAAACAGAGGAGTCCATTGACGGTATGTTCTCCGGCCCTTGAAGGGAATCGCTGTCGCCAGAATCCCGACCAGGGGCCCCCCCAGCCGTGATACCATTACCGACATCGTTCAAGGATGCTGCACCCCAGGTTTGATTTTCCTCGCGTTCCAGCCTGGGGGAGAAAGTACCGTGATCGCAAGAGCCTCTCAGCCCGCAAGCGGGTTCATGGTGGTCATATGACGCCAATAGGCGTGACGTCTCTCCCGGTGCGTAGGGCGATGCAGAATCTCCGTCAGTTTTGTCGGGTCCTGAGGTTTGACCGGGAACGCTGGTCGCGGAAGTGGTACGAAAGATGTTGAAGATCCGCTCGTGCAATGAGCGGCTCTGCTCTTGAGATAAGTCGGGCTCCGACATGTTGATTCACAGATCCAAGTCTAATCAAGTAAATATCAATTCGAGGCACGGTGCAACACGCGCCATAAATGCAGCTTTAAAAGCCAGAAGAGAAATCGCCGAGTTGAAATTAAATAAATAAAACAGAGGGATTCTCTGACTAAAAAGATAGGCGAGTCAAGGTCGCGCAACAGGCGGTATGGCTAGTAACTATTTGCTAATTAGCGCTAATATGATGGAGATAGCGCAGGGAGCAACGAATATATCATGGCCACATGGACGATCAGTGCCACCTCATCCCTGACAGTGCCAGGCCCAAAACCCAGAGAGGAAGCTGATGAGGACGCAAAAGACACCCGACCAGCCTCCGCCTGTGAAATTCCGGGGGATCCAAGGTGAGGTCGAGAGGGAAAAGCCGGCTTGGGGCCAGCGATAACGCCCGCCGCCTTTATCGGGTTCTGCCGGGCGGTGTGGACAGTGCACGTGATGAGTCACGCTGCAAAGCCCAAAGTGGGTTTTGAGCCGCCACAAAGCGATTTGAATTGTGCTTCGATCTCATCTCCGCCGACCCCGTTTCGCTTGCCCCTCGACCTTCTCTGCTCCTCTCGGTTTCTTTCCCGGAGGTTCGCTATTCGAGATAGTTCTGTCTCGGATTCTGTCTGCCCTTGAAAAACTCTTTTCGCCGATTCGAAACTCTGCCTGGCACACGCCGCAACCCCGCCGAAAATGTCGTTAACAAACTGCCGTTTCTACGAGGAGAAGTACCCGGAGGTCGACAGCTATGTCATGGTCAATGTCAAGCAGGTGGGTGTATCCCGTATTGGTTCTTTCCTTCTTTGTTGTCGCGAACCTTTTCTAATCGCCGCATCTTTCTCTCATGCAGATCGCCGAGATGGGCGCGTACGTGAAGCTTCTCGAATACGACAACATCGACGGCATGATTCTGCTCTCCGAATTGTCGCGAAGACGTATTCGTAGTATCCAGAAGCTGATCCGCATTGGACGTAATGAGGTGGTCATCGTTCTCCGTGTCGACAAGGAGAAGGGTAAGGACATCATAACACAGAGGATGACGACGTCAAGAGTGCTGACCGGTTGTGTCTCCAACATGCAGGTTATATCGATCTTTCCAAGCGCCGGGTCTCCCCCGAAGATGTCATCAAGTGTGAAGAGCGCTACAACAAGAGCAAGGCGGTCAACTCCATCATGCGACATGTGGCCGAGGCTACCCAGACTCCCCTGGAGACGCTATATCAGACCATCGGATGGCCCTTGAACCGCAAATACGGCCACTCGCACGACGCTTTCAAGATCTCCATCACGTAAGATGCATGCGGCAGTCCGGTTTGAAATACATGCGGCTAACATCCTCGGCTCTCTAGGAACCCCGACGTGTGGAACGAGGTCGAATTCCCCAACGAGAACGTGAAGAAGGAATTGACGCACTACATCAGCAAGCGACTTACTCCTCACCCCACCAAGGTCCGTGCCGATATCGAGGTTACCTGCTTCGGCTACGACGGAATCGACGCCGTCAAGACCGCTCTGCGCACCGCCGAGGAGAGCAACACCCCCGAGACCCAGATCAAGGTTAAGCTGGTTGCTCCTCCGCTGTACGTCCTGACCAGCCAGTGCCTGGACAAGACCATCGGTATCCAGATGCTTGAGGAGGCCATCCAACGGATCGAGGCCAAGATCAAGGAAGCCGGCGGTGGCTGCATCATCAAGATGGCTCCTAAGGCCGTTACCGAGCACGATGACGCCGCTCTCCAGGAACTCATGGAGAAGCGTGAGCGTGAGAACCAGGAGGTTAGCGGTGACGAGAGCATGTCCGAGAGCGACGACGGTGTTCCTGAGTAAACTTGCCTGGATGATACCTCTGGCGATGTAATGGGATGAACCAGTCAGACCATGTCGGCTGGTTTTGAGCAAGACTGCGGTTGAAAAAAGGAGATACCGGGCTTTGAGGAGACTTGGCGGAGCTTGAGCAGATGCGGTTAAAAAAAAGTTGCATAGAAGAGTTTCGAATGTGACATGATTTATGAGTCGGGAGAACGGTTTAATGTGCACACGGCCGACGTCGTGATCAAACAGCAATGTCGACGACATGGAGGCAAGTCCTCTGTTCGATGGGAATGGTGTAACCCAGATTACAGTGCCACAATGCATCACAGTCTGGCGGTTTGGCCTCGTGTTTGGATCTCTGTTCATGAGCGTCTGGATGAAGATGTTCGTTCTATCCACCTTCTCATGTACATAAGCTTCACTGATCTACGGGTCGATGCCTGTGGTTCCTGTTTAGACTACTACTATCCACATATCTTCTTTTTTTTTTTTTTTCTTTCTTTTTTTCTCTTTCAATTTGTGTCTCCGTTATCTAGATATTTGGCAGGAGATCGCCGTTTCTTTGTCGACTGGAACGGAAGTGGGGCAAGGCCGGGGTACTTCTTGGCTGACTCGTCCTTATTCCTCGTACATGCATGTTCCCATCTGCCAGTCTCTTTCTCTCTACTCCGTGTCGCCGATTAATTCGCCCTTAAACCCTCTTCGCTTTTCTGGTAATCAGGAAAGCCTTCAAGATGGGTCATTGGAGGGGCCTTTTCCAGTCAGAAGGGGGCCACACCCATAATCGTCTCCCTACGGAGCGACGCCGACGTAAGTCATTTTCAATGGATGCGACCATGCAAGCTGACCCCGGCTACAGTGCTGTCTGCATATGCTCCGGACCAGCTTCCGTCTACCCATCATGCCAAAGAAGTGACCAAGGTTGCCCTGCGACTAAAATATCAAATCGAACAGGTCATCCCCTGTGAACTGGAAGAGAGTGTCATCATCGACCCCAACAGTCGCATCATCACCGCCGATGTAGTCCAAACCGCAAGACAGGCAGGAGGCGAGGAGCTTCAGGCTTGCGTTCTGTTCTGTTTGCTTGTATGTTTACGGTGGTTCAAGATCGAAGCTACCAAGGAACTCTGGGACTCGGATCTCCATGAACGGCGGGCTCTGGCGTGTGAGGTCATCGCGAAGCGCATGTAATGTTGTTGATTCTCCTCGGCGTTCCTGCAGTCAACTAATCGGGGATTCTAGCATTGAAACCGAAGCTAACCAGGATATACAACTCATGGATACCTTGCTGAAGCGATACTCTATCTTTATCGATGGCGAGGAGACCATGCCGGCTAATGTTATTGAGCGCGCGGTCGACCTTCATGCACTACGAGTCATCGGCTCCTCCGGGTACCAGAAATGCATTCGGTATCTGTGGAATGGTTGGTTCTGTCAACAGGAGGGAAATCCGACCAACTTTGTGCCTTATCATGAGCGAGATAATATCAATTTCTCGGTCCACTTCCATCCCGACCGGATGCGGACTCCGCAGTACCAGAATGTCTGCCAGATCCTCTTCTCCGCAGTATACCTCATTCTGTATACCCAGGTGATCAACACGGTCAATCCCAGTGGGGATCTCGATGTTGTCGAGGGCATTCTCTATGTCATGAGTCTTGCTTTTATCTGTGACGAGCTGACCAAACTATACAAGATTGGCTGGCTCTACTTTGATTTTTGGAACGCGTTCAATTCGACCCTATACAGCATTCTCGCAGTCTCGTTCTTCCTGCGTGTCGCAGCCTTTTCACACTCGTCCTCGGCCGATGACGAACAGCGACAACAGCTCAACGAGCTGAGCTATAATTTCCTAGCTCTCGCGGGGCCGATGTTCTGGATGCGCATGATCCTTTACCTGGACTCCTTCAAATTCTTCGGCGCCATGTTCGTGGTGCTCAGAGTCATGATGAAGGAGAGTCTGATCTTCTTCGCTCTTCTGTTTGTTGTTCTGGTGGGATTCTTTCAGGCCTTCATGGGGATGGCCCAGGTCGACAACGACCTACCGGTCACTAGAGCCATTATCCAGGGCATGGCGAATAGCGTAATGCAGAGCCCGGAATTTGGCATCTTCGAAGACTTTGCTTTCCCGTTTGGTATCATCCTTTACTATCTGTTCAACTTCATCGTTATGACTGGTACTGATCCATCTTCTATCGTCTTGTTGTTTGACTGAAACGCATTATTAACGCCGCCCAGTTCTGCTGAACATCCTGATCGCCCTATACAACAGCGCATACGAAGATATTTCCGGGAACGCAATCGACGAATACATGGCCATCTTTGCACAGAAGACAATGCAATACGTCCGCGCCCCAGACGAGAATGTCTTCATACCGCGTACATAACCCCCCCTCCTCTGGCTCCTATACTCACCCAACTTCCTAAACAAACCATGCTAATTATACGTTTTATCTAGCCTTTAACCTCCTCGAAATCATCTTCCTCGTCCTCCCCTTCGAATGGTGGCTTCCGCGCCACCGCTACGCCAAACTCAACGACATCGTCATGGGGGTTCTCTACTCGCCTCTGCTCGTGGTAACTGCCTTCCTGGAAGTCCGCGAGGCGCGCCGCATCCGCTGGAATCGACGACGCGGGGAAGACGACGACGACGATGTCCAGGAGTGGGAACATGCAGCTGAACAGGTGGATTTCGAACTCGACGAGGACTGGCGGCAGGTCGTGCAGGATACAGCGCCGGTGGTGCATATGGATCCGTGTAGTTTGGAGATCGTGCATTTGAGGGAGCAGGTTAGGGAATTGGCAGAGTTGGTGAGGGGGTTGACGGAGGAGAAACAGGGGAGGGGAGGATTGGGGATGTTGAATGGGGAATCTTGTTCGACGATTGCGGAGAGGGAGGAGGGAGGAGGTAGATAGGAAGGAAGGAAGCAAGCTTTTGCTTTGTTTGGCTCTGCTCTGCGCTGATCATGTTCCTCTCTCCGTTGGTGCGGCTATCTCGATATGTGATTCCTATTACCCGCGGATATGTACTTGGCTGTTGTCTGTCCTGTCTGTGTCTCATTTAATTTTGTGCATATTCGCTTGCATTTTGTCTTATCTTCTCTTGTCCTGTCTTGTATATCTGTTGCACAATCACTTGATCCAGTTGGGAGCGAAGGATCATCTTCTGTTGTTGCTGTGTTTGTTTCTAGGTATAAATGCCAACAGCCCATTTAACCAAGAAAGCAATGCAAAAGGGCAAAAGGAAATGAGCTGCTCCTTTTTGTCCGCAACGGCGCAAAGGCAACGCAGACTAGACTAGACTACCCACACAGACGGAAAGAAGGGACAAAAGAAAACAAAAAAGTAACAGCCCAACGCGGGGCTCGAACCCGCAGCCTTGTGATTAAGAGTCACACGCTCTACCGATTGAGCTAGCCAGGCGCTGTTATTGAAAGGCGCTGCAAATATTGGCACCATATTCCTAGGCAATTTCCTGGGAATCTCCGATGCGATAAATAGAGATGGTTAAAGGTAATGATCTTTAAGAAAGTTGAGTACTAGCGAGAGTTTTATTTCTCTTTTGAAGAATATCTCCGCATAGGTGCAGTACACCACTTCCTTCTGTAATTTAGGTTGATTACTCATGGCTACCTAATCGCTATCGCTTATGAGACTAATCGAACGGTTCTTTCCAGATATATATCTGTTTGCCTTAGTTCATATAGTACAGATGTCAGCGGTACATGGCTTTATATAGCCAATGATTGATCCATCTACTCGCGATATATACGTAAAATTGAATTAATGTGAAATACCTTATTCAATTTTTATCTAGTTAACAAAAAAAGATATTCCCTTTTATATCAGCTCCCTGGTCCGAGGTCTGTTACACTGATAACAGTTAGTCTGATGTAGGAAAGCACCGAGGGAAATGGGAAAAGGCAAAGGTAGGGTAAAAGAATACATGCAGAGATAGAAGGACTATAATTCAAGTTTGGTGCGGTTTCCCCTACGAACGAAGTGTGTTTACTAGTCTTTAGATCTAACTTTATAAACCCTTGACTACTTTTGGCTACCACGTACTATGGAGATTAGTACCCTAGATAGAAAACCTACGTACAACTAAATGCAAAAACGTAAAAGTAGAAGGATTAGTTACTGTGGACATATCATGCTGCAAAGACTAGCCACCGCCCGCTGGGTCTTTTGGTCTAGTCTTGGAAAGCGAAAAGCTCATGATTATCAATGGTAAAGAAATCGACGAAGTCGTTCAGAATTCATCATCATCAGATTCTTCCAGCGGTTCGGCCAACTGTTCAGCTGACAAGCCATCAGGACTGAACCCGGAAAACAGTACCTGCCCGCTAGCAGATCCAATTGCAAGTGTATCGCCGAAAATGCCACGGGTTGAGTTCTTGTGAGGTTTGTAAACACCTTGAGCAGGTCGATATTCTAGTGGTAGCCATATGCTCTTCTGTTCCCCAAGGATGATCCAGTCTTCATCGAGTTGAATACAGTGTTTCTGCGAAGGCCGGGCATGTTTTGTAGAAGTCTTATTCTCAAGACGCTCTTCCCTCCTGCTGTGACACAGTTCTCTTTCAAGTAAGTTGAGATTGTCTTGGAGACGTGTGTCTTGAAACACGACACTATGTGGCATCTTCACAAGGTGCCCTGTTTGCATATTCCACACCTCGATGTCCGTTCGTTTATCGACAGATTTGCTCACTGTCACAGCGCCCATGAGCTGGCTGGAGGAAGAGAATTGAATATCCTCGATCTCAAGGATCTTGGTGTAGTCGTATCCTTTGTCGCTGTCGATCATTCTTTCCCCTGTCTCCACATTCCACGCGATAATAGTACCCCTCCAGGTACCCATGACCAAAATTTTGTTGTTTGGAGAAAATTTGGCTATCACTGCAGGTCTAATTTCTTCAGGAATGGTTCTTACCAGGCGGCCTGTAGCTGCATTCTAAATTTTAATTTCCTTCCATCCGGCTGTGACTACCAGAGAGCCATCTGAGGAAAAGTTCACGCTGTATATTAGAGGTGTATGATGTGGCGGAGTGAACAACCCTTTGTCAGGCATGACAGTCCACAGCTTGATAATATGCCCATCGCAGGATGCTATGGTCAGCCCATCTGAGGAGAAAGCCACCCCATTTAGTAAATGTGTGAAAGGAGCGTCCAAAATGATTCTTCCTGTATGTTTCCCCAAGACAAGGAGCGACATCCCGTGACCTGTTGCGATAAATTTATTGTCTCGAGAAAAGGACACACCCTGGTATTCGGAGCCTGATGGTGTTCGCAGGTAATATTCGCTTGGAAGGTCAGACAGCTCTATGATATCTTTTGCTGTCCAGCTGTCCACTTCCCAGATATGGCTTTTTTTGTCCCCAGTAAAAGTGAACAGAAGCGGAAGGTCTTCAGAGAATGCCACACTTGAAACATTGTTTGCATGAAAAATTTCGCGATATATTTCTCCAATTCTCATGTCCCAAATCAGTGTTGTTGGGGATGAATAGCATGCCGATGCGAGAAGCAAGTTATCGCGCGAGAACGAGAGGCTCAATATTCCAGGACGGTCATGCATGTCACGAGTAAAATCGGGCACTTCGCATTTAAAGCTCCATTGAAGTTTCCATTCTGTCGAAACTTGTTGCCAAACTTTAATTATACCATATCTCGAGCCGCAGGCGAGCATTTGGCTATTCCGGGAAAATACAATCACATCGATACACTCATCCTCCTTCTTATCTTGCCAGTCGTGAGCTTCTAATTCGTGGGCGAGTTCCCATGTCGACGTATTCCATATATAGACAGAGCCCCACGAAGACACCGAAGCAAGGAATTGACCACTAGGAGAAAATAGAACATGCGCGTGGTAATTTCATGCTCGCACATCATGTTGCTTCAGGCATCCGAACGCCAACACAATCTAAAATCTAAATCGATGTATAAAGAGTTTTGACGGAGAACTCTTTTGCCATGATCAAGCGACAGCACATTTGCTTACTTTCTTTAGGTTATCATCCATGAGATATCACTTGAATCAGAGGATTATTGAAGTAAGCCGGTTTGCATTAAGAAATAAGGATATCAACTATGCAAGATAAATAAACAATAGCCAAACAAACAGAAAGAAAACCCAAAAGTCACGGAAGAGGGAGTATCACGAAAGTTTAAGAAGGCAAAATCAAATCAAGGAAAGTCGCCATATAGGCCCCAAAGTAAATGAAAGTGAAAATGAGTTATATCAAAAGAAGGAAGAAAGAAGGGGTGACGAGGCAAAGATCTACAGCTCCTCCTCAACCTCCTGAGTAGTATCCACCAGCTCCCAAGTCTTGAAATCCAGATCTAACAGATCATCCTTGGCCTCGGCCTTACCGGAACCAAAGTTCTTCAGGTTCCACTTCTCAACGCCCTCGATGCCCTTCATCTCCTCGGGGAACTCACGGTACACGTCCGCGTTCAGACGCTCGTACTCGCTGTAGTCCTTGGGCCAGTCACCCAGACGCTCGAGAGAGAGCTTGAGCAGGTGCAGGTGCTGACGGACGTGTTCGCCCTCGGGGATGGTGCTGGTAGCCGCGTCGTGAATGTCTAGCTCGTAGGCGGAGCCGTCGAGGCTCATGCTGCCGTCTAGACCTTCCAACTCGGCGTAGGCGGGGTCGCTGAAGGCGCGGAGGATGTTCTCGTGCACCGCCGCGGACTTCTTGTAGTACCGGTTGGCCATCTCTTGGCCATTCTTGAGGGACTGGTAGCGCTGTGCGATACCGGTGTACAGCTGGGAGAGCAAAGTGGACATCTCGAGCGTGCTAGGGTGGCGGGCGCCGTGGACGCGACGCGTGTTGTAGACGATGTCTTCGGCCAGACGGAGCGCGGCAAGAGAGTCGCCGACGAGGTAGCGAGCCATGATGTAGCGTCGGCCCAGGGCGAGAGTGACGGATGGCTGCCAGTGGCGCTGGGCTTCACGGCTGTTCCAGAGGATGGTGAGCAGCCAGGCAAGGGTCTGGTAGTCTTGCTGATCGCCGAGCAGGCCGATCAGGTTGTTCAGGTGCACGAGGTCGACCTGGGCCAGGTTAATTCTGAGGGCGTTGATGACCCGCAGGGAGTCCTGGACGATCACGGCGGACACGCCCAGGAGCTTCTTGCGGTTGGCATCGTCGGGTCGGGCGATGATGCCACGGCCTGAGATGTTCATACCCAGGGTGAAGATGAACTTGACGATGGCAGGAGACTGGTAAACCTCGTGAGCGGAGATGTATTTGAAGGCGGCCAAGGCCAGGTCGCTGGCCTCGGTGTACTTCTGGGACTTGAGCAGCTCAATGACACCGCTGTTACTGGCGATACCGATGGAGCGGACAAAGTCCTGGGACTGGTGGATGCCGAAGTAGCTCAGGATAGTGTGAACCAGAACCCGGACCTGTGAGGTCTCGGTCAGCTTGACGCGCTTGGCTTCGGTGTTCTGGAAGTATTCCAGAGTGATGTCGAAGACGCGGCTGGCGGCGGTGTGGCGGTCGTGGGAGACCAGGAAGCGGTAGAGACGGGCAGCGGACACCGACACGGAGTGAATGCTGGTGCTCTTCGCGGTCACCTGGCTTCGCAGCTCCTCAAAGTAGACGTACTCCGTGGTCAAAGCGGCGAGGATCTCAGTGATCGTGACGGAGGTGTTGCGACGAAGGCTGTACTCCAGCTGGGCCAGGAAGACGAGGCTCTGGCGCTCCTTGGAGGAGAGATCGAACTTCACCGACTTGGCGTTGGTAGTGTCCTTCATGACAATCTGGCGGTAGATCTCCTGGGTCAACTCGGTGGCCTTCTGGATCTGGTTTGTCTCGATGTAGCTGGAAGCAATGGTGCTAGCAGCGGCGATCAGACGGGTGGAGGAAGTCTCCGACGAAAGAATCTGAACGGTGGCCTGCTTCAGCTCTTGAGTCACGGTCTCGGTCTCGTTGTGACGAGAGTGGAAGGTGACCATCTCCTTCATCTTGGAGAGAGACTCTTCGTGAGCCCAGCCGTAAGTCTCACGGACCGTCGTGATGCGCTTGCGCAAGACCTTGACGGCACGCTCGACCTGGGCGGTAGAGACGGACTCGGAACTGGTCGATGTCACGACAGCAGCCTGCTCCTCGTAGATCGCTTCCAGGGTGGCAGAGATCTCCTGGTAGTCGAGCTCCTCAGACTTGACCTTGAGCAACTCCTCGTACAGAGTGATTGCCTCGATCTCATAGCGCTTGGATTCCTGGCAAAGCTTCGCAAGGGTCAAGGTAGCTTGGACAGAGATAGTGGCAGTTGCGGTGAAGACAGCCTTGACCTTGGTCTGGTATTCAGTGGTGATCTTGTGAAGGACGCTGAACTCAGTACGGACACTGCGCAGGCAATGAGTGTACCGGGTGAAGAATTCCTGCACGAAGGTCTGATCCTGCAACTTGGGAAGCTGCTTGGGCTGGTTCAGGAAGGTCGTGAAGATGACCTTGTAGTAGTGCAGAGCATCCGAGTAGCGGCCTTGGTTCCAGAGCTCACCCGCGACGATGACGAGAGGCTCGAAGGCATCCGGGTGGCAGACCGGAGAGGCCTTGTTCAAGGCGCGGATGATCTGCTGGTAGTAGTCAATGAAGATGGGGCGAGGACGAGTAAGCTTGGCCAGAATCCAAAGGTTATCAATGACAATCGGGTGCTCGGGACCGTAGTGCTGGATGTAGTCGGTCAACAACTCCTGGCGAAGGTTGATAGTGTTGTCCGTACGCGAGTTACGCTCGAACAAGCGGAGAAGCTCCGTGGTGGCACGTTCCCTGAGCTTGTCCTCGACCTTCCGACCAGAACGGACGGCACGGTAGATTCGGACACGGATGTCTTCCTCCTTGGTCAGGCGACGGCGGGAGTGGTAGCAACGGCTGAGACGCTCGGCAAGCTCAACACATCGTTCAACGTGCTGAGCAGGAAGGGTGACGTCCTGGAGCGAGGGAGCAAACAGCGAAGGCCAGACACCGTGGAGGACCTTCTTAATGACACGGGTGGCGTCCTGCCAGCGGTGCTGCGAGACATAGAGTTCAACCAGGCTGTGGGTCGCGCTGAAGGAAGTTTGTTCAACGGTGGTGGTTGAAGTGGTGGCCTCAAAGATCATCTCCTCCAGAGTGGTCTCCGAAGTCACGGTGGTGGACGAGCTGACCGACTGCATCACTTCCCTTGAGGTGCTTTGGATGCTCTGCTGCACCTCCTTGTAGCTGGAGGACTGGGTGCGGTTGGTGCTCTGGTAGAAGTGCGAGCAGTGCTTGAACACGGTCAAGGCCAAAGTAGACAAGCCAACGGTCTTCATCACCTTGGCGACCTCCTGGAAGTGCGAGACCGAGCTTTCGGAAATGGCCATGCTGGTCTGCTCATACTCCTGCCAAAGGCTGGAGATGACAGAAGAGGCCTCAAATTCCCGCTTCTGCGAGTGCAGGAACTTGGTGTAGGCAAGGGCGACTTCCATCTTGCGCTCTTCCCAGAGGGAGGAGTAGTTGGCGCGGTACTCCTTGCTCACATGCTGCCAGATCTCAACGTAGGTGAGCTCGGCGAGTTCATGCTTGCCCTCGGCAACGTACTTCTCGGCGCGCTTGATCAAACCCTCGAACTCGTAAGAGCCAGACTGTTCGATCAGCTCGTCATGTTCCTCAACGTCCAGAGCAAGGCCCACGTTGGTTTCCGTTTCGATCTGACCACGGCCTCGGAGATGCACGTGAAGGTTTCCACGGCTGTCATGGGACTCGGAACCATACTCGGAGGTGGTGATGGAGCGAACAATCTTGATGATCTCCTGAGCCTTGGTCTCTTCCTTGATCAGGCGGTAGTGCTCAACCAGCTGCTTGTAGGTGGACACCACATTCTCGCTAGTGCTTCCATATTGAACCTTGTAGCATTCAATCAGCAGAGTCAGGATCTCCTCGCGCTTGGTCATGATATCGGTCTTGGTGTTGGTAACCTTCTCCGTGGTCAACTCAATGAAAGTAGTGGCCATTTGCACCGTCACAATGTGACGAGTGGTGAGCAAAGCGCGACTGAGCGTGGTAGCCTCGTGGAACAAGGGGATGGCCTCAGGATAGTACTCAAGACGACGGTACAGCTGAGCCAGAGATATGATGGACTGGAGGGTGACCACATGGTTCGTTGTCAGGACCTGGCGATAGACATTGGTAATAGTAGTCTGGTACGATAGCAGCTGGGGAGTTGGCTGATTCTCCCACAGGGTGCTTGAAAGAAGGTAAACCGTGGTCAAGGTTGGGAACACCTTCGAGAACGACTTCGCCGCAGGGACCTCGCCCTCGCTGGCATACACAGAGGTCTGCTTGAAGTGCACGGGCCAGTAGCGAATGGCAAAGTCCAGCAGAGGGTGCTTGTTCACGAGAATGTTGGTGTCGTGCCAGTCGAGAGGAGTCAGGGAAGGCTCGCTAGGCTGGATCACAGTGCTCTTGATATAGACTAACAGTCTAGTAGCAAGATCGGCGTGGCGGTCTTTGAGGTTTGGAATCAGTTTACCCTGGGAGAACACATCCAAGACCGCAGTCCGAACGAGAGCATGGCGGAGATACACCTGACTCTCCTGCAGGAAGACGAGAGATGTCAACGGCTTCAGGAATTGCAGCGTGTCGATATGACGGTCAACGACGGCGTTCTTGTCATTTTGGACCGAAGCCAAGATGGCAAGCTCCCTCAGACCAAGAGGGCGGTCTGCCGTTGCGAGCCAAAGGAGCATAAACTTAGCCTCTTCTTTGACCTCGGGATTCTGGAGAACATGGAGAGCAAAGTCCGTGATGGTCAGTTTCTGGCTCACCACGGCGTCAACGGCCTTGTTGAGGTTGTCAACACTGTCTTCGTGGCGAACACGCTTGGATGCGAGCTTGGCCCAGAGGAACGAGCCGTTGGATGCCGAAGTAATACGGTCGACGACAGTCTCACGGTCCAGCTCGTCCATCTTCGGGAACACGGAGGTTTTCTCCAAGTTGCCTCGCACCACCGAAGCAATGTCATCGAAGATCAAATCATTGGTAATCTGGACGTGGACCTGGCCCTCTGCACTCGGGGGCTTCGATCCGCCGAGGGCAATCAGCTTCACGTTGGTACCCTTGGTAGTCGCTCCAGTGAGTCTCTGGAGGAGCACCGATTCGCCGCAAGTGGACTCATCGACGCCATCAACGACGATGACCAACTCCTTGGCGCCCTTGAGAGCGGCGGCCAGCGCACGCTCGAGGGCATTCCAAAGAATGTTGTCGTAGTCGTTGTCGTTGGTGGCCTTCTTGCTGCGCTCAAAGGCATCGGTCAGGATCTGGAGCAGACCGATGTTGCCAATGCGCTTCTCAAAGAGCTGGTACAGGATGGCCTTGGCAATGGCCCGAGGGGTGGTCTCCGCAGGGATTCTGCCATCTATTTCATTACGGGTCAGCAAACGCTCGAACAGTGCTCGACAGTGTTCTGATAGTGTTACTTACTGACGGGGATAAACAGTGTCTTGTAAGTGACACCGCCTATGGGGTGCTGCAAGTGGTCCACGATGACCGAGGCCAAGACGGTCTTTCCAGAGCCCGGCTTGCCACCAATGGTCAGAGTCCGGTTCTGACTCTTCAGGAAACGAGTCAGGTAGGGCGCCATCCAGAGACACGTCAGTTCAGCCCGCTCGTGGGCGAGGTGGGAGGTCGTCTCGGCGACGTTAGTGAGCACGGGATCCTCGGGAGCAAGCCACGATTTGATCGCCTTGACCTCGAACACTGCAAATTATTAGCAATTCCCAATGCACAAGAATGGGGATAGACTACCTACCTCGGTCGCCATCAAGGTTCTCTTTCATAAGCTTGTGTCGCCACATCGACTCGGCGATCTTGACACACCGCTCACGGAAGGTCTGGATCTGACCAGGGAAGGTGTTGTGAATGTCAATGGAGACGGAAGAGGCAGTCATTCCCCGGATGGCCCGGTGGAAGTGCGTCGACACGCTGGCAACCAGGGTCACCAGGTCAGCCAGAGCCAGAACCAGCTGCTCGCGGATCTCCTGGGAGACACTGAAGAGCTCAGTGCGCTCCAGCAGGTTCACCAGCGACATGGAGGTGCTGTAAAAGAAGCCAAAGGAGGTGGTCAGCGCGGGGGCATTCTCCTTGCCCAGCTCCAGTAGGATGGCACAGTAGCCATAGGCCAACTGAGCAGCAAGGTAGCTGTCACCAGCGAATTCTTCAATCGCGAGGTCAAAGGAATGCAGTCTTTCGACGAAAAGCTGAGCCCAGGCAAGCACCTTGTCATAGCTGCTTCCCTCAGGGGGCAGGTTGCTCATGCGCTGAGCACGGATCCAATCTAGCAGAGAGGCATGCGTAGCGTTGAGAAGCTTGGACGAAGCAGACGTGCCGAGTTCATCACCACTACGACGCTTGAGAGAGTAGACCACGTTGGAGATGTTGGAAGTCTCGTTGTTGAACTTCCGGGAGGAGACCCTCCGGGAAGTGAACGAGCGAGACAATCCATTGTTCGAGATGCTGTCGCTGTCCAGGAAGCCCGAGACTCGACGGGAGGGGGAGAGTATAGTCGGAGAAAGGGGAGTGGGCGCGTGGGCCGTGATGGGAGACATGAGAGACGGAGCCATTGTGGATTTGAGAGACTCGGAAGATTCAGAGGGAATTCTTGGAGGTTTCTTGGAAGTAGTCTTGGGTATAGACGGAGGGGCGCTCGTGAGTTGAAGCGACTGCTGGGGATATCTGACGGGGGAAACTGTTGGCCGCGGCGGGAGGTCAGGCTCAGCTTTGGTTTCTCCTGAAGAGCAGTGGCAACAACTCACAATGCAACGAAGAAAACGACGCAAACCGGCAACGGAATTAATACATAAAAGAAAAGTCCAGAGATAAAAGGAGAGAGTTTGTCAGATAGGACAATTGAGAGAGATTCTTGTAGGATAGTCGAACGAAAGAACCCATGCTACCGGGGCATGCAGCTCTCTATATACCACACGGCGGAGAAGGAACTGACGCCATGGCTCCAGTCCAGCAGCTGCACGGCACAGAATTCAAACGGACAAAAAAAGAAATGAGAGAGGAAGAAGAAAAAAAGAAAAAAAAGAAAAAAGAATACAGACGGTATCAATGGCGTCGATACCGAGACCATTTTCCGGCGAGTCGCATTACCGATGGAGCTGGAGTAGGATTTGCGAAGGACCACCCGGCCGACGAGTATCTGACCTCTCAGCAGCGCCCAGATCGGCTGAAAATTCCAAATCCAAAACCCAGTAGGGAGGAAAACGGTGCCGGCTTACTGGGAAGATAGGTACTAAACCGGATACCCCATCCATCCTCGCATCCAACCCCTCCTGCAGATCCAAAAAGTTTGATCTCGCTTTGACGGTGGGTAACTACATGGGCATTGACCGCGCCGATACGGTGAGAACTGGGAATAGGGTTAGCACGACAAGCACGTACGCAGTACCGCGAGTACATACTACATACATACATCCGGACTAAGGATGTAGGTCAGGTCGAGGCATGGCACGAGCATGAGTGGAGGCAAGTCCACAATGTCAGAGCGCGACGGGCGGACAATTTTCGCAACCTTCCATGTGCTCAGGACTTCCGGTCCGCCCAGAACGACTGACAGTGAAACCATTGGTGTATCGTACACAGTACAGCAACTGCGTACGAACCTCTGGCCGAACCAAGCGTAAATGTGGAGGACAATGGCAAGCTGAAGCGGGCGCCACCATGAGGCCGGGGCCAAGAGACTATTGGACTATTGGACTAGGGATGCAGCGTCGTCCTCCACTGTCCTTCAACTCCAAGAGGAGTCCAAGTCTCCAGGAGAGACCGGCAGCCCCGAGTCCTGTGACTGGCGGAAACGCAACTACTGCACGTCGAGGATGAAAAGAGCTTGCATCCCTGTCTAGCGGCCTTTCTTCAGCAGTTCAGCTAGCCGTGGCCTGGTGGTGCGGGGGCTAGATGGGCCCAAATCATCCGAGCAGACGCCAATGGCCGCCCGTCGTCGCTGCCCGGCGTGGGGCGGACTGTCTCTGATCGAGCGGACGAACTGGTGATGTGCCGACTGATTTGCCTGTTTCATTGGGTATGACATTGACAGGGGAGGATGGGGGATCCACTTCCCTGTCCAGGCGGGGAGCTGCTTCGGTTGCCTGCGATGCCTGCGATCCAGCGCGATCCGTCATGATCCGTCATGATCCGCCCTCATGGCAAACTCGACTCAGTGGGCTGGAGTCAAGTGGGAATTCCTGCCTTCCTCTTGACTAGCATGAGGAGTAGCGTGGGAAGGAAATTCCAAATCGAACCCAAGGATTGGCAACCAACCCACTTGGTCTCCTTCAGAACGCATGGCATTCTGTTGGCCCCGGCGCAAAGACACGCACAAAGTTATGATGGGAAGCGATAGGATACGGATGGTTGGGAGGTTTGGGACACAACAACCGGTTAAAGGAACCGTCCGGCCCGCTTAGCGCGGTGGATACGATGATTCATTATTTCCCGGGCGCGTCTACAGTACTTTTCCTTATTTCTTCTGATTTCTTGGGGTCAATTCGAGACTGCGCAGAGGTAAATTAAGGTGGGATGGTTGCATGGAACAGATTAAACTGCAGATTAATTAAAACCAAAAATAAAGAAATGAACTAAATGAAGAAAAAGAAAAGAAAAAAGGCGCATCGGGAACTGTCGCTCATCCACGGCCGCGTAGACCCCGATGCAGGATGATGAAACCCCGATTTTCTGATCTCCCCAAGTTGCCCGTCTATCATTGACCCGATTTAGTCAGGTACATTAGCCTGATGGATCTCGTGGGATCTCGGGTTCCCAACGATATTTCTGGTTTGTGCTCCCCCGAGAATGTGGAGAAGGTTTGTGCCTCCACCTGCTGGACTATGAAGCCTCTATCGACGCATCCTACAGATCCTGGGACGGCTGGTGGTTTCAAACCAAGGCAAGCAACAAGAGAAGCTGCCCTACGTAAATCCCAGGCCTCTGAACCTGCGGGAATCGGCACTCGATATGATCTCGCGCGGATGTCCTCCACCAAAATCGGATCCGTAACATGCAATCTTGGCCGGCATCGCGACTCATGAAGATCGGATCCCTTCCTCTCCACATGACCTCATTTATATTTAGCCAATCCCCAACACGCGACATGGGTTGATGAACTAATGGCTAATCAGCTTGCCTCGATGCGACCCAGACGCGTCCCTAGTCACTATAGCCAATGCGATATACCTGCAGGTTTTAGTGACACTGCCTCCTGCATACTGCGTACTGTATGTAGTATGTACGAGGACACTCTGGTGGGTATCTTTGTCGTTTGACCTTCTACTTTTTTGTTTTTTTTGTTTTTTTTGCTTTTTCGCTGCGCCTCTTTACTTCCATTACAGTATATTACAGCAACAAACCAGAAGGGCTCCATTCTTCCCGGCAAACTGGGTGCGAAAATCCCCATTTCCTCCTCCCCATTCGGTGGGTCGATAGCATCGATATGATGAAATCCAACTACGAACATCTTCTACATGACCGAGCGGTGACGGTTGCAGTGTGAAAAATGACGTGCCAGAGTGTAGAACCCCCTTTGGACTCCCATCCAAGGTCACCGACAACCGGAGTTCCTCCCGTTTTCCCATCTGGTATCTTACTACCTACAGAGCGAGGAAGGAGAGGGAATTGTCTCGGGCGTCAACTAATTACCCTGGTCACCTTAGTGTCCACTACTAACTACGGAGGACCCGGCTAAGCCAAAATGCCCAGATTGCTGATGTTCAGCACAATGTACGAAAGTGGATACGTTGCAATCAATCTGATTTATAATGATGTCTTGGTCCTTTTCCTACCGGACTAGTTCCTCGTGTTCCGCATTGGCGATGGTGGTTGAATTGAGTTATTTTTATTTTTAATATCGCTGATATTAATTGTAAATTAATGATCAACGTTTAGATCCGGGCTACCTCAGCTGCGTCTTTTGCGGGCATCTCTTACCGTGTACATTATCGACAACTTCACACTTCAGTTACACACAGTGTTGCGTATAGTATATTATGATCCGAGATGGCAGGTCTTCAGGCACAGAAAAAAGCAAGCATACCTACATATTCCTTCAGCTCTCCACAATACACACCCCTGGTCTTGCGTTATAGAATCAAATTTAGCCATTAGCTCGGCGTACTCCGTATACCCTTCAAGCTTCTGACCAGACGTAAATTTCCCCTGCATAAGCAAAAATACTAAGTGCACAGCAGAGCACTGCCGACATAACGGCACCACCACCACAGCAAGCCGAAATTCCTCTGCGTCATCTCTGCAATCGAACCGACTGGTCATCGGTTAAGATACCTGCTCCTTCCGGCCGACGAGGCGGCTCGCGTCGCTCGGTCTCTTGAGACGGAATCTCTGTGTGGGTGTAACAGGCAGTCTTCGAGGTGTCAGCGGCCTGAAACGTCCGGTTCTCGTATCGGTTGTCTCTCCCTTGTTCGTGCAGGATCTGAATAGCCCTGAGGGATATCCCGGGTATACCGTTGCAGTGCAGCTACTGCAGTGCGGATACCTTAGATACCGTTACTGCTAAGCTTGCACATGCTGTGGTGATCCACGATAATCCCACATGGCTCGGTGTTACCATGACGCTGGAATATCTCACAGTAAATCCCCGGGAGACGTAGATCCCGAGCCAGAAGATAAGCGGGGAAACCTGGTCGTGGATGTCTTGGAGGGTCTCGGAGTGTTCTTCGAGGACGTGTACAAGGTTCACGCTCGCCTGGGCAATACACGAGGTTACTGCGAGGCGAACTATCCTTTGCAGGGTCACGAACAGATGCCCCTTGCTGGAGCTGTGGTGGGGAGTGCCGAAACGTCTGATCCCGTACGCATGTACAGGCATAGACGGCATGAACATGCGATAGGGTCGGAGTAGCTGACTATCGATGAAAGTTAGAATCTAATAGACATATACCGTATGTACATATGTATAAGTACATGTCAGGCAACTGGATCTCGGCAGAACCAAGGAGCTGGGACATGAGCTAAGTGAATCGGTGGATATAGTGGCTCACCCATTTAAGTATGATGCCACCCAAGAAATGACACGCGAGGATTAGCAGCCTGGTACTTGCATCATCCTGCTATACACGCATCTGGTTAGCGAGCTGACCACGAGACACTCCGCCGAACATGGCCCACTCGCAATTTGACCAGCTGTCAATTGATGAACCGGCGTTCATCCATGCTGCGGTGTTTGATCTGCACAGGTAGTGGAACTACCCATAATCGACGCCACATTCGCATTGTCTAATACCCCGGCTCAGAAGCCGGATCTGGGGGACCGGGTCAAGAGGTTCGGGCTGCTCAGCCAGCCAGCGTGCCCGGTTGTGTGGCCCACGGTTTGACTGCATGACCATTCAGGGTGTGTATGGCTACCATGCAGTGGATATCCCATGTGATGTCAGATATTATATGGTGCCTTGAAGGGTGGATTAAGCCTTAGTGTACGGAGTTTGTACATCGGGATGTCATGAGTAACCCCTATCCCCCGAAGGTCAGATCTGAAGAATTCACAGTGGAGTGGCAGCTGTAAGCCTTATGCGAGCTCCTCGAGACCGTTCTATCTTCGAATGGGTGGGGAAGATGGATTTGGAAGAGTTATGAATTGTAAAGCATAGTATGCATACATGGAGGGGTAGGATCACAGCGATATCACGTGGTAGATAGCACCACAAGAATCCGTAGGTTTGGAAAGAACAAACTAGATCGACAAGTATACTCCGTAGTCTGCGGTGACGGCGAATTACTGCATCCGGTATAGCTCGCCTAATCGGGGAAAGCGCTTCGCGGCCGCTTGGCATCGAGGTGCGTGGTCTATATAGATAGCCTCCTCGCCCGCCCGCCTCTTCTCGTCGCTGTCCCATCCTTTGACGCCCTGTCGACTCGGACCAACGTGAGCCATTTTTGCCATTGGGCCGGCCTCTCCGTCCTGTGTGCACTTCGCCACCCCCTTTTACTGCAGTGAGTCGTGGTCGTTTCATGTCGCTCCTTGAACCGCCAGCTAATCGATATTGGTTCTTGTCAACTGAACAGGGAAACTCGACAGAATTCGATTCGGTCCGCAGACGGCTTGCCTATCACAGTCATCGTGAGCGACTTTTCCGGGACAGATTGGCAGAGGGCGAAATGTGCCACAGATCGCATGGATTGATTGCGTGGGTTTGGCTCGGGACATGAGAGGCTGGCTGGCAGAATGAGATCGTGATGAATCACACGATGGGCCAGTTCAGGTCCGCCGATTATCTCCGAGCCACTGGCTAAGCTGAGCCAAGTTACGTCTGGTGCCAGAAACTGCTCCGTGTGCCTCCAATGAGTATTTTCTCGACGGTGCTGTGACCCATGCTTCTCGATCGCTGATGTCGCACCTCATGACGGAGGCTTACTCGAGGTCGCCGTTGAAACCCTGAAATCTTCGTATACAGGATGGTCGCGCGACCGAGAGCCAGGTAGTTTTCTCTTCAGTATTAACGACATTGGCCGGGAACAACAGGTGGGCGCAGATCAATCAGCGACCAATATCGACGGGCTTCCTTCGCGATCTGACTCGCTTTCAATACAGTTGGCGACCGAACGAGACGATCACCGCGCTGAGCGACCAGCGCAGTCATGATGACGGAGCAGAGTGCTGCAGGCGATCCACCCACCCTCCTCGGGACATATACAATGACGTCGGTTCGGCTTCAATTCTGATTGACCTCCAAGTCTGTCTGGCGTGTCCGTCTGTTGCCACGATAATTGATGAGGTGCCAGATACGGTCGAGGGCACACACACACCACAGCGGCATGGTTTAGGATTCCATATCACGAGGATACATGCTGGTACTACGACCGGTCCATAGAGATATACCATCTGGCCAGTCGGGAAATTGACCACCGCCATCTCTTACTCGACATAGATGCCTCCAACCTATCTAGACCGTAGCTAGTAACAGACCAGCGGCTCCGTAGCATATTCTCATTTTATGAAACATGTGAAGATCCCAAGGTCTACTGGCATTCAGTAGGATGGGCACGCCGGTGACGTGAGGTCTGTTGGTTTAGCTGAGGATATGATCGAATCATCCGCCCGTGGTATTCGCAGCCCCTACTCCCATTTAAAATCTAACGCTGCGCATGCACACGAACGGGTGAGCAGGATTGATTACTGTAAGCACTAAAGCAAGAGGAGATAGCCCTCGTCCATTCATTGGTGGCTTGACTGACAGGGGTGACCTTGTCCCATGGGAAGTTCCCATCCTCCTTGGGAGGTTCTCACCTGTCCTGAGAAGTTCCCCCCTCATATGGGAAGTTCCCATCCTCCTTGCGAAGTTCCCATCTCCCATGGGAAGTTCCCATCTCCCATGGGAAGTTCCCACCTGTCCTGAGAAGTTCCCCCCTCATATGGGAAGTTCCCATCCTCCTTGCGAAGTTCCCATCTCCCATGGGAAGTTCCCACCTGTCCTGGGAAGTTTCCTACATCGCAACAAAGCCGTCTTCGCCCCAAGAGAAACTCCTTTTCCCTAGCTATCTTCTTCCGCCGGACAATCTTCCGTCTAATTCAGCACATGGCCGACGAGAAGAGCCGAATACGAAAGAAATGGAGGGACGCGCACAGAGAGCGGCAGAGAGTGCTTCCTATCCCGAAGAAAATCCAATGGGGTCTATATAATTTGGATTTTCCGACCTTTGACTGCGCAGGGATTCTTGAGCTTCAGAAATTCATACATGAGCTGGATAACGAAGCAAATTGGGCGAAACCGAGAGAGCATATTATCGCCGATATCATGGAAAGTCTACGTATGTCCAAGACCAAGAGTCCACTGGAGATTATCGCAATGGTACCATCGATCATCCCAGCATCAGATGGGGACTTGTTTCTTTTGAATGATTCGCAGGCTCTGCACGATCGCCTTGAGCAAAAGTTTGAGAAGCCTCTACTTCACCGAGCGTCGCTGTCTGGAAACTCGCTCTGTGGTCGCAAACTGACCTTGGATGCGTTCTGGAAGCATCTCCGAGAGCAGCCGAACAAGACGATAGACGTTTACGACTACGCGGTGGTAGAGCCGACTTTAAGAACACGAAGATCGACAGTCCCGGAAGTATTGTTACACTGGGAGCTCCCAACGCAGGAGCGACATGCTCTCAATCTCCTAGACATCGAGAACAGAATCGGGGACTTCTGTCCAACCGAAATAGTCCAACATGATCTTCACAGCAAACTATCTCTCCTATCTCCGGCTAATCTTGGGAAAACCGACTCAGAGTGGAAAAATAATCGAAAAGAATTTTTCCTTCTTAGCGGGGCAAACGCGATATCATCTATCCATGTGGATAATGGAGGCCAGCTAACGTGGATTCTAATCCTCGAAGGTCGGAAGATCTGGTACTTTCCTCGTAAACCGACAAGCGATGCTGTCCGGTTGCTGGCTATTATGGGCTCTCAGTGTCCTCGAGGATATGAAGAAGGCTGGGTACGGGTAGAGCTATGCGCGGGGGACCTGTTGTGAGTACATCACAATAGATTATATCGGAGTATCCAGCTGATATCCCTTTCAGGATTATGCCTCCCAGTTGTCCACATGCGGTGTTCACGCCAGATGACTGCCTTGCTGTTGGTGGCCATTTCTTCACGGCTGCACACCTTGGTTCAACGCTCCACGGGCTCAAACTCCAGGAAGATTATCCAGCAATAAGCAACGAGGATCTGCAAGCCGGCTTCTATGATTTGCTCCATAGGGTTTTTGAGAACGCGGATACCATCAACATACCCCTGCAGCAAGCCGACATCTTGTCGTCCTCTTCTCTATTCCTCGACAGCTTGGATGCGACAACGAGCAGACGTGGTGGTAACAAAAACTCTAGGACTCGAAAGCGACTAGAATCGGGCCTAAGCATTAACAGTCACATTACGGCATACCGCGCCCCCTTTCTTAGAGCTCTGGAACGTCTCCGAAACCGACTTGAGAAGGAACTGGAGGCTGAATAAAAATATTAGGCATTCTAGTAATTAGTCAATATTTTCGCTTTTCGTTTTAACTCTGTTGACCTAGGCAAGTTCCGGCCGCGGTTGGTTTTGTAGATTAGTTAGTAGCCCAGACACATACTATGGTATAACTACCAGCTTCAACAAGTAACAGCTCACTGCGACTAGGTGGGGGTACCTAGGACCACAGATGGACAAAAACTTATACCTAATCGGAACGGATCAGCGATCGGGAAGTCATATGTCACAAAACAGGGCCCATTACTTACTGGAATCGAGAATGCGTTAATGTATTTTGAATAGACAGGGGAACTGGTTTATATGTACAACTAGAGCCAAAACCAAGCCGACATGCCAGGACCAAAGAATGGCTTTATTCAATAGTAATCTTCCTGTCTGTCGTCCTATGAGGGAAATCCAAATACACGGCGAGCATCGAAATTGGCAAAAAATAATGAACAGCCGTAATACCCGCTCATATCTTCAGTTGCATACACAATCCCTGCCTGATTGGAAATTCTAGCTCGTTCAATTTCCCTAGTCCCAGTGGAATCTTTGTAGACCGGGCGTTGAGGGGGTGGTGAATTTATTGGGTTTCTTCGTGTATGAAGGAAGAGGCTAAACGAGTTGCATTTCTTTTTAGCGAAAGAAGCAGATTTTAGGGGAAATAGGAACAGTTCTATCTGCGGCTGTATGATAGAATTTCAGCACAGGTCAAAGATCTCGCGTGTAGCTAGTACATAAAGAAGGCAAAAACTAGAATGAAAACTCTGCATCCATGGCTCCGCCGTTTTCAAAACTTAGGGAAGCAATAATCACACATGTATACATCACAGTGACCCTAGCCGCAACTTCGCCAAAAGTCATCATGATTTAGGGATGGGTACCAGCGGTCCACTCCCCATTGCTTGTGCATGCTTATAGAGATGTTTATTGAAACCTGCGGAACTGGCAAAGGTTCTTGCAGGAGCACATTGGGTGCAAGTGTAGACCATATCTATAAAATGGTCAGTAGTGGCTCAAAACCTTTAGATATAGACACGTACGTGTTGACATATGTCGCTTTAGCCTTTCGAGATTGGACAATGTCATCTCACAGGCGCCAAAAGTACACCTAAGCCTCCTAACTATTCTGGCATTTCCAGGAGTTTTTGTCTCAATAGGCTCGACCATGTGTAAGTTGAGTCCATCTTGATCCTGTAATCTTGCTGCAAGAGAGCGAAATTTGTACAGAGGTCTCAAATGGTCTGCGACAGCTTGACAAAAGCGCCGTGCCACTGTTTCATTAACTGAAATATTCAGGTCATTTGGACTTATGTTGAAGCAAAAGCCTTTAAGGCTTTTCTCAAAATCCCGTTGTATCTCCTTTCCGCTTTGTTCCATTGTAGGGCCACAAATTATGATTTGTTCAATGATAGACTGATGCCACTTACACAGCTGTCTTAATGAACGTTCACATAATGGAGTATTGGCTCCAATGTTGAGTGAATGTACTGAGATCTGAATCTCATGCAGATTGCCCAGAACTACTTGTTGCTTTAAAGCAACAGGGGTTGTGTTTTGTGATGTGAAAATAGTGGTTTGTTCGGTGTACCAGGCGTGGGACAGAAGGTGTAACGTATAAGTGACCTGTCTGTCATATACTGGTCGTATGTAGTCAATGAACTTTGTGAAATCCCCAAGACGGACTTCACAGATGACAGACAAGAGGACCTCTAGATAATCTAACACCAATTAGTTTATAAGATAAGCATGTTATAGGAATTATACCATCGTGTGAAGGTTCCTCAGGCAGCGTTGTTGACAGTGATCTTACCGCCATAACACCGGAGAAATAGCATAGCATATGTTGTGTAAGTGTACGCCAGTGCTCCCGTAAGAACATTGCCAATAATCTTTGATAACCTTTCCAGTGATACGTGATCGGCGTTATGTGAGACTGGGGCAAGGACTGGCACTGTTCCTCCTGCCTGACAGATTGTGTTGCTTGTGCTTCTCGTTGATCTCTTTGTTGCGTCCAGTAGCCGCGAAGGTCCTCTTCTCGGACGCGTAGAAAACCTGTCAGATCTTCCTGGTTTACCTGAAGCGCACATAAGCAAAGAGTCATCAAAATGCCAACAGCTCACTCACACTTGTCACATTACAACGCCAGTCTCCACAAAAGAAGCAATGACCATAGTGCGGGGAACCATTGACGGAGATGTTGGGAAAGGCCTTGTGGCGGAATATCTCACAACACCCCCGGCACATATTTTTGGGCTCTTGCTGCTGAATTGTATCATTGGGTTGTTTGTGAACTGCACCCAGTGGTTTATTGATACCAACTTGGACTCCGACAGTATCGCTCTTCATGGAATCTGTTCCTACCGGTCAATGATCTATTAATAGCGATAGAATAAGGATGCCCACGGAAGCTGCTCTCGAAAATTCTGTCTGTGGCAATTTGGTGCTTGTTTTGCGTAAGATCAGAATAATTCATAGTGATGCAGTTGAAGTTAATCTTGGATGAAGGGAAAGTAGTGGTTAGAGAATAAATCGGCAGTTGGGAACTGTTCCTTGTGTCTTTCACAGTATGATGTATGTAGCAGGTGGATGTTGTATCCTGCCTGAAGGAAACCAGGCATCAGTTATAAGTGTGTCATGGCCTCACTTCCATCCGGGCGTCAGCTGTCGAGCCAATCTTACCTACCCCATACTGTTTTTAATATACGGGTTCTGGGCCTCTTTGAGCTAGTTATATTGTGGGGTTTGGCACGCTTTGTGACGACTCCGTGCATCTGGTATTGGTTGATACAAAAAATTCAATACACCGAATTTTGTTTGAAGTGGACCGAGCCAAACACCAGCGTGCAATGCCTCACAACATAACCCCTAATTTGAAGAAAAACAAAGTATTCCTAAGTCTAGAGATGTGATAGATATGTATAAACCCTCCCTTTTGCTCGCCATAGGTGCTTCATCACTTCATCATTTCCGGCTCACCTGTCCTACAAGCAAGAATTGATTGATTTACTTCAGCTGATTATGGTATGTTTTCAAGCCTGTGCACTTCCTTTCTATTAGACTGACAGTGGTAGCGCCTGGTACCATTCTATAGACAACTACTTCGCGCTGCAGCTCAGCCAGCTCTGAAGGGCCTGCAGGCAAGATGTCTCAGCGTCATTTCAAAGCGCAAGGACATAGAAGGCTTGCTGGATGATGATGCACAAACGCTCTTGAAGACATTCTGTGCACTTCGAGCGGATGGGTTTCCTGGAAGCAACATACCCAAACTATGCCAGCACGAAATATTTGGTAATTATGCCGAAATATACTTGAACGAGCTCACGTCTGAAGGGCTTCTTATATTGTCTCTTATTACCTGGCACTTTGGCCCTTCTTTGCATATCTTCTCAAAGACAGGCTTGCCCCCTTCAAGTCTTTTGGAGTATTTTTCGACATCAACGGATGATGAAGAACTGTGTAAGGCCTTGTGGAATCGATACAAATGGTGTTCCTGGCAGCGAGTATCTTTAAAGGAGTTCACCGGAAGGTTTACGAGGCTTCGGGGCCTTCTTGAGAACGGGTTTATTCATTCTTTATGTCCTCTATATTAAGGGAGAAATAGTTCTCTATCATTCGTACAATGCTTCTTCAGCAACACTTAGCTTATATTCCAACCGCAACAAAAGCTACAAGATCTCCAATACCCTGATCCCTCATTCCTTGGATACACCCAGACGAAATCATTTCGGGGATAAAAACGAAAGCAACATAAATTTTCTGTAAAATTCTCCTGCGTTTGTGATTTAGTTCAACTGGAGAATACACTTGATTGAAAGTTGTGGCGGCAAATTGCGTGTCATCCTTCAGCTCTTGTTCCGAAGTGCTCGACCACAAAATCAACCCCAAAGCATCTTGCATTCGGCGGGATGTCTTCTGCAACCATGGTAGTTTGGACGGATTCTTGAAAGCAGATTAGAAATTCCCCAAAATTAGATCTTCTCCTCCCCAATCCTGCATGTACATCATCTTGCTCTTCCGCACGGAAATGGCGGTACAGAAGGTCTGCTGCGGAAAAGCCTTTGAAGCATACAGGGCAGATGAATCGAATTGGTGAGTTATCAATGATCTTCTTTAGGGTCCGTTCTTTCCTTTGCGAACTAGTCATCGTGTCCTCAAAGGCGTGATAGCGTTCAACCACATAGTCAACTTCGAAGCAGTGCGAATTTGGAGGTATATCTCCAATAGGACCGGAGTCAACAAAGGTTCGGTAGCACATAAGGAAAGCTTCAATATCAGGTTTTCGCCTTGAATTTCTTTTTGAGAGTCCTGCATGAGTATCGTCCTGTGCTTGCTCACGGAAATGACGGTACAAAAGGTCTGGCCGAGGAAAGCCCTTGAGACATGGGGGACAAATGAATCGAATGGATGATTTTTGAATGATTTTCTTGAGAGTTTCCGTTTTCCTGTGAGAGCTAGTCATTCCGTAAGCAAAGGTTCGAGTAGTCCATACGGGTTTGTATGGTGCAGATTGGGGATATTTAATAATTCACACGATACTACAAAGTCTGTCCACTAGTATAAGTAACCTCGTCAGTGCCTATATTGATAGCATTACTATAACAAAAAAAGAATACTCGACAGCCTTGCCCAGCCATGCGGTCACCGGTCTCGAAATGGTGTCAGTGGCACATGGCTCGCGCATAAAGAGAAGCTAATAAACCAGTCACTCGCCCTAAAGGCTTAATCGAAAACACTCGCCGGGTCAAAAGGATCACGCAACGAAGTGCGGTTCCGCTTGGCTCTTGCCTCACATCGATGTCGATCTAAATCCGTTTCATCAAAATTCCTTTCTCGTATAGATTTAGATATCTGATCTAATTTAATGCAGCTCCACCCAGCCTGGACCACTGCAGCTGTTGCGTGAGACCCAATGGATTTGAACTCCTCCCAAGAACAGCGGTCTTGAGAGTAGTTGCGAGCAAATGTCACCACCAGATCATTTGCGCCTCTTTCTGCGT